GGGTTTCACCTGTTGCTTTACCAGCCGAGATCTATGGATGCTGAGTCACAGCTACATCTCTCCGGGGTTCTTTGTGGGTAAATATATAATAGTCTTCATTTATCAACACTTGAACAACATGAAGGTTGACCATGTCAATGAGGCCCAACCACGAAACGCTTCACTTCCAACTGAATTCACCTTATTGTACAACATTGTGATCGAAGTTGAACTTGATTATACCCTGCACAAAAATACCCCCCCCCCCACCCCCCCCAAACGGGCCCCTGGTTTCCGTGGTAACAGGAGTTTATTTCAGCCCGCGGCACCCTTCGGTGCTCCTCTGTGAAAGGTTGAGGTGACAGATATCGACTGTCGGAGGGGGACGTCGGTCCTGCGGGGAATGCGGACGTCAGCGGGTCCGATGAGGAATGTCGCACATATAGATGCACACTGAACTGGACTGGACCTGCTCTCGGGTTTGAGTCACAGTTTTAGATCAAACAGATGGAAGAAATAGCATCTGGCAAATGTGTAACAGGAAACCGGTTTGCGTCATCTTTTGTTTTTCAATTAGGTCGATTCAAGATAATTACGAAATGTAAGAAATGGAGAGAAATGTGCAATATGTTGTTCTCTGTCTTGGTGAGGTGTGATCTGCAGAAGGGAAGTGATGCAAGTTCAAACACCACGTTGGTCGTTTTAGCATCACGTCCTCTGAAAATATTAGAATATGAAACAAAAGGCCATATTAAGGGAAAAAAAGAAAAAAAATATGAACTAAAATTGATTAATTCCATTAATTTTGCTTTTATTGTTGCATTTCTTCTTTTAAATATGTGCTTCATCAAAAATCATTTGGTTTTCTTACTGTTTTTAATCGCAGTCCCACTTTTTAAGATGATGAAGGTCAGTTTGTTTTTGCCAAAAGTTTAGTTATGGCCGCATGACAAAGACTAAAAAATCTCGTGGCATCACTGTAACGGGGCGATGGCGGGTCGCAGGTTTGGAAACCTTTTCGGATTAAGCGTCGTGGTAAAAACAACAACAATGAGGAAAATGGGAAGCAAACCGCTCTCATGTGTCGAGAGAACACACATCACTACCACGAAGAACAGTTCACCGTCTAATGTTGTTTATAAGCAGGGAGACGTCCAGATGACAGTGACATCAGACAATTAGGTCAATGGTGTCCGCTTGTGGACAGAAAGCCTGTTTGGGTGCGGCGAATGAGGTCGCGCAGAATCATCAGCTTAAGCTTCTGCGTCTTCTGCTTCAAAAGCTTCCACGCGTTTGGCATCAGGGGCAGAGAGCGGATTATTTCCTTCATGGCGCCCCGGATGTAGCATAGCAACACAACGAGAGCCGCGCAGGACAAAAAACGCTGAGCAACGGCGACAACGTGAGCAGGACGCACGAGCCGGCGTGGACGCCTCAGCCAGTGATTGATTTGGGGGAACTGATAACACCGAGCTTTACTTATGGAACAGCATTGGTTGGGACCCGTGGGACTTCCGTCACCACCGGGTCGTCCTCCAGCATAATCCTCTGAGGGCTATTTTGGGAGAACATAACGGATGAGGATATGGAAAAGAGGAGGAGCGGAGTAGATAGCGTTGGTGTGAGGATGGAGCTTTGGGACGAGGCAAAACAAAATAGAAAAAAAGCTGCTTGTGTAACTGTTCTCGCTCTCTGCCAAGTCTTTTTTTTTTTCCCTCGGCCCAAAACCAGGTTGTTAAAGTCTATAAATCTGCTGAGTCAAGCTGTGAAACTCCTCCAGATGCCAACCGGCTCACAAAGACTCATTCTTCACATCTGCAGCAGAAACAACAGCTTCTTGGGCTGTCAATGCTTGTGTGTGTGTGTGTGTGTGTGTGTGTGACACCTGCATATCTATCTTTGTCTGGACTAATTTGAGTCTGAAGCGGGTAGGGAATGCATTGTGTCCAATAAGATGTGGATGTGGGTGTGTTTTAAAGAGTGAAGTTGACCCGAGGAAAAGGAAAGTATAATGAGAACAAATAGGACAGGAACATTCCCATTTCCAAAACGAGACAAAAACTGTGTTGTCAAACCGTCCTAAAAACATGTGCGTGAAGTCAACACTTCTCAAAGCGTCACTTTTCTATCACAGCCCTAAAACTGTGATTTTTTTAATACATTTGGGTTTTTTAAAGTAATATTTTGAATAACAAATACAACAATATTATGCAAAGCGTGTTGTTGTATGCACTGATTCCTATGATGGAAGCTCATAGGTCGTGTGAATCGAAGATACATGCATTACGAAGAGACGTGCAGAGAATGTAACTAACTGACTAATAGTTTGTTTTATTTATTTTGGCCGCCACCCCTGCATCATGGAGCCAAGACGGAAGAGAGCAGCCGTCAGGAAGATTTAACCGATGGTATTTACCCCCCCGCCCCTTTTAATATTGGCCCTGGAAGGAAAACGTCCTTTTTAGGACAAAACTCTTGTCCCTCTGTACAGATCTGTGTGCAGCTCGGAAATAGCAATACGATCCCTTTATTTTAGGGAAATGGGAAGAAGACCTTAATGTCCCTGTAATCTGTATCACTAATTGAGTTAAAACTTTGATCAAACAATTTATAACAACATTTATAACAAGTTTTGTTAGAAATCATTGAACAGAAACAGTCTCCTAATATCATTTTAATTATTCAATTCTTTAAATTCATTATTTAAAATGTAAGCGGATACATGTGCATTACCTAGAGAATGAAAGTCTGTCATATATCAGGTTACCTTTTTCCGTATTGTATTTAGTATTGTTGGACAGGGAAGGTCACACTGAATCATAAGGAGGAGGAATTGTTAAGGTTTCTCTACGTGATCAACAGCAGGTCTGTTGTATCTGATTATCAGGTATGCGGCATGTTGCGCAGGCTAATAATAGGCCTTGACACGTAGAACAGGGAACTATTCAAAATCAAGTCGGGTCATGTTTAGAGCCAGATGTTTGGCATGACGCTCAAAGGAGCCGTGAGCATTAGCACCAAAAACATCAGGCTGAGATCAAAGGCAGTGTCACCTTCCTAAGCAGAGAGCGGAGCCGCGTGCCGTCGCGTTGGTGTCGCCCCGGCGGGCCGCAGCCGAGGACACATTCGCCAAACGCCAGCGCCGTCACGCTGGGAGCCGCTGAGAGGCACGGCGCTCTTCAGCCTCGCAGCCTCTCTACCGCAAGCGTGGGAATGTCGAGATGTTAAGAGATACTCGGATCCCCTGGTGGACGGGGAGGGGGACAGGAAGAGAATTGTGGGAAAAGGATAACCAGCTCATGTCTTCTGCTGAAGTGGAGCGGAATGAGACAAAACATTGTTGGACCCGACCACCACCTGTCCACCCGTCCCTCATGTGCTGCCGGCTGCGTGTCACGTTTAGATTATATCTGACGGGTCGGGAGAGAGAGCGAGGTGCTGGAGGCCTGGAGGCCTGGAGGCCTGGGGGCCGGAGCCAGAGGGTCACTGTCCTCGGGGAGCCGGGGGGGGGCAGATGGAGGTTTTAAGCAAACAATGTTGCACCATGTCATGAAATTCAGGCTACGTGTCAAAACATATGTAGCCAGGTGAGCCTGATTATGTTACTGTATGTAACGTCTGTTGTCTAAAACATATTCGAGGAACGTACACTGTTTATCAACTGTGGACCAACTTTCCACTAAATCAACTACGAATTTCCACTGAGAAGTTGTGCGAATGAGGTTGGCAGAATAAGATGAAACAAAATCAATTGAAGAATTATGTAATTCCGCTGAGAACCATCAATATTTGTTCTAATGAAAGGCTACAGGAGAAAGTGAAAACACATAAACGTGTGTTAACAGTGACGTGTGTTTGAACGGCATCATTCATTCATATCTGCAACAATCAACAAAGACTCCCGCTTTGGTCCACGTATCGAGGTTTTCAAGAACGTTGTTCACGGTTTCATGGAACGATCCTAACAAACCTGCGTGTAAAATAAGCAGTAAGTCAAAGTTACTGATGAGGGTTGTTGCTGACAATAAGACTGACAGCCCTTATAGATCTTATAGATATTATATCCTTACAATTTATATCAGTATTTATTTACAGCCGGGATCATCTTCCAAAATGCACAATTGGCTGGAATCCCAGTCCCGAACATTACAGAAGCCGATGCCTCACTGTGTTGTGGTGGAAGGTTGGCTGCCCTCCACAGGATCCATATTCCAGGCCAGAGGACACACAAAAACAAAAAAGGGACTTTGACCTTTAGTGAAAGTGTGTTTGCGGGAATGTGTTATCTGTCAATATCAAATCCCCCGACTGAACGTGACGGATCAATACGCGGGTGAGCCGTAATGCGAATGAACACTTCGAGGATTTAAACGACGCTTAAAACCACAACGACGAATGGAGAAAGCGTCGCCGTCGGGTCAGTTGGCGCTGCCGGGTGATTATTTAGAGAATTAACGAGATGGAATTTGCTCCGTCAGCAGACGGCTCTTCTGTTAGAGACGGGCGGATAATGGTGGACTGTCGGCGGGTCACTGAGTGGCCGAGCGGCACTGGCCATGACCTACTTTCTTCTCCCCTGCATTCAAGTAAACTCAGTGCTCACTGCCGAAAGGGAAACAGACTTTTGTTGAGCCTCAAGTGGCGTGAAACATCACCGGAGAAAGAAACCGAGGACGCGTTTGTGTCGGTACAAACTGGATTCAGTGCTACAGATATTCTCTGGTGTGACTTTCCATCCTGCTCCTCGTGCTTTGCTCGGTGCAGCTTTTCTCTAAATACTGAAGCCCCCCCCCCCCACGCAAAATAGAAATGACACGGGGGTTCTGCCAGATGTTACGCAGCAGCGCATCGTGACTCTGGAGGAAAGGAAGAGGAACTATTCACTGCATCACAGACTCCACCTGTGCGATCACCTTGTTTTCTGTCAAAATGGCTGCTGAGAAAACGGTGCAGCTTCCAGTGTGAATGTGAGGGTGTGCGTGTCCCCCCCCCCCCCAAAAAAAAACAAGCACAGTCAGCAGTGATGAGCCCTCTTCCACTTTTTACTGTACCTACTTGTGGAAAAGCTGCAGTATAAACAGACAACAGAGAAGCATTACAAACGTCTTTGAGTGGTAAAACAGAACAGAACTACGTGTCCACAACATGATAAACCACCATTAAATATTAATAATTAAAAACACATCAGAAACACGTGACCTTTCTTGACTTTTTACGCGCTCTCGTGACATCGGACGAGTGAAAATAATTACATCTCAACGAATTCTTTTGAAGCGGTTTTGAGCTATTCTCAAAGCGCCGTCCCACTGTATAACCTGACACAGTTTGGTCCCACTTACAAACACGCCGGGCTGGTATCCACACATCAAAAGCAACAACTTTTCTGACCTCACGTTATCCCGCTCGACCGTGAAGGCTTCCCGTCCCATTTGGAGACCCAGAATTCGTGGTGTGAATGTGGAATGAGGTCCTTCTCAAAGCGCCTCTGTTGTGGAAGGAGGCGCCCGGATTCGACCCGTGTGAGATGCTGTGACTGTTGCTTGGTAACTTCTGGGCTCTTTTGTCAGTTGATCGTCGGGGCTCCAGACGCCTCGCCATGGAAACGCTACACGCGTCAGCGCCGAGTGTCAGAAAAAAAGAGGAGGCCCGGGGAGGCCCAAACGCGGATCTTCGGTGCAATCGAATACTATGCACAGAGCAGTCTGACTCTTCGGGTGCAGCAACACGACAACCTGCTTCATCCTCCGACCGACGGCCAGCAAGTCAGCGTCCAGCGGGTTCGCCGATGCGTCACCGACAGTTATCGTAAACCAACCGCAGTCACGACGTTTAAAACAAAGTCAAAACATTTCTGCTGAAGCCTTTTGTTCAATAACACAGGCAGCAACGTCAAAAAGAAACAACAGTAACAAAGACGATCTTTATCCCGTGAAGAAACACCAGCGTTGTTCTCCCAGCTAAGCTTAATATCCTGACAGTGGGCTGCACACAAAGCGGAGTGATACGCAACATGTTTCCTATGCATTCAAAAACATATATTGGAAAAGTTACCAATGCAGTGTAAGTAAGAATGAGCACATGACAGGAAATATGAAACGTTTGTTTTCTGTGGCATGAAATGACTTCTCTCTTTTAATCCGTTACCTCAAAATCATTGAGCTTTTCTTTCTTCATTTATGGAGGCGTTTACTCTCTGTTTACTCTGGATCGTTTAATTTAAGTTTCACAAAATGAAATGCCAATGAGAACCCCTGTAAGTCCGTGAAAACAAACAGTAACATAATCATTTCCTGAGTAAATCAGCATCCTGTTACAATTCCACAGAAGTCCACTGTTTTGGTGACACGACGTTCAACCCACGTTAACGCTACGGGACCAGCGACATCTAAAAGTCACCAAAGAGGAAGTAGTGCTTCACCGGTTACGTCTCTGGGAGGCCGACGCGGAACGACATGTTCCTTTAAATGACATTACAGACGCCGACAAATAAATAAAGAATGACACCGTGTTCGATACGGCGTGGCCTTAAATTAGAGCTCACACGGTGCAAATCAAAAGGGAGAACATTGTGTTTCTCGGCTGCAAATGAACAAAGCATGACAACGGCAAACGGACGGGTTCAACAAAATAACAACACAATAACTGTTTGAGCCATTAGTTGACATCCAGTTCATCTAACCAGCCGCCACATGTGTTGTGGTAGTTGTGATATAAAGTTGACATCACAACAGTCTACACATGTTTGTGTGTGTTTCAGTGTGTGTGTGTGTGTGTGTGTGTGTGCAGGCGCGTCACTCCAGGCCAAAGCCTTCGGCGTTGGAGATGGCGATGGTGAGTTTCTGCTTTAACTCCTTCCTGGGTTCGATAAGGAGGCAAACAGATCTGATTAAAGCAGGTGTGAGAGATCGGCAACCTGCACGGAGAAAAAGGAGAGAAAGAGGGACGTGAGATATGAAACCACAACTTCTGGACACATCAAAGTCACTGGAAAAGGGTCCGGCTTAGTGTTTTCAGGGTTAAAAAAAAAGGTTTTGGTCTGGGGGCTGCGGAATGTGTTATGCTGATGAGGGGCCCTAACAGCCATAGAAACACAAACGTGTATGTGTGTGTGTGTGTGTGCGTGGAAGCATCGCAGAGGGGCCGCCGGTCCGTTCCCTGACCCAGATTCAGGGGTCCTTCCTGTTAAAGTTCAGCCGTGGGCTTTTATCCACTGCAGTTAGTTCAGAAGTAGAGGACCCGCGCCGAGTGAACATAACAAACCTCAGACCCGCGGCCGCCTGCCAGTCTGAGGTTTGTTATTGTAAAGCCGAAGCGACTGTAAACCCCTTAATGGACTTTCCTTTCAAAGGAAATCCTCAGAGTGAACTCGAGGTCCCACTAGTGAACGGCCACGCGGTGCACAGGTCTCTTATTGTGAAAGGTAAGAGCGAATGAGCTACCCGAGCTTCTGCGTATATTTTTGTACACTTTGGATGTGTTCCATGTACGTGCATCACTCATCTCCAGTTTCCTTCGGGACGATCGCCTTCTACTACTGTGTCACCCGGTTACTCAACGTTCTGCTCCAAACTTCTGGAACATACCAGTCCGTTGGAACGTCGATCTTGGAGATTTTGAAGTTCAGGTCAGCCATTCCTCCCACGGGGACGCGGTCACTTCCTGTGGCGAAGTGGAGGAGCTTCTTCTGTAGCTCCAGAGGGAAGGCCAGCACCACGTCCCAGAAGCACCTGGTGCAACACAGACCAGCGGGCTCTACATTAGCGGGGGTGGGGTGGGAAGCGACTGCAGTCGCTACATGACACCCAGTGTTTCTCATTTACGATCATACGTGCTGTTTGAAAAGAGTAAATCTGCAGATTGCACCGCGGACGAGGAACACAAAACACAAGCAGGATGTTTGCAGGCAAATGGCTAAATGATAGATGAGAAAGAAACAGGTGACAGTGAGACATCTTCCTCTCTGCTGCATGAAACAAAGGGATATGTGTGTGTGTGTGTGTGTGTGTGTGTGTGTGTAAGAGAGAAAGAGAGCTATTTCCTGTTAAGAAATGAATGCCTTCCATGCAAATATTTGCGGCATAAACAAAAGGAAAAACATCAGTCGTCATTATCACTGACCTTCATTTGAGCAGAGAAACCGAATGGGCCATAATAATTATTATTATCAGCAATACTTAGATTTGCACAATGTGTTTGAATTGGGCCACTTTTCAGAGAACTTCAAAAATGGTATATTTTTCTGCCTCTTATTTGTAAACGCACACATTTATTGAAATATATACACTCTAAGAAATACAACAGTAGCCGTCTGTCCGTCTCCCACGCGGCGGGATCGGTCTGTTAAATAGAAGAAGAGGTTTGTTGAGTGTGTGTGTGTTTCGGCTCAGTGTCCCGCAGCGAGCGGACAGGACGTCCCGGGCGTCTCACCGGACGGTGGTCTCGGTCTTGCCGTATCCTTCGTACTGGGCGGCTTTCTGCAGAGCGCTCATGTCCAGCTCCGGAATCCCGCACACCAACATCTCCACCTCCTCCGGCCGCAGCAGCTGCAAGAAGAAGGGAAAACATGGAACGCGCGCTACAGGCGCAGTGTGTGTGTGTGTGTGTGGTGCAGATTTGGTGTACAATTCAATTTAAAATGACTTTTATAGATTTGCATTGTATGTCCTACTTCCTGCCTCCTCGATGGGACCACACACATCTTCAAACTGGTGTTCATAACTAAACTAACTAGACTAACTAAGTTACAAAATGAGGGCATTTGTTGTAGATCAGGCAGTGTGAAATCAGATGGACGTCGCAGCGGAGAATTTCCTCTCCTACACAACCGCCGTCTGCGGCAACAATCAATTTGCGAAAGAAAACGCGCAAGAGCGTCACAACCAGTAAACAGCAGCGGCGACAGGAAGTTGTGGTTCAGCGGAGCAGCTGATAAACGAGTTGTGTGTCAAAAAGGCATCTTCATGGGGGGTTTTCTTTGTCACGTCCAGTCATTGAGAATGAAACCGTATGATGGATTTGCTTTATAATAACTTAATGTCAAACGTATTTAGAAGTGTTAAAAAGTTAATAAAACAGCATATAGTTCTATATTCATGGACATGTATAGAATTTCACTTGTTGTGTAGTTTCTCCGACAGGATGGTGAGATGATCTTAGGGCCACAGACCAGGACCCGAGACCAGGGACTGAAATCAGGGCCACAGACCAGGACACAAGACCAGGACCCGAGACTGAAACCAGCACCCGAGACAAGGGCCCCAGACCAGGACGTGACTGAATGATCAAATGCAAACCGGCATGAATCTATTTTGAGCTTCAATGTTAACGTCTCCCAGTTAATAATCAACTCAAAATGCAAACATGATTTTGAAAGTTGTGTGTGTGTGTGTTGGGGGTGTGGGCTGGTGAGTGATTATCTGCACAGCGGAGAGCGAGACTTCAGTGTCCCAGATGTTCCGATCAGCCCGTCCCGCCTCTGACCCTGAATCGTGCTTTCAGCTGATAACCTGCAGACAAACTGTCCATCTGTCCACTCAGCTACAGCGGGACATTATTTCACCGCGTTGCCTCCGCTGCCCAATCGACCTCTTTAAAAACAACGTGCACACAGTCCTGCATGGATCAGCGCCAACTTGACCCTTTGACCTTCAATCATAAACAATGACGACCATTTTAGGAATCCTGTATTTTTTAAAAAAATCTTTAAAGGTAGTAATTCCAGAAAAATCCAAATTCAAATTTATAAAGGAAATGCAGAAATAAATTAACTTATAAATATAAATATATATAAATAAATGTTCGAAAATAACAACAACAACAATATGCGTGTTCGTGAAACTGTCAAACTGATTGCAATATAACTTACTTATAGTTTTTCAAGACATTATAAATGCCAAAAAATGAATCCCTTATGATAATTTTTAGAACAAAATAAAACAGCACAACATTTTTTTTTGAGAAAAAACAGCAGAGCAAATAACAAGAAACAAAAGGTTAGATGAAAACTCTTTGTGATTACTTTTAAGGAATGACGGAATTACGTTCTATTTGTGGATTTCTATACAGTAAAGATTTGTGTCCCTCTGGGACCTTTGACCCTCATCAGAGGTCAATAAAAACAACACAATCAGCTGCTCTCCAGCAGGGAGCGATAACCTTTGACTGAGGATGAAGACATGTGGAATTTACTGCCTGAGCAAACGTCTTCGTCCGAGAAGGGGAGGAAGGAAAGTCCATTTGGCAGATATGCAAACGGATGCCACTGCGTTTTGATTTTGAACGAGTGCACGCTGCCGCTGACAAACACTGAGGAGGATTTTTGGCCGCGGGGAAAGTTCACGTAATGTAGTGTAATATTTGTGTAATAAACAAGTCTGTTTCATTAAGCACACACACACACACACACTCACCATGAGAGCGTCAGAGGCACACACGCTGTGGAAGCCGTGGTAGAAGGCCGCAAACTGTTTACAGATGGATTTATTCAGCAGGAAGTCGATGTAGAGCTGGACGTATTCTGTGGAAACAGGAGGAAAAACACTTTTAACAACATTTTCCATTACGAGCCTTTACCGGCTCGCCCTCCAGCCTCGGCCCGGTCGCTTCGCGCACAGAGCGGGACCTGGAACACGGCGCTTTTATGGGGGGAAATAAAAAAAAAGAACACAGAAGCTTTTCAGCCGAGGTGCGTTGCTGTGTTCGGTGAAGTTAAAGGGCTCATTGACTCAAACCGCTACGTGGACGGACGCCGCGCTGGACACGCGAGTACAGACAAAGTGGCGTCAAGAGTGGCCGCCCCGTCACGGGGGACAGACTTCCGCGACGCGGTTCACTGGACGAAGGTCGCCGCCGTTGGTCGGGGCCTGAGAGTTGAGCCACGGCCGTGTTTGTGAGAGGCACTTTGTTTCCGCTTGGGACCGTCTGCTCTTTATCGTTGGCAACGAGCGCGAATCACAGTGCGCACCCACCCTTCCTGTTGTGCTTGGTGACGGGAATTTTGTCTCCTCCGGGCTTCAGGTTGTGGGACTTGACCACGCCCATTTCTTCCTGAAAGACCTGCAACACAGAAGAATGTCACACGGTGGGTTGGCAAGTCGCAAATACTTCTTATCCTCTCAGGCAGCGGCTGCTGCGTTTCTAATGTGCTTTTACCCAAAGCAATGTAACATGTATGAGCCTGTCATTAACCAGCGGCAGCACGCCCCCCCAACCGAGGGTCAGCTGACCGTCAGCAGGAATACGGCGGCGTGCCGAGTGCCACCGTTGTAAAGGCAACTAAAGTTGAAAATACAGACCGGATAATGACGCGGTAGCAACAAATCAATCATACAGTAGCCCCGCCCTAAATGTGCTCTCGATTGATATTTAGAGCTTTGTATTGATCTCATGGCATGCCGTCTGTCCGGGGGGGGGGGGTTTGCTCCATCTATGAGCAGAGTGCATTGTGGGCTGTATGGATTGTAAAAGCCCACCAAGGAACATTTTGGATATTGGACTATGGAAACAAAACTTTAACTTGACTAAATTAAGGAAAAAAGCGGATTTCCCAAAGTATGAGTCCATGCGGTTTATAAAGTAAATAAAGTTTGGGTTGAGGGTTATAATTAAGTTAAGTTTAGAGAGAATCATTTTCTAAGTGAGCAGTACAAACTACTATGTGTTCAAGAAATAGTGGCGTGTACATGCAGTAAAAGAGACACACATTGATGAACAAACATACACACACGCATTGCTGGGAGCAGGACGGAGGTCGTTGGGTTCATCCACCCGCCTGCAGCTCACAGTCGGCTCCCACGGAAAAAATAACACCTGCTTCGAAGCACCTCCACAAAAATCTTCTCAAATTATGTTTTGTAGTCTCCCGCGAAACACTAAAGGCATGTAACTAAAAACCCCCCGTTTCATGTATTGATAAATCCAGCAAGGAGGATTTTATAAGGATCCAAATTTTGGGGGGGGGGGGGGGGGGGGGGGTTAAGCAACCGACTGAAACCAGTCTGGTGAGGCGAGCGTGTAGTAAAAGGCCGGAGGGCTACGGGACGAGGCGATTGGCCCCCGAGGAGACAGTGTCAACATCTGTTTCCATGGTTACAAACCCACAATGGCTCCGAGAGGCCAGAGATCCTCGTGGTGTATTTAGTTTCAGGGCGGCTAAGGCGAGCAGTCGGTCGGCATTCCTGTGCTGGTCCGGAGATGATGATCAGTCCACAAGTCTCACCAGGAAGTGGAGCGTTTTTAGGTCAATTCAGTCTGCAGCGCCTGTTTGCATCTCGATTTTAGCTCAAGCTTTCAGTTCATAGTTTGTACAGATGTAACTCATACAATCGGCATAATTCAAAGGTCGTCATCATATTGTTTAAAAAATGTCCAGCATTATAAAGAACAGTTTTTGAGACAAGAAGCGCAGAGATGCTAATTGGCGGCTTGCAAACAGTGAAAACAACAACAGCGCTGCCAGTGTTCACGTGAGAGGGGACAGAGGGGACGGAGGGGCCTCAATGACCAGCCGTAACACCACCCAGAGAGCGCCGCCTCTCTTAGCCAGCGTGCACGTACCGCCAGGCTGTGTCAACAAGGCGGAGGGATGCTCGGGTTACAACGCACACAGTGAGAGTGACATTACTACACTCTCTCTGCTCTGGTGCAACAGGCTTCTGCTGCCACATGAGCGCTCTGGAAATCGATTAAGGATCCTTTTAGTATTCAGTTATTAATTCAGGTACTTCATTCATCCCAGTCATTTGTTGGTAGAATCAGCCTCATCTGGGGAGTTTTCAATCAGCTGTATGATCAAATTGGGACTGATCAACATTGCCATTTGGTGTAGAATTTAATTTATTATACCACGCCGTGAATAAACAACCGACATAATGAAATAAAATGACCACAAAGACACAGTTAAGTGACATTACGGTGGATGTTTGTGCTTTTATGAATTTGAAAAAAAAACGTGTTACGGATGAACTGTTTACTTTGTTATTGTCAAATTCAAAGCGACCTTGCATCCTGACCCTCCACCCCAGACTTAAAATCAACCTTTCTACCTGGAACATGAGGTAGAAGTCCTCCTCTACGTTCCCCTCGTAGCTCAGCAGCTCTCCCAAACCATGAGCCAGCTCCTGCAAAGCAAAGAACACAACAGTTCAGGAAAATACCGAATAAAGTGACAGGATTTACAGGTTAATTGATTCAACATTTGAAAAAGCGAACGTTCTCACACAGACAGGAGCAAGTCAGGGTTTTATTTTATCGTCCGTTTAAACGAGGAACAAAAATGTAGCACCTGTTTATGTCACTATTTAAGACGAGTGAATACAAGGAGGCAAAGCTTCACTACGTGGTAAAGACGTACAGTATGTGTCTGATGAAAAATGTTGTCAGCTTGTCTTGGGTCAGGCTATCCTCTGTGTGTGTGTGTGTGTGTGTGTGTGTGTGTGTGTGTGTGTGTGTGTGTGTGTGTGTGTGTGTGTGTGTGTGTGTGTGTGTGTGTGTGTGTGTGTGTGTGCGAAAGGTTCTGGATGTGAAACAGCTTTAGGATCAGGTAACTTTGGGCGAGTGACCTTCCCCTGTTGCTCAATAAGGCAGAAGAGTTCCATCTGTCACTCAAAGACAAAAAGTGAAAAACGCTATTTGCACCTTTGGACCCTCCAGCAGGTGTGTGGGGGTTATGATGGTTATGATGGTTAAGATGATTATGATGGTTATGATGGTTCTGATGGTTAAGATGGTGGAGGCGAGGCTGTCGACAACATTTGGTGCCCATATGTAGATATGTGAGTCCATGACCGACGATGTGGCATTTTGCCGATAGGTGGCTCTGTAGCAGCATCGCAATGATCATGTCTGTGTGTGTGTGTGTGTACGCATGTATCGGGTATGTGTATGTATGTTTGTATGTTTGTATGCATCTATGTACCATGAAAGCAGCTCTTTAAATCAAAAAAATATTAAAATGATATTCATTTCACCTAACGATCAAAACTAAACATTCTAACTCTTTGTTAAATCCATTTATTGTCACATGGGGACTTTACGTAGAGAAATACAGAAATCTATTTTAAAAAGCTGTAGCGTGTTTGACATCTGTAGCAAATTTATTCATAGAGAATAATCTACTCAAATATGAGCGTGCAGCAATGATGAGAAAACTTATTCTAGAAAAAGACACTCATAATCTCAAACTTTTCAAAGAGGCATCAAAAGTTGAGCTTTGGCTCCATCTGGTGGCAGTGAAGAGAAATCCAAGTGTAAATGTGCTTTGGGGAGTATCCTACTGCCCCAATAAAATGTGCCTCAAACAGCAGAATAGAAATTTAGCAAAGATAAGAATTTTTACACATTTAAGATCATATCTCACAACTTTTTTTTTTAACACTGACATGTCAACCTGAGACACATACCGGCATGATCTGCTGCAGGTCGTCCAAGGTGGCAGTTGCCATGCCGACAGGGGCATTTTGGTCACACGGTACAGTGGGCGGAGTCAGGAGCTTCCTGTAAGAGGACACACAAAGATCACTTTTTAACATTTATAAATTTCCATGTATTGTATATTCCCGTAACTTGACTTTTGCAGTACTTATGGGGACGCACACACACACACACACACACACACACACACTCTCTCTTACCTGTAACAGTAGAGGGGGAAGTGGATGTCCAGAGCAATGCTGTTGTAAACGGCTAAGCCCATCAGCTGATAACACAGCAGGTTAAGGAGATGGTCACCTTTTATTCTTATTTGATTATCCTTTATTTGTTTGTGCGTCTGTGTCAAGCAGCTTTTACGTGAGTGTGACCACAGATCTGTCGTTTCCCAAGTCGGCACCTTGGTGCCTTTTGCTTTAACCGCACCCCTTCAAACTCGACCACATTACGTCATGACGAAGATTCCACACGGCTCACCAGACGAAAACAACACCCGTCACACGCTGTCGGAGCGGCGCCGCACACTGACCTACGCTCCACCGGCTCGGCTTTCACTTTGGACTTCGGAAAACAAACAGATGACGTCATTCTAACAGGAACTAGACTCTTGGGACGTCGCTGTTGGAGAGCCGATGGTGGAGGGGAGCGCTCATCTCTGTTAGGTTGTCGTTCTGTTACAGCATCGTCCTCCACCCGATAAGTGACTTTGACTCGGTTTCCACGATGACAAATCAACATCAGATATCATCTTCCAGTTCCACAGGTGAGACTCCTTCTTATAGAGAGGGAACGCCTGAAATACGATTCAGACGGAAGCGAACGTGAAAGAAAGCTGGATGGACGGACGGCAACAAAGCCTCGAACGCACGCGCTGACCAGATGTGGGGTAATTCTGTGTGTAGGGCTGGTGTGTGAGTCTGTGAGCAGATCACTACTGATTACAGGTGGGTGACACACACACACGAAAATAAATATCCACCCATACAATTACCGCAAGGTCTTTATGAAGTCAAAACACACACACACACACACAGATATCAAAGAGAGCAGAAAAGCATTTAGAGGTCATGCTTCATATATTCCCTCTTTATGAGACAGGCATGAATAAAGCTCCCTCTCTCTCTCTCTCTCTCTCTCTCTCCTCTCTCTCGACCTTCCCATCACCTTCTCCTGTTTATTGTTGAAATCCCCGGAGGCCCCAAAAGCCTGAAGTTCACTCTCCCTTTTCTGCTGTCGCTACGTCCATCGGGTAGTTTACCTTCTTTTCGTGCTTTCTAATGTTGGGATCCAGTTCTTCTTCATTAAAAGGTGCTATCGTGCGTTTATGTTGCGCATTCCCAGCCGCAATGCCTCAATCTCAACTCTCCACTTTCTCATCGCTGTTTGTTCACTTCTGTTTACATCTGCTTGCAGTCTTTCTGTCGTCCTTTCTGCTGCGTCTCTCCGCCGCTCCCTTTGCATCCTCATGCTGACGCAAAGCTACCATGGCGACCAAACAGGAACCACGGCGACTGATAAATTAGCTCTTAGCACGAGCACACATGTGGAACACCCAGGAGCACGCACACACACACACACACACACACAGACACACAATAACCTGGCGAGGAAAAGGCAGCTATTAGGTTATATAACCTTTTGACAGTTCCCAGCTGGCCAGTAACTAAGTGCTAAGTGCTGGATCGTTCTCTCTACACACACACACACACACATGCACTGTAGACGCACACACACACATTTTACATTTAAATAAGAACAACAGCGGTTAACCTGCAGTATTTGAGAGAGAATCCTGTGTGAATGTTCCCAATAGATACATTTAGAGGAGTTCTTGTAAGTGTCGGTAGAAATAGACTCATTTCCTGTTAAACAAGCTGCAAGTGGAGGAAAAAATGTGCAGCAGTCTGAGGCAGCGCGAGCTGAAGCTGTCACTAAGAAATGACTTTTATTATTATAAATTATAAAACACTATTTAATGAAGAAAAATAACACCACCAGGTTGTGTTTTTACTAACATAATAAGGAGCAAATGTCCCCCTGCCGGGCGTAACGTGTTTTTTAGTAACATTAAACTGATCCGTGCAGGGCTGAAGGCATCAACCGTTGTCTTAAATACAACTATACTTACTTCAACTATACTTTTAACTAGTTATTGTCGGCATTCTATGAAGGCCGCAGGCTTCCGGCCCACGCGGTCCGTCTACCGGCGGAAAGTGAACCCGGCCTCCTTCTCAGACGAGGAGTCGGGAACAGGCTCTACTGAAGGATACGGTCCCGACCAACTGGAACTCTGAATAGTTGTCACACTTCCAACTGCTGAACCAATGGCAGCGCGAGTCCCTCATGTAGGTGAACATTCCTGGAAAGAGACAATGAGGTTCAGCCCATTTCTGCTGGTCAATAAGTCAATGAGACGGGACTCACGGAGGAAGGAGAGGAAATAAGTCGAGGTGAGATGAGAAAAGATCACGTGAACTAATATGAAGAAATTATGTTTTATCGTTCATTTCCGTTGTAATGTATTCAGTCGGGGGGGGGATTCATCACTTGAACAAAAAGGGAGGAGCAGGTAGTTGAGGAGAATAAACTCGGCAGGATGCTGAAGCTTTCCAGCTCCGACAGAGAGAAACAGCAGCGGTCTGTTCTGAGACACATCTGGACCGCTCACATCTCTGAACGCCAGAATCTGACACCGCGTCAGCCATTACACAGCCGGTGTGTGTGTGTGTGTGTACACCTGCATGTGTGTGTGTGTGTGTGTGTGTGTGTGTGTGGGGCAGAGCCGGGGCTTTCCCTGCGCCGCTAACGAGGGGAACACTGCTTTCATTGAGTGTGTTGCTTTGGGCCGACGTCCGCTGGCACGAAGAAACACAGACGGCCGCGGAAAGATGGAGAAGACGATGGAAATAACAAACGGAGGAGAGAGAGAGAGAGATAAAATAGTATTCTATGCAGCGTAACAATCCACGTCAATATCGTAAAGGGATTGAGTTTAAAAGACGTTTTGAACCGACAGCGGTGGAAACACACAATTTGGATTTGGATTCGAATAACGGCTCCCTGGCCGCCGTCTACCAAACTACAAAATGATCATCAGTATGTTCCGTTTCCGATCCGCCAATGAGCGAGTCTCATTCGACACTGACAGGATGCAGCTTTGTGTTTTTATAATATCCTGATTGGAGAAGGCCGACGAGGGGAAAAGAGACACGGCTGCACCGTCACAGTGACACACGTGTGGAGATAACTAGAGGCGGGCGGCGGAGAACTGAAAAGGGAAACAGATGGAGAGAAGAAGACAGTCATAACAGGAGCTGCTCCAGTTTCCAAAAAACAACACTGGCTGCTCGCATCAGCCATTCGACACTTATTGCTGCCGCGCCTGAGAGCTAACAGAGCTTTTTCCACGGAGGCCTCCGCCTCATCTTCCCGTCGGCGGGGTCTTTGTGTCTCACCGTAGTCCGTGTGGAAGATCTGTCGGACCAGCAGCAGGAACCACTCCTTCGTCAGGCCGCCCATGTCCAGCCCCGCCTCCCCGACAAACGTCACCCGCAGCTTCTTCTTCAGGTCGCACCGCTTCCTCGTCAACTACGGGCCCAAAGGGGGGAGGGGGGGGGGATGTTGAGCGCCGTTGAGCAAAAAAAATAAATCAACATTTTACCCGTCAGCTCTAATTTTACGTTTTACGGTTCATCGCAACCTCATAAAAGGTCCTTCATTCTTACAACTTGTCCAGGAAAAAAAGGGCAGAACAACGAGGACAATTGGGGCTGAATCTTCCTTCTCGAGGAAAGTCACATTGATTTAAGGATTCACGTGAGATTTACAGTTTAGGTCTCTTAACTCAGAGTCTGAGGTTCACGCATAAATGTGGGGCAATTAAACGCTCGACACTCGCCCGTCCTCATGAATGCTTCTTCAGTTCATCTCCGTGTTCACAGACAGAACGATGTTGCAGGTTTTTTTTTAACTGTTTTTGATCACGATAAAAAAAAAAAAACCTCAAAAACGTCCTCAAATTTACATTTGTTCCCCAAGACACTCGTTTGCATGTGACAGATGTTAAAACACCACCAACAGGCAGATGTGTCCAGAGAACATCTGGGATGATCTCAGTCCCGTTCCAACCAGCATCGAGCCATTTGTCTTTTCTGTTTTTTAAAAGGTTGTTGTTGTTTTATTTTGTTTTTTCCTCGTGGAGACTTGCGGTGCCTGTGTGGTCGATTATACAGGAAAGAGGTCTTTTGCGTATCATATAAACACAGAAAGGTCTGTATAACATACAGCTGGAAAATGTACAATGCTAGATATAAATATATTATATAATGTTTTGTTTATAAAAGACTTGACAGGAGAAAATCAGATTCATCTTGAGACTTGGGGGTTTGTTTCACGAACTTTGAACGGATAATTAAAGTAGGTTTTTATAATAAATAATTAGTTGGCACTGGACCAGTTTATTGGCTGTGAGGCCTCAAAAACACATTTAACAAAACCACCACAGTTCTACTCACAACAAAAAGTTTTATCCGGTATTTAAATCTCAAACATGTTAATTGTTTTTTCCAGCTTTCTTTCGGGGGGCGAGTTTGAAAAAGAAAAACACATGTTCATGTTCGCTCATGAAGTCTCGACGTTTAAAGCGGTTCTCGTGCGCTCGTGTTTGCCTCGAGGGACAGAATTAAGTCCTCAAACAGTAATTGATTCCCTGCAGAGGAAACATGATTATTTTTGTTCTTTATTATTTTCCATACACAGAGGGAGCCCTTGTTATTTAATAGAGCTTTAATGAGTACAGCGTATCATATATGCGTGTGTGTGTGTGTGTGTGTGTGTGTGTGCGCTGACCTCATCCAGTGAGTCACTCAGGAGTTGTGCCCGTCGTACTTTAATGTTGAGAAACAGAAGGTTCATGTCCACTCTCTGCCGGCGAGACACCTTGCTGACGAGGCTTTGCTGTGAAACACATGAGCACGTTTCAATCGTGTGGACACGCGTGTGCATGTGTGTGTGTGTGTGCGCGTGTGTGTGTGTGTGTGTGTGTTGTCTCACCCTGGCCTGGCTGATCATCTGCTGCTCAGAGTCCTTCTGGATGATGGCTTTCTTCACCACTGTTGAAAGGATGAAGGGGAACTGACAGAAGGAAAACCTAAAGAAAGGACGGGTGGAATTATGGGAAAGGTAATAAACCGGAAACGCATCAGCAGGCTCTGAAATCAACACCAACAATCAACACGATACATAAAATGAGTTTCAGAGGTGTGCACTTTGGATCCGCCTCCTTCGTCAGACGTTAGCGAGCTTCTGGAGGAGCTTCCACCCTTCAGGATGAGCTGCACCTGAGTGGGAACGTCACTTCGTCCCTGCGCAGGCGGAGAAACGTCTCGGGGAGCGTCAGGCGTCGCCCCGGGTCGTCTGGGCAGTGAGTCGAGCCCACGCGCCTGTTAGCATCCCCCCGGTTCCTTAAGAACAGGGACGCCTTCCCTGGAAAAGGTCACTGCTCAGCGTCCACCAGCAACGCTGCAGCGAACAAGAGAAGCAACCTGAAGAGACGAGGAGAAAGACACACGTGATCGGACCTGTTTGAGTTGCCGTAGTTCTGCCAGGTCCGGTACTCCTCCATGAAGTCGATGTGCTCCAGCGTGATGTTGTAGAAGTCGGTGAAGGGCATGATGGGAGCAGAGGAGACGCTGTTGGCTGCGTCTGAAGACAGCAGCGGAAGAAGGAGAGTCGGATGTGACAACGTGATCTTCTGCGCCCGTGTGTGTGTGTGTGTGTGTGTGTGTGTGCGACTCACTGAACAGGCCGAGCACTTTGGTGGCGGAGGGAATCCACCAGGAGCACTTGGCCAGAGGAGGAAGTTCATCTGGTTCTGCGGGAAACAGTCGGGTGGAGATGAACTGCAGGAGGCGCTCCACCGGCTGCCTGAAGCGCCGCGCCGACAGCCTGGCGCGCACACACACGCACACGCACACACGCACACAGGAAGAAAGAAACAGCATCAACTGCACACGTCCTGAAATGCATAAAAATAGACTGTTCACGAGGGAAGAAATAGCAGCGCTGGAGGGAGAAGAACTGAACACAACTTGTAATTTAAAGCAGCTCCCTTGTAAATCATCACCAAGCAGAGGACGTATCCTTCTGACTTCAGACGGGGGTGGCTGGGGTTTGGGATTGAGGGCTTTATGTCAACTTTTAAAAGCTCTAAGGTTTGATAAAACCGTCTGGCAGTCATTGACCTCCTCCAAACAAACCCATGCAGATGCAGCAGGATGTTTCTTTGGTAATGTACCAAACTAAGGCGCTGCAAATAGAAGTTAAATAACTTTAACAGGGTTAAAGCGAGTAGGCGGCTGCACAAAAAAAAAAAAAAAACGCATCCTGCTTTTGACATCAATAGTGGAAAATAAAAAGCAGCCGCTGCAGTTTGTCAGAATGACGAGAGATTTCTCCCCAGTGGAAGCTAAGTGTGATAAATGCACCGGCGAACCGACGAGAGCAAAATATTTCTAGATACACTAGAACACTTTAAATTGACCTTCCTATCACGCAATCCATCACCAGAGAACTCTGCTGCAGAGAGCAGATGACAAGAGGCCACCGGCCTACACGCCCAGAGGTTACAGGACGGAGACGCAAAGCACATATTTCCCTTAAAAGAGTTTACAATCTGTTCTTCTGAAACCCCACCTGCCCCCCTCCCCTGCCCTGTCCCCCCCTGAACCCCTCCCGTGCCCCCCTCCCCTCCCCTGCCCCGCCCCCCCCCCAAGGCCTTTGCTTTAATCCCGCTGATGGACACACAGTGACGACACAAAGAGGACCACAGGTTGATGGAGGGGAAGACAAACGGACAGAGAAAGCTGTGGCAACTTGGCTGCGAGCCAACATGAAAATCACATCACACACACGCACACACACCTACACACACACACGCACACACACACACACGCACGCACACTTACTTTTTGAGCCAATGAACCAGGAAGTGGTGGTCTGCCTCGGAAAGAGCTGCAATCTGCCTCAGCAGGTGAGCGTAGATCACATAGGTGCTGGTGCTTGAGTACTGCGGGTTCTACACACACACACACACACACACACACACACACACACACACACTGAGTTTCCATTTCTTCTTTGCATTATATTTTTGAACAAAAAGCGTTCATCAATACTGATGAGAACATGTCTTTAAATGGTAGAAGTGGGACACCGCCGAGGACAAATTGTGAAATAACAGCCGGACCAGTGAACAGAGAGAGGAGTCACTTAAAAGCAAATCCAGACGGATCAAATCTTCAGACAAGCACACATGGCTGAATGAATAACAACAGATGGAATAATGAGGGAGATAATCCAGGGGACGTCGCTCAGCTTTCACTGGCTGTTAACATCCAAGTAGTGAAAGAAAAGAGCTGAACGTGAAGCTTGCAGAGTCGTCACCAGAAAGGGAACCAGTAGTCCTCAACTCCACCGTGACCTCGCCCAATCCCAGCCTGCGCGTGCGTGTGTGTGTGTGCGTGTGCGTGTGCGGTTGTGTTCTCAGGAGAGTTGGAAGACGAGCCGAGTCCTCACAGTCAAATCAGACATTTGTTGTGTGTGTGTGTGTGTTTGTTGGAGCTACTTTAAATCCTGGTCTTCATCTGATTTAAAACCTCAAAAACACATATGGAGATCAGAAAGGAGAGAGAGTTCATTCCTGTGTTTCCACAGCTGCCAACAGATGTGGATTTATTGACAGCTCGTCACTGTGAGCAACGCTGCCTTGCTGCATGTCTTCATTTTAAAAGCAGCAAAGGGACCTTTTGACCTTCAGACTCACCTGAACGAGAATGAAATAAGCTCGAAGGTCGTCTTTCGTCCGAGGCCTGAAGACAGAAAAACCACACAAACCGTCACACGACAGAGAAGGACACGCACGACAGAACCGAACTCACATCTCACCGCTGGGCAATCGATCCCATCCCACTCAAATCTGTGTTGTTTGAATCACGTTAAAGTCAAAAGAATAAAAATAAGATGCAGATTGAGTTCTCACCCTTTCCACTCCCTCAGCAGACTGTTGATGATCCCTTTCAACACCGACTTCTGGATGTCCTGAGGCTAAACACACACACACACACACACGTCAGAAACAGCTCTGAAGGTCGATGGGCGAGCAGATCTAGAAGGTGTCCGGTGACGGATGTGTGTCTGCGGACGAGGCGTCCTGGTCTTACTGTGCTGAGCAGCGCGTCGTAAACAGCGTTGACAAACTTGGCGTTGACTCCCGAGTCGTCGATGGTGTTGAAGGATCCGTTCGCCTCTCGCTGGGTATCGGGCGAGGGAGGGAAGGAGGGAGGGAGGACACCACAACGAGGAAACGAGGAAAAACAGGAGGAGGAAAACAGCAGAAAAACAAAAATAAGCTTTCACCTAGTAAAAGGCTGCAGGCGCCTGGCGACGTTTTAACGGCATCTAAAACGTTTTTTCTCCCAACAGGCTTTCTGCTGAGAGCCAGACTGTGTGTCTGCATGCACGTGTGTGTGTGTGTGTGTGTGTGTGTGTGTGTGTGTGTGTGTCTTCTACCTTGAAGGCGGCGTTGATTTCGATGAAGGAGTCGAAGGTGGTGAGGTAAAACTCTCGGACCTCCCTCCAGTCCCCCGATTGGACGGCTCGCTCCATGTCCTCCCTGGCAAACACAAACGCACAAAACAGCTGCAAAAGAGACACCACACCCCGGGCGCCAACGCGGCCGCGCGACCCGTGTCCTGGGAGGAGAAACTCACTGGAACTCCTTGGTGGTCTTGGTGCGCGGGGGGAGGATGGGGTCCGAGGGGAACGGAGCTTTGACCTCCGGGGGAAGAGTGTCAATGGAGAGCCGATGCTTTTGTCGCACGTCGCTGCAGATGGGAGGGAGCTCCCTCCCTGGGGGGAGAAAAAAACAGACACACAAACCGCGATTAACTAAGACATGGAGGAGGAACCGATTGAGAGCGGCTTGTTTTAAATACCTCTTTAAATAAAAGGTTCCCTGAAATAGATCTGGAGTCTGAACCGAGCCATTGAGTGTAACAACCATTGAGTGTTTTTGTTTAATTAGCATGATTTCATTGGTGTAAAGATCATTGTTAATCAGTAATGAATGCGGTTGAGAGGTTAAGTTTGGACTTGAACAAGCATGAGTATCTTTTTGGAGAGGCCGAAACGGAGGAATCATTCTGACATTTGGTGGTCGGAGACAAATGGGGGCGGAAGATATTCAGGCCGAGACAGCGACGGCGTTGATGATGTCGCTTCCTCACACACTTGGTCCGTCTATTCATTCGGTTTATGATGAGCCCCTGCTTTTGTCTCCGTCTCCACGGTAACAACAGTACCCAGGAGCAGACCTGTCCAGGTGCATTGTGGGTGCTCATTTTGCAGCCATGAATGCAGATGAAAGGGACACGGGTACGGAGGCGGGTGGGCGCATGACAATGAGAGCAGGTGTTACATCACAGGGCCCCTCGTGTTTGTGGACCTGCTTTAGGCTGAAGGTCGTAAGGTCGTGGAAATGTTTGGGCTGTTTGATTTCCATTTATCAATACAGCCTTTCTAATCTAAAGCCTAAATAAATACAATCATTTATGAATTGCATGTCAATTGACATGTGTCTATTATATGACTTTTCATATAATAAGATTCCTCCGCTGGTGTCATTTCACGCAAATGCATCTTTTACCTTTGGATTCACCACCTCCTCAATCAAAGTTAAGGAAACAAGTCAGAACCACAGTGAATAATCCTCTGGGGAGCACGACCACTCCACTCATGTCACAGCAACCGGGCCACAAAAAGTGTTCAAAAATTTAGCCGATGGAAGCAGGCGGAAAAGTGTCGTCAGATCACGACCTCAAGAGGACACGAAGAGAGACCGATGAGACTAATAAGAGGAAGAAATGCTCCTCCCTCCTCCCATTTCTGCCCCCGTGTCCTCTCGCCTCCTCCATCAGTGCTTTATAATGACCTCTGCTTTGTCAGTTTGTGTGTCACCCAATTTCGCCCTGACAGACAAGTATCGGTCGTCCCGACGGCCTTCTAGTTCAAGGAGTCACCTTCGAGACCTCTGAGGACGTTCTCCTCCCTCCTCTTTCATTCAAGTCCACACCAACAAGTCCTTTGATGTCTTTTGACAAAGTGAGGTGAGACGATCACAACCTTGTTATCTGCCTCAAGTACCGTCCATTAATTAGTTTTCCAGCTGATGCTTAATGAATGAATCAGACTGGAGATGAGCGGTTAACCCTGAATATCCATCCTGTGTAGTTTAAAAACATAAAATATATATTATAAGAAATCCAGTTAATTAAGTGAGAATTCACAGCTGAGGGTAAGCACAAAGTGTTCCGTAATATATCGGTCTGTATGTATTATATGTTCCTGATTACTTATTAATTAACAGCAATTCAGGCCCATGGACATGTTATCTGGATGTCAGGTGTTTTTCCTCCTTTATAAATGATCTTCTTCCAGGAACAAGAGAGAAGACAGATCCTTCTGTCTTTACAATCCCTCCGTCCGGCAGCAGCGCCTCAGTTCTCCTGCTACGTTTGAATCCTTCACCGTAACAAGCCGGACTTTCTAAAAAAAAGGTGTCAGTTGTTCTTTGATCTTGAAGTGAAACAGATCGCTGCTCAGCTCGGCCTCGGCGCACAACGCTAAACTTGACAATATTAAAAGGATTTAGAAACCTCCGTTAATACTTTACAGATGAAATAGCGAATTGTGGCAATTATCCGGCGGGCCGGATGAATGCTGCACTATCATGTGTGTGTGTGTGTGTGTGTGTGTGTGTGTGTGTGTTCATTGCTTTTACTTTCATATGGTTTTCATTTGGGGCGGAGGTTTGCATAATTATTCTGGCATCGGTAGCCGTGGTGACAAAGCGGGCGGGTGAGCGCTGCGCCGGGCCGGCGTTCTCACGGCAGTCAGGAATAACCTCGCCGTTCAACAGGACGCGGCGTTCCCTTCGCATTCAAACCCTGGCGACAAATAAATAAAACACAAGCCCGGGACTGGTTGTGCATCTTGACTCTTTTTTTTTTTTTACCCGTCTCCTCTCTCAAACTTTCACAGAGAACTCTGAGCTCCATCGCATTCAGTGAAGCGTGTGTGTGTGTGTGTGTGTGTGTGTGTGTGTGTTTTTCTTCATTTCTTCTGGGAGCACGATGGTGAAATGACAGAGGAGCTTATTTTCAGCTGCGACCTAAAAACGCCTGTTGCTTTCTAATTAGAAGTGTGATCCTGTCATTTCCTGCACACTGAGAGACTCTTTAACTGCACCCTCGCCTCGACTGGAAAACATGGGCCGCTTTTTTTTTTCTTCTTCTTTTTTTCTTCTCCTCTCGGTTTTTATTCCGAAAACCTTCCATTTTGGGGGAGAGAGTCGCCGCCAGCGCTGATGTCGATGCTCGCGGCTCAACGTAAACAGTTTGAGCACATACATCAAGCGTACTGTAAATAGAGGAAGTAACACGTCATTACCTCCGAGACGAGACGGAGAGCACGAGGAACCGCTGACTTTCAAGCTACAGTCTGGTGCCAATCAGCAGCTTCGCTGTGATTGGAAAGGAACTTCTACGGAGGCCAATAAGAAAGCATGTTGGGTTTGAGAATTTACAAACTTATACTCCTCTGAATGCGGTAAAATCTACTTTAATTAGGCGATAGTGTTTTTTCACCGAAAGACGGACAAAGTCGTCGCTTGGATGACGGAGAAAGAGTTGGTGTCCACCGGGTGTCACGTTTCCATCACTCGCTTGTCCCGGGGAAATGATGCCGATTGTATCCTTTCCCACGGAGGATAAAAGCCAGATGTTAGCTGGCGTTAGCGTGGTTTTTTTTTTTAGGTACACTTTCCTGTCTTCCTCTTACAGCCAAAGCCAAACCAATAAACACGATATTGATCCAGGCGAGTTCCAAAGATGAGAGAAACAGAAGGACAAAACCTCGTCGGGTCTCATGTTGAATGTTAGAATGAGTGCAGCAAACATGCGTGTGGTAACCACAAAGGAAACATTTAAATGAGCTCATTTAGATTGAAGAACAAAAAATGAATGCGGTGCGCTCACCATGTCTGAGCCACTGGGTGCCGCTCAGGGTGCCGCTCAGGGTGCCGCTCAGGGTGCCGCTCAGGGTGCCCGTCATGCCGCCAGCAACGCCCCGTCCCCCCGCCTCCCTCCGCTGGCTCAGAGTGGAGATGAAGGAGCCCAAAGAGGGAAACGGCTGCTTAGCTCCTCGCCCAAAGGCCTTTTGCAGGAGGACGACATCGACACCAGGGGAAACAGAGAAGACAAATGTATTATTATTATTATTATTATATTAAGTACAACTACAGCAAAACTTTCCAATTTTCCATTTCAACAAAATTGTTTCATGTATATATGACATTGTCAAATGTTTTAAATACTTTTTTAAATACACACATGAGATTCTCAACAAACACCAATCAGCTACTATTACTAATATAATGTATCCTAATACTAAAATATCCACTCTCAGATGTGGAGATTTCCACAGAGTGGAAACGCCTTAAAGCCTTAAATCAATCCGACCCTCAGCTGCAGGAATATACAATGACAACATAATGATAAGTGAGCCGATGCATCCAACGCAACATTTACTGAATGGGCCCTGAGTTGAATCAGCTTCTGAACGCTGCGAGCTGCAGAAGAGCCACAAGTGCACCCAGAGGAGGAGGAGGAGGAGGAGGAGGAGGTGAGGAGGAGAGGAAGGACGGGGACAATTATATCACAAAAGGAAGAGAGTGAATGAGGCAAGGCGGGAAGGGAGATACGAGGGTTGAAATAAAACAAAGACAAGATAAAAGGGCTCAGGGGAGGAGAGTGAGATGAAGGGGGACAATTGCTGAGAAGGGAGGGAGGAGAGCAGGGAGGGAGAATTAAGAGAGGGAAGAGAAAGGAGGAGGAATAAAAGGGGGAAAAGTGAAATAAATGAAGGACTGAAGGAGACGAGAACACAAAGTACAATGAAAGGAGCAGAAAACATAAGAGGCGAGAGGAGAGGAAGAGGGATGAGAGGTGGAAAGATCAACAGATGCACAGCAGCCGCTTCTGACTGCAGCAAAGACACACAAACACACACTGACACACACTCGTGCAGCGATGTGTTCAGGGGCTGCAGGACAGAAGGAGCACAGAGACCGTTATTCTGCCGTTCGAAATGAATCACTAACCAAAGAAACAAGACCTCAAGGAAGAATCTGAGCAAAATCCCAACCTGGGCGTCAACACACACACACACACACCCAGACGTGCACGACGCACACACAAGACACACAACAGACACGACAGACACATGCTTTCTACTGTTTCCATGACATTATATTATTTTCTCAGCAGCACACGGAGAGAAAACAAAGGACGGTTTGTCTTAGAGGAAGCGACCTCAGCGGTAACAGGTTGTGTTTTCAGTTATGACACAACGCGCGAAAGAGACATAAGCTACACGAGCGCACATGCATTTTGTGTCTGCGAACAGAAGCCATCTGTCTGCAGAGCACTGGAGGGATGCATTGTTGAATGCACGGTTTCATTAAACAGATGAACAACATCTGTGGGGTCAACGCAGAGCCGGGTGGATCCAAAGATGATGAACGAGGAGAAGAGCCACGTTTGTCATCATTTAAGCTTACTCCTTATTTCTCTCGTAAACGGGAAATGACTCATTGCACCATCTCGACTGGTGGAAATGAAAGTTGTTCGCTTTCATGTGATTTATCATCCATGTTAGTTTGAATCTGTCGCCACATCATGAGGTTAAAAGCTTTTGGTTTAAATGAAAAGTATTGACTGAATCTGTCGTTGTGTGAACATATATTAGCAGGCTGATGTTTAGTATTTTGCTTTAACTCTTTTTGTGCCAAAATACAGCACCTATAAGGATCGTTACTCTCCTTTCTCACTTTTTTCTCTCTGCTTCACATCATCAACACAAGAGCCCTCAGCTGATGATTGACAGGCGATCTCTGGGAGAAGTGAACAAGAGAGGCTGAATCCAAATAAGTCACAGCTTGGTCTTTAGTCGTCCTCAGACATAGATTTCACGCAGCTCATAAACACACACTACGTCCTCACATCTGACAAGTTTCAGCAGCACTTTTTAAAATGTTTTTGTCTGAGTCTTGTGATGTTCGTACCTCTGGCCAGTCATTGAGTCTGAGAGGAGATGCTGTCACCCAGAGAAGATCCCCACCTGAGGCGCTCCGAGCTCACCTTGCTCTGCCGAGCCTCTTCACTTCCTTTCATTTCGTATTTCCCATATTTATCTTCCTACGAGGGAATGATACCACTAAGAAATGCAGATCCAGCCTGAGCTCTGGTCTGACATCTTTTAAACTTAAATTCTTCTCTTTTTATTGGACATGCATCCAGTGTTGGACCTTTTTTTTATCCGACCATTAAGCCTGAATCTCCTGGGATCATCTCAACGGAGTCAGAAGACTTCTGCGGAGGAATCAGAGAATCAGCCTGACTGAAGTCTCGGGGAAACGAGCTGCAGGCGGAGAATGCATGCGGCCACTTTATTGCATTTCCAGACACAACCAGAGTGGGCCTGAGCAATGACAGACTGTTTATTGGTCAAAACCGTCTGATCCGCACATTCCTGCCCTCTGACACTATGGAGATGACATCACGGGCCGGCCTGTAGGCCGCCGGTCTGCTCCGGGGAGGAACACCGAGAGCCAAATCGCTCTGATAAACAGCCCACCGCTGCTATGCACTTAAAGAAACACCGGTGGACAGCCGAATATGTCAGAAGGCGTTACGTAAGACGGCGGCATCACTTTTTCCACAGGGAGAGAAGCACCGTTTTGCTTCAGTGTGCCGTCGCTTCATGTCAAGTCGATCCTTCAGAGGTTTAGCAGCAGGCTCGGTTAAATCGCAAGGTCGAATTGGAGTCGAGTGAGGGACACACATTTGATTCATAATTTGTATAAAAATGCACATTTATATGATCATGTAGTACAGTTGTGCCCGACTCCCTAATGATGTGTTTTTATACTGAAAAAACAGGATACTTATCACACTAAAAGTTAATAAACCGTATGCCGCTTGTATCAAATCATATTATGGTGCTTTCCTCCTTTTTTTAATCATTTATGTTTCCTATAAAATATGTTATTTTTGTCATAAAATATGTTTCCTTAAAAAATATTTAATTACATTATTTAAAAGGATCAATTTTGGCAATTTTTACCAATATTTGGTTTAATAACTTTATAATTTATTATTACTATAAAAATATAAAGTTGCATATTGTATGCAATGTTAGGTTTTCTTTCCCCACTGTGAAGTAAACCAGTACTTTTCAACACAGAGACACACATCCGTATTTTCTTCACATATATATATTAAGAATAAATACGGAGAAATGCAGTTTTCTTACAGCAGGAGCGGAGCTGTTGTAAATTGGTGGAAGCCTCTCTCGTTCCCTCTCGACTCCTGACAGCGCGTAATGTTCTCCATCCATCCTCTTGTAGTGGAAGAGAGGAAAAAGTATGTGTCCCCCCCCACCCCCCCCCCCCTGGAAAAACTCAGTCCTCTACAGCCTCCGTGTTTCGGCTCCTCACGGGGCCGCACATGTTTTTACCGGAGCCCGCCTGACGACGAGCCACGCGCGCGTGTCCGCTCGGTGTGCCTCCTTGTCTCACAGGAATCAGAGACGCTCACATCCTTCATCCACAGGACTGAGGTCTACCTCCGTCGGACAGGTGGGCTCTCCGCTCCGCGCCCAGCCTGACGCGTAAACGTCTCCAAAAGCTCCACGTTGCGTCTCCGTGGAAAAGAGCGAGAGAGTTGTGTCGGTGTCAAAAGAGTGTGTGGGACGCGTTGGAGATGAGCCGCTAGCCGCTTCTCGTCCTCCTCCTTCGGTCTCGCTCTGCGTCGCGCGTCGGGGGAGCTGCAATGCTGCGGAGCGGCGCCATGTTTGGAGGAGGTGGAGGAGGAGGAGGAGGAGGCGCCTGGAGAACACAGCCTGGAGACGGCGGAGCGCACACGCGTACACACACGGAGAGGGGGAGAGAGGGAGAGAGAGGGGGTGAATAACGGGAAATGGGAGTATTGGATTCACAATAAAAGTGGGGAATTTAAAAAAAAGAAAAAAAAGTGCAGGAATAGTAACCCCCCCCCCCCCCCCAAAAAAAAACAAAATAAATGCGATGTTGGGAATTATACAAATACATATGATAAAAGTATATTCTTCCCTAAATATGAAAAAACATCATGGTCATTTCATTGTCTTTTAAAGCTTTTAAAATAATGACTTCAAAATCTAACTAAGAATATGATGTCATGTACTCTTTACTTAAACAGTAAAAACAATTCAGAGTTTGATCGTGACGTATTATCTGAATACTTGTTTCCCTCATGACAAAATATTTTTGTATATTTATTTGTCATAATAGTTTCATTGACTGCTGACACTAATTAATCAAAAAATAATATAATATATATATATAATAAAATAGAATATTTTGGGCAAGGTTATAACAACCATTGCCATTAACCGCAGAGAAAATCCTTTTATTTGTTTCATAAATGTGTCAAAGGTACGTTTCAGCTCACATTCCTGTCAGCTCTTGTTGGGAGAAATATTACATTATAGTTATATAATAATAAAATACACTTGCTGCTGACGCTTTGGTTTGAATGAATCCTTCACTGATTCTCCAACCAGAGCTGTGGATTGTGGACAAACATAGATCATACATTCAAAATCTTCAACGTGTTTCCCTAATGCTTTAAAAAAAAAGTAACTTCACGCTATTACTCCCCCGCCCTCAGTAGGACTTTTATTTTGACAGTCGTGTGAGGAAGTGATGAGCGGTGATCGATTCTGTCTTGACTGCTGACTGCGTCACAGCTGCAATTTAACTTCTGTCCATAATTAGTGAGCAACAGGATCCGGGCTGCAGGCCAATTCTCACTGAACATTAAGAAACCAAAGGGCCCCTGATGTTGCAGATGTGTGTGTGTGTGTGTGTGTGTGTGTGTGTGTGTGTGTGTGTGTGTGTGTGTGTGTGTGTGTGTGTGTGTGTGTGTGTGTGTGTGTGTGGTTGCTCGGTAAAGTTGAGATCATCTAAACTTTCTCGTCTGGTTTCCTAAACTCAGCTTCAGTGTTTCTGCAGGTCCTGGAGGACAGATTACGTTCTCGTAATGACAGCTTTCCTTTTTTTGTCGTATTTTAAGGCCAAATGGAAAGTTTAACCTCTCTGCCTTGTTCGAAACATCGAGACCAAATGTTAGAAAGGCCTCAGCAACTTAATGAGCTCGAATGGTTTATTTTGGAGCACAATGGGAAAAAGCAACAGAAAACACGCTCCCATTTATTCTTCATTGAAAAAATCACAGCTCAGCGTTTCTAATATTGGCGCCGTCGCGTTGAGCTGTTTGTTTTTGCAGCTCAGTCTGTTCTGCAGCAGCACTGTAGTGTGTTACTGTAGCGGCAGATGTGTTTTGCTTCAGTTTTTTAATGGCGTCTGGGCCTCAAACTCTCAGTGCAGCCTCTCTGCAGCCCCGTGCACCTGATGTGGAAACACCAGACAAAGAGATGATGGAAGGAAAAAGGAATACATGTTTTTATGGGTAATTAATCCCCAGATGTCTTCAATTGTCCACAACTCAAAGTTATTCTGATTGCTGCCACTGAGGAGTAACAAAACCATGCAATGAATATTTAAGAAGCAAGAATCAGGCCGTTATGAATAAAAACAAATTGTAATGGAGGCGTGGAGGATGCAGATGGATAACATCCACACTTTTGATGCCATCTCCTCCTCTGTGTGACAGTGAGCGTTCCTCAAGCTGAACAGTGGTTGGAGGGACTGTATGGAACCAGTTGGCACAGAGGAAACTCTGCAGTATTTTTAACCCACACAAGCATCAAAGCTGCTGACCTACACAACTTTTTAAAAGCCTGGGCACTCCTGGAGAAAATTGCCTTTAGGAAAAAAGAAAAGAAAAACAGAACCCTGCCTTCGGGTTTTCCACAACGATCCTGCAGAAAGGCCCTGCGAGAGAAAAAGTTTTAAGATTTAATCGCCTCAGCAGGACGGATACTGAACCTCGAGTGATCGCGAGTGATAAGGATGAAAAACACAGTAAAGATAAAAGGCTTTATTTCCATCGTGCTCCTCTGTGGAAAGGGTACGATAAATCTTCAGTTTACAGACGTTACAGACGTAATGAATTAAGTTTCATCCCGTCTGACGCCAGGAAGGAGTCTCGATGTCGAGACCAAAACTGGCGTCGATTTATGTGACACGGTGTGACACGTTTAGGGGGAGAGAACGCCGAATAGAACATGAGCAAACTGAGTAACACGTTTCCTCTTCATCCACTGAGAGAGCAGAACAACTGATGAGGGAGGGGCATCAGTTGTCAGGTGGAATATTTGGTTTTATTCATAGCAACGCCTCAAACTCAGAGAGAGAGAGAAGAACATCTGGGAGAGAGAAGAAGAATCTTCCATTCAGACCGCTTGGCAGCAACACACACACACGCCTTTCCTCAAGAAGCACAGAGGTTACTTTAGTTCAACCGAGAGCCGTCTGTGTGCGTGTGTGTGTGTGTGTGTGACAGGGAGAGAGAGACAGGGAGAAAGGGGGAGAGAGGAGGAGGAGGAGGGTGAATGCTGCGCACATTTCCTGCACTGGAGGGTGTGTTTCTGTATCCGCTCAGAACCTTTCAGCCCACAAACGTCTAAAGAAATGAAGATGGGGAAATAAGTGAAAGTAAAACAGGGGGAGAGTATTTCCAAATGTGTGTATCAAAAGAAAAAAAGTACAGTAAATGTGAAGCTGGAGGAGAAACAAAGAATAAAAATACATCCGCAGGATTCCTCTGCTTGTGATTGTCCCTTTTAAAAAAAATGTTCTTATCAGATTTGAATGCGGGTCAAGAGGTTCCACCAGCTTAACATTTGTCCAAGTCATTAAACTCGAACAATTCCGTCTCCACCAGAGGCCGCCGTTTACCCATCATGCACAGGGTCTCGTTCCTGAGATGACAAGCTGCAAGGCCACGGTTTGTTAACGAGACCATTGAAACGCCCTCCATGGTTACGAAACACTGTCTTTGCCAAGGACTCCAGAATTAACACACATTTGACGAATGGTTCATTTTTCAGGGTCAATGTCAGTGTCCCAACTAGGATTCTAGTGTACTAGAACCAAAGCTGTGCGTGTGTGTGTGTGTGTGTCCTTATTAGTAGAAACTATATTGCTGCACTTGTGATTAAAACTTGTTGATGCGAGCTAAAGATTTAAGGCTGTACAATCAATTAAAGAAGTATTCCTTCTGCCAATAATATGACTTTTGACATAAAATATTTTGATTCTGCTAGATCTTCTAACAGATAAACACATTTCTTTGCCGTCACTCAAAGTCCCGCTTTCCTGAACTGTTGATTTAAGCCTGATCTTCTTTAAAGTGTCTCTGTTGTACCTTCAGATGTCATTGTGGCGCTTTTCATGTGACTGAAACGCATGCCGGTGACCGTAAACCTTCATGATGTTTTCCACTGTATGGAAGGCGTATTTATAGCGGGATATGTATACGTTTTATGGCCGTCTCGCCCTGCGCTTAGTTGTCCCACGTCAACGTGCGCCGAGTGACTGTATGTCATCCATACGTCTCCTCGCCATGTCTCACATTCTGATGCGTTTGAGTGTCAACGGTTTCAAATTTTTTTGGACCTTTGAGTTCTAAGTTCTATTATAGCCAAATTTACAGTAACATCCCCTGATCGGATGATTAATTCATGTCAATTCAAGCAACGTCCCGGCCTGGTCTCCCTCTCAGGACGTCAGGCACCAGCACTTTACCCAGCGGCCCCCTGGGTCCTGATAGCGAGGCACGAGGCCGGAGGGGCAGCGGCCCTTCAGCGGAGCCTGAACTCATCGTCAGACGTACGAGTGAGTACGAGAAGGCCTCTCAGGGCGGACGGGAGGTCTGCGTGAGGGTACAAAAAACACTGGACTTCTACTCATGGAAGGTCAAAGGAACTTCAATTACTTCATTTGAGGGTGTTTTTGTTGCCTAAACCCTGATCTAATTCATCTCATCAGACGTCAGTGAACTGGAATAGACTCTCACCCCATCGCTGACATGTCCAAAACCGATGGTGGAGGAAGGTCGTGGCGGATTGAAGCCAGGGCTGTAAGACATCCTCGGTATCTGATGAGCAGCGCCAGTCAGAATGTTTCTGAAACTATGCAAAAGGCTTCTGCCCGAGCGGCAAAATTTGACAAGATCACGTGGGACATTTCTGCTTCTGGAGGTCTAAACTGGTGTTGCTATTCAAATGATTCCCTTTGGACCTGGCGCAGGTCGGCAGCATCGGTGTTTCGAGGTGAACTGGACCTCAACATTTCTACAACACAGCGTAAATACCGCGGGAGGCTAGGTGTCCGCAGGCTTCTCCGTTTTCGGGCCCTTGGATCATTGATTGAACATTGCATGTAATAAAAATGCCTGGAAACGTCACACGTTGAAATAGTGACAATAAAATCTCTGTGAGGTGTGAGATCCCGAAGCGGCTTCTGAAATAACAAATGTTCCTTTTTATTCTCATCCAACCAAACCAAAACGATCTGCACGCCTGAAGGGACAACTTGGGTACATTTTAGTACATTAACTCACTCGTTCCCTCTGTCCGGTTCGTTTCCTCTGAGTTTGGAGATAAGGTGCATTCCTGGGTGCTGATGTCACGCACGTGTTCGGCTGCGAATGTGCACGGCGACGATGACTCACTGCCGGGTATGTGGGGCTGAGATGTTGAAGAGCAATCCGGTGAAAGGCGATCGCGTAGCGAGAGGGAGAGAGATCTCTGCCGCTCGGCGAGGTGACAGACATGCGTCAAGGAGAACATCTCGACGGTGTAAAAGATGCAGCTCACTCAAAGTCATCGAGTACGGCAGACGGCGCGATCACTAGTCGGCATGTGTGATCCACACTCCCTTTTAAGGCGCTTTATATGTCGGTTCGGGGTGTTAAGGCTTGAGGCAATGGATGGAATTCACTTCAGTGGATCACTTTAGCGGATGCCCACATTTTCCACCACAATTGTTAAAAAACAACATCAATGAGCACATCGTTGATGTGTAAAGTCATGATCAATGCTAATTTGTAGCTAATTTGTAGCTTTGTCGCACTTTTTCAAATATGTGATGATGTGTGAATGAAAACACCTTTAATTATCACTTTATTTTGTTTTATTGTTATTTACAAGTTCAGATATTTCGGGAAATGTTCACATGGGCTGTCCAGAATAATCTAAGCCAATTTGCTGTAATAATGTCCAAAGATACTAGTTGTAATTCACATTTCTTCAAACAAGACGATGGACTGAAATACATTATGATTCACAATTAACTTTATTATTATTTCTACTGACTCATCTTGATTATTTGATAATAAAACGTGTATTAAATGTGTTAAATGTTAAATCTTTGTGTAGTTGACTACTAAAAGCACGATACATGCACTGACACACACACACACACACACGCACACACACACACACGCACTGACACTCACACACACACAATGGCCAGCGCAGACAGAATTACATGGGCGTGGAAGTAACAGCATATTTCACATATACACTACATGCTGTCACACACCTGCTGCCATTAAAATGTCACACACGCACACACACACACACGTCTTCATCAGGCCGCCGGTCAGAGCATTATGTTCTTTACCAGCCCGTCACAGATTATGTGGACTCTCTAAATATTCCAAACTGTATATGCAGAACATTTCTACTTGTGATGATGCACCTAAGGAAAATAAATAGGGATTTAAACAAAAACCAGAGTAAACACATGAAGCAAAAAGAAGTACATTTATGGAGAATAACAAAAAGGCTTAATTTAACTGTAGTTAATGGGCAAACAAAGTCAATCTTTCGGCAGGAGCCCTTCGGAGGCATCAGCCCAGAACCCAATCAGCAGGTTCATGGGCCAGACTCATTTGCATCTTGCAAGGACAGCTCTTTATTGAATCTGCCACCAGACCCTTTATTCCCACTCCAAACTCACCGGGAGAAAGAGCACCGCTTTCGTTTTTAAATCACCCTGCTGCTGCTGCTGCTGCTCCCATTACGTTGGAGCAGAATGCAGAGAAGCGCTTTTGCATAATTTATTTTGGACTCTCGCAGATAGCGACTCCTCGGGGACGGTAAACACACAACAACGTACGCGTGTGCCAGAGGACCAATAAGTGTGCGTAAAGGGTTTCCAGGTATTCGTTGCGATTTAGAGCTCATTAGGAGGCAGAACAAACCGTCCCCATCTGGATCGTGTGATGAGGCGCCTGCTTTCCTCTTTGCCTCTTTTCTCCACCTTTCTCACAGATAACAGCTGGCTGTTCTCCACGCAACACAATGCATAGTGTTAAAGTTGACCTGTGAGCTGCTGCCCACCGTCACCACTGCAGCCTGAAACCTGCTGAGTCGTCACACCCCGTTTAAAAAAAAAAATCAGAACGACCTCTGACCCGCAGCGCGCCTGCAGCCATGCAGTCACTCCTCTGGCATCCTCAGCCGGCTATGTCCAAAGAGACGTACCCACAGACGGGACGGGGCGAGATGAAGTCACGTCCGTTTAAAGCGACGGACTCAGGCCGTCATAACTGAAGGAAGAGCACCTTCAGTCATTTGGTTGCTCTTGAGCTCAGGTGTGTTGTGACGTCAGACGCACACAAACATCTGCATGCACGCATGTCTCGCGGTTATTCGTGGATCAAAGCTTTGACATTGACTCGCATTCGCGCATTCGTGGCATACGTACTGCAGCCGTGTCACAAAGAATGTCACATGACGAAAACATACATCAAACACGAATGTCCAACGCTAATCCTGACAACATGCCGGAGGACGCCCCTCACTTTCCAAAAACGTCCGCGTCACCTTTTTAAAAGTCAAAGTACAAGGGACACATACTTATGTCACTTATGTGAAAATAACTTACATAGTCATCTTCTGTTCGACCTTCAATCTGAATCCACTTATTTCACAATTCATTCACTTGAATTCAGAATAAAAAATGACTTGAAACAAGAGCAGATGAATATTTATAACCGCCCGTGACTGTTGTCTGGCATCAGACTGCTGTTCTTCCGAGCAGACTCACCGAGGGACGTTGCCGGGACATCTGCGCTGTAACCGGGCCCGACCTTTGACACCCACTGATATCTGTGTGCAGGGCCGACGCCCGGCGGCAGGACGGTCTCGGGGTGAGGTACCACCGCACAGGCCTGCTCTGATACCAGAGCGTGATTCCTCTCGGGTTCGCCCCGGTGGAATGTGCTGGAGAGGAGGCCACGTCAGTGATCGGATGATTGACGGGAATTCAACTTGGGTGATCCGCACATGTGAACCGTTGAGCAACGGAGGTTTTCTACGGCGGAGCTGAGGCGGCCTTCTCTCTCTGACCTTGGTTGTTTTCTGCATTTCCATCAACTAGATGAGCTCTCACGAACAAACTCTGACGCTTTGGTACGGAGGAAGTCGAGGGGAGCATCCAAGGTCAAGAAAAGACTTTTACCCTCACTGAGTGTTTGAGTAGAGACACGTTGAGGGTAATATATATTTAACACATTGAGGACAATATATTCACATGGCTGGATTCGAGGTTGAAACAAGGTCCTTTCTGGTGCCTTCGGTATGACTGATGCGTCGCTTCTCTCTGACCGACGACTTCATTGATCAGTTACTTTTAATTGAGTCCAGAGCCGAAGGACTCGGCTTCAGCCTCCAGAGGGACGTGACAAAGGACGTCTGACTCATTTAAAAGTAACTGATCAATGGAGTTTTTTTTTTCAGATCACCCCGTTTTTTTAGTTTCTCTAAGTCAAAGTTTATTTACTCTAGTAAAGTATTTACTAGTTAATTTTATGCGAGAAAATAACACATTCCTTTCTGTGGCTGCTTTTTTGTGCTGTGATTATTTAACTATCTGGCATGAATGGCTTTAATTTGCCACAGAGTGATGCTTCAACCCGCTGTGTAGTAAACAGTAACATTTTGATATTTTGAACCAAGTACGAGTGACCTGATGATGTATTGTGACAAACATGTCTTAAGAGAAGGTCCAGTCTTTCTTCAGTTAGTTGCATCCTATTACTATTAAATGCTAAACTATCAATAGTTTATTTAATCCCTTTATTTTTTCGTGGGGTTTTTATTTGTTTGTCCTCTAATTGCGCGTGATTTAATCTACCTGTTAATTCATTGCTTTTTTCAGTCCTGTAGTTCAATGCTTTGCTGGAAAATGGCGACAGACACTGCAGCTTCCCTGAACCAGGTTGTGTTCTGAGAACTGACGCAAGTGTTTCCCCTCCTTCTCCTCTTCACAGATGGAAACACTAATTGGTTTCTTCTTGTTACTTTCGGTATCGATGAAGCTCATTCTCACTCTGCATACGTGTCGATCACAAGGCCCCCTTGTTCGTACTGTAAATTGCATTGTGGGAAATGTGGGACTCGGTTTAGACGAAGCAGACAGGTCTGAAGTAGATCATTTATTTGTGTAAACATACTGTAATTACACAACGGACATGAAAAGGCGAGTGCGAGGTGAAGATGGCACATGTGGGTGGAAGCTATGATCTACTGCAGTGTGCGTGTGTGTGTGTGTGTATAGGTCGTCTTCAGGTGTGTGTGTGTGCGCGCGTGCGTGTGTGTACTCAGATTCCGTTCTGTGCTTTCTGCATTCGTAGACACACACTTTATTCACCTTGTGACTTTTTTAGTGAGCAGATAAACTGCCCGCCTCACCCGGCCCACTTAAAACACGTCCTGTGTGTGTGTGTGTGTGTGTGTGTGTGTGTGTGTGTGTGTGTGTGTGTGTGTGTGTATTTTCATTCATCCCGAGGTAAAAACGAATATTTTGCCGTCCCTTTATCAAAATGCCCGTGTGGATAAATGGTGCCACGTTATTGCAGAGAGATGCTGTCAGTCACTCACTGAGCCGTGAGTCATCACAACCGAGATGAACAGGAAGAGCAGTGAGCGCTGGAACAAGGGATGGAAATGATTTGGGTTTTTTCGATGGAAAACGATGTCACTAAATAAATGAGGTCATGCATTATGCAGTTCATGGCAAGTGTTACATCATCTACCAACAGGGTGAGAAAATGAGAAAAACTGTAAGTGCATCGTTCATTTGGACCTAATTGTTCTCCCTTCAGATATGTTTTAAACTTTGCAAAAATATTCTATATGTCCAGGTAGCGTCTTATATTTCTGGCATTGGTTGATGGGAAACATATAATATTTTCTATGATGTTTCCGTGTGTTCTCATCTAAAGACGCCCTAAAGACGCCACAGGAAGACAAAAAAACAGCCATCAACAGTAGAAAATCAACATTTATTCTAGTTAGACAGGCAAAGTGAAGATATGGTCATACTTCATTCAAACAGGTTTTTAGGCACAGGGACAAACATTTAAAAATATCATATATATAATAGCATATATTATTCTATGTAGCATAAAACCTCTTTACCATGACAACGTATGCACTTCATCATTGGCTGTACAAAAATACATTTAATCTTTCTTTCTCTGCACATCATGTTTGTATTTGTCTTTGTCCAAACGCAAATGTAGGTGCTGCTAATGTTTTCCATACTGGTTATGAATGTCTGCATTTGTGTATGTGTGTGTGTGTGTGTCTGTGTGTGTGTGTGTGTGTGTGTGTGTGGTCCTCTTCTTGCAGCTGTGGTTCAGCCAAAGTCGATCCGTGGGCGGTACTCAAGAACCATGGGATACGTCTGAGGGAGAGAGAGAAAAAGCAGAAAGCGTTTCAGAGAAGACCATCGGCCTTTTGGTCTCCACGACGTAAACGTTCACCACATGGCCGCCGGGGCCCCGAGGGGAAGAATTAAGTGCTGGATTACTGAAGAGAGAACATCCTCTGCGTAGGTCATCGTTTATTGCAAAAGGCTTTTGGAGCGTTTTTTAACGTTTAGGGTGCAAGAACAGTCGTAACGATAACAACATGCATCTCCAACCCGATTCCACACGACGCACAAATCCGCAGCAGCGACACTTTCAGCCATAAGAAGTGCGACCGGCGGAGCGAGACACCGACTCCCATTTCGCCTGCCGTCAAACTGCAGGTTTTTCCCACACTACGTAGCCAAAGAAGAATGTGCGCCCCTTTCCATTGAGCCGCCCGGGATGCGCAGGAGCCACAAGTGGCTCGCGCTGCTGCCGCTCCATTTAAAGGTTTATCGCTCAACGTATGTGCGATACACAGAGCTGTGTAACAAGCCAGGCCGACGCAGAGGGGTCGGTACACGTTACTGATCGGTTTCCCGGATCCCTCCTTGGCTGTCCGAGCTTGTTCACGACGTTGCTTCTCCTCGACTCTTTAGAACGCTGTCAGGCGACCAGGTAATGAGGGTAATGAGCGCAGACACAAATAATACAATCTGTGCAACTGCGACGAACCGAACGTCGCGTCACCGTCTGCCGTGCAGCGTCCTCGCGATGAAGGATCAGGTCGTCCCTTCACTTTTTCACAAGTCAACACTCAGTATTTAGATGGCTCGGCGCAGGCGACCCTTGACCTCTCAGGTCCCTGCGTGGCCTGGCGGCCCTTTAAGTAATCCGTCATTCTGGATGACAAACAGAAATGTCCATGAGGTGCACGTTGCCTCCTTTTGGTCGTGACGTGCTTCCTAAAGGGTCGAGCGACGTGAGCTGCCCCTTTTCGTGGAGAATTCACAGAGTGGGTGTTTGTGGAAGCAGGTGCAGAGGGAAGACTCTGTCTCCTGTTTCTGGAGCCCGTCTAGTGTTTCTGGCAGCTGGAGGCTGCTGCTGCAGCAGAGCACAGCTGCTGTCGTCTCCTCTGGCGTTCTGCGTTTTGCTGCATCATGCCTCGGAAATAAAGGACGCCGCTGTATGCGACCCGAGCAGCTTCTCACTGAGCCGTTTGTGTCTCCGAGAGTCTTTCACTCGGCATTCAGCTTTCCAAAAACACTTGAATAATCCTGCAGAAACGCATTCTTTCTTCTGTCAGCATCTTTGGAGGGCTTTTGTTCAAGTGTTAAATGTCGAATGTAGGACTCTCCGACCTGCTCCAGGAAGGGAAAATACTGAAAGCTAAATTTGCTGTAAAATATTGTTTGGTGCAGCCAGAAGTGACAGAATTACCCTACACCTACTTTTCTATTGTACATTTCCAACGGGAGCATGTGGGTATGACTCAATGTAAATACATCCAACAGACCCCAGTCTGTTAGGGTAGAGAACCACACCTCCTCAACCCTCATCCTGAACACCGGCGTGCCACAGGGCTGTGTGCTAAGTCCTCTACTCCCTCTTCACCTATGACTGCACACCTGCACACGGTTCTAATACCATTGTCAAGTTTGCAGACGACACAACGGTGATTGGGCCTCATCAGTGACAACGATGAGTCGGCCTACAGAGAGGAGGTCCAGCACCTGGCGGTGTGGTGCGCCGACAACAACCTGGCCCTCAACACCAAGAAGACCAAAGAGCTAATTGTGGACTTCCGGAAGAAAACTGGCACACACATCCCCGTCCATATCAACGGGACGGAGGTTGAGCGTGTTGCCAGCTTCAAGTTCCTGGGTGTCCACATCTCTGAGGACCTCTCTTGGAACCTCAACACCTCATCCCTGGTAAAGAAAGCACACCAGCGTCTCTTCTTCCTGAGGAGACTGAAGAAGGCCCATCTGTCTCCTCAGATTCTAGAGAACTTCTACCGCTGTACCATAGAGAGCATCCTTACAAACTGCATCTCAGTATGGTACGGCAGCTGCTCTGTCGCGGACCGTAAATCACTGCAGAGGGTGGTGAAAACTGCCCAACGCATCGCCGGATCCTCACTCCCCACCATCGAGGCCGTCCAGAGCAAGAGATGTCTGCGGAGGGCACGCGGCTCTCACCCCAGCCACAGACTGTTTGCCCTCCTCCCCTCTGGGAGGCGCTACAGGGTGCTCCGTTCCCGGACCAGCAGGTTCAGGAACAGCTTCATCCCTGCGGCTGTCACTCTACTGAACTCTGCCGCCCCTGAACTCTGAACTCTGCCCCCCACCCCCACATCTCCCTCAGTGGCTGTACTTCCCCCCTCCACCCTGGCTTGACTGCCACACACTCTAATCTAATCTAATCTAAATATAATGTTTTTCCACTGGGGACCATGACAATTCACAAAAAAATCAATGCTTAAGGAAAGAGGCTAGGAGTGATCACTGGGAATCATCCTGCAGAGCTTTTCAACCTCTAATAATTTCAACTTGTACCTGCTGTCAGGTCAAACAATCATTCGCTGGATGTAAAAGTTATTTATTCTCTTTTCTCGGGAAGCGAAGGGACGTGATTCACGACAGGCTTCTCATTCCTCATTCCAGGAATACACGGCCGCTTAAAGGTACATTACGCAAGAGTTGTATAGTGATGTCAGAGGTCTGTGTGGATTTATGACAACAAAGCCCGTTGCGGGACCTCATCCAACTTTCGGTTAAAAGAGCTTTTTTTCTATGGCGAAACGATGAGTAAGAGCAAAGCAGGGGAGACAAAGCAACAGATTCAGAAAAGGATTTGAACAGATATGTGAAACGGACATTACATGATTAAATGAAACGCTGGCCAACAAACTTGCCCCACTTTGTATCCCTCCTCAAAACACTGCTTTAAATAGCAAAGAATGCAGATTAAGCTCCCAGTATATGTGGTTTTCTCTGTTTCAGTGGGAAAACCTCAGCATTATCTCACGAGTTTTTCTTTTCACATTTCTGCAGATTCCATTTCTTCAGGTGAATCAATGAGTCAAGGAAGAGGCCTGAGTCTCCTGCTACTGAAATAAAAGGGGCGGATGGAACGACTGCCACAGATGCAACGGGAGACCTCGTCTGATCCCGATCCAACCAAACAATGTGAGTGCTCTTCTTAATCTAATCTGAGTGGGATTTGACCTTCGTCTGAACAGAGTAAACGGAGCGGGTAATAGTGGCCGCGTGCTGGAGGGAAAATCAAGTCAGGCTGCGTAGCAGACGGCAGGATGAGACTGATGAACGACTCGGATCTGCTTTCTCTGACTCTTCGGCCTCCGTTCCTGACTTTCATGCTTTAAATCAGTCTGTCACTCCTCTTCTCCCGTTACTTTATCCTTAACCGGACAGGAGATCTTGGTGTTCGTCCTTCTGACTCACCAAGGGGGGGAACATAAATAATTCTGACGGACTGATTTATGTTTGTTGTTTAGGAGCGTGGGAGCTCGGGGGGAAAAAAAGGGGGTGGAGGAAATACAGCGAAGGAAAGATTTTTCTAATAAAGAAGCTGCATGACGAAAAGCTTTCAAATTCAGTGCTTCAAATACATTGAAATGCAAAACCTGAACCTCCAGTCAATGTGATTCCTGCACCATATGGTACACGTATGGTACATGCAGACCAGAGAGAGAGACTGACGGGGGATTTCAAAGCACATGTAAACATTTGGGATACTGTGCTAAAGGTTTTTTATAAAGGTTTAGGCTGCAATAACATCACAGCATCACACCTGTATTTCAAATACTGATTAAAATGTAGCCATTGAAACAATGCTGAACTTTCTAACCAACCATCAAAGAACTAACTAATCCCCTCTACTCGTCCCTGGTCCTCTTCCTCTTCCTATCATCCTCCTCTCCTTGCTCTGACCTGCTATCGGATGCCACCTGTCCACGCTCCTCAGTCGCTGTCCGCACACACACACAGAATATTCTATAGACTTCCATTCTTATCACTAAACGAACACGCTTCAACCTCACAGCTGATCTTTACTTGAGCCTAATTCTAAACCTCTGCTGTGGTTTGCGTTTAGTGCCTCTGTGTGGAGTTGAGTACCCACAATGTGTGCATGAATGCACACACACACACACACACACACACACGCACGTTTCTTTCCTCCCCCCCCGTGCATCTACACATGAGCATGCAAGCACGCACACATAAACAGGAAGTGAGGGGGTCTTACATTCTCTCCATGTAGCCTCCATCGGGTCATGTAGATGAACTCCAGAGTGTGATCTCTTCCCATGATCTCTCCGTTGCACAGCACATCCAGCTGGAGACAGCAGAAGAAGGAGAAAAAAGATTTAAGAACAATCAGATAAACTATTTAATTTAATAAAAGGCTCAAAATGACAGAGCAAGATGCAGTGCAAAAGCCTGAAAGGATGATGTGTCACATACGTTGACAAAGGAAATGAAAAAGAAATCTTAAATCCAGTTGCACACAGTGAAAGAAGAAGGGAAGTTCTCTGTGGTTTTGAGTGGGAGGCTGCGCGGTGACTGTTTGAAGCTCCGGCTCAAGCAAACGTGGAAGCCATCAGTTTAGAATCCAAGCTGACTTTCATTCTTTGGATGTTTGGTTTATTTTCTTAAAGTGGGATACTTTATAATTTATTTTATTTGTATTTTTGTGTTATCAATTATATACATATGCTGAATTTTCTGTGGCTTAAAATAATAATAAAACTTTTTGCTTTCTGCTGAATAACAATCTTTTTGCATTGTGTAAACAGTAGTCAGCAAAACAACACGGACAAGCGCTGGCTCTAGAAACTTTACATAGATGTTAATTACAACATAGAACTCATGGGAATTTTCATTTGTAAAAGTAATAATGTAGTTTTCCAAGCTTTGAAAGATGTTGCGTTTTGATAACCAGCCAACCAATTTAAATTATACTATAGTTTCTGATGCAACTTATCAAATTGAATCGAGATATATACAGATATGATATAAACATATACACAGATCATATGTGTGCATTTCCCAATAATAAAACATAACTAGGTTTTTTGTTTGAGTTGTATGATGTGTTCAAAGACGGCGTCTCTGTTGTTTATGCGTGAACGTCATTTGTTAATTTGCGAATAAATTTCAATTAAGGGAGCTCAAGTGCGTGCACCCTAATTTAGATGGTAATTGAATCAGTTCCTTACCTCATAAGAGCTCGGCAGCTTTAGTTTAAGACTGAGGAACTTCTTAATCGTTCCCACTGTGACTCTACTGGAGCAGCGGATGAACCTCTTCATCAAATCCTAAACGGACGAGAGACAACGCCGTTAGACTGTAACCCGAAAGATTATTGTACTTTTTTCCAGGAAAAGACCCCAAAACAGATTCCAACCTTTGCGAGAGATTAAGATCCCCGCAGTCTGTAAAGCTTTGAGCCATTTTACAAACACAGCTGCATTCAATACGCTGACTTACTGATTATCCAAAGACTTGTTGATGAAAACATTGCACACAAGGAAACACACACACACACACACCGTGACAGTGCTCTCCCCCGACTGTCCCCCGTTGCGCAGGCAGTCCAGACAGATGGCTATCTGAGGGTCGCTCCTGTGGTAATCTTCGTCGTCGCCGTCGTCACCATCATCACCGCCTCCGCCACCGTAATCGCCTCCGGCATCAGGCCCCCCGACGCGCTGACACACCACAGTTTCGGCTGCGGGACGAGACAAGCGTTCACGCGCTCAGGCAAATGTTAAAGAGCCTAAATAAGTGAGCCGTGACGTCCTCAAATCTTCTTTGAAAATTAGAAAAGGTTTCAAAATGTCATCGATGTATGAGAATACTAAATGATTGTCCACTATAAAGCCAGCGAGGGGGTTATTTATTGTATTATGTGCAGGATCACAAGGTTGAAGTGTGACGGGAAGCTCACCTTGACCGTTTTCTCTGGGTTGGTTCTTCTTCCAGAATTCAACTTCCTGCTGTTCCTCTCCTGGTTCACACGAACAGACGAGAAGAAGGACATATAAAGAGGCAGCGCGGAGAAGTGATTCTAAAAAGAAGATGCTGCATTGGCCGGTGCACTGATTAATATCCTGTGTAATACACACACCGTGTGGTTAAACCGTGTGTGTTTTCTGCTATAAACTTCACTCATTTGACAATAAAAGATATAAAGCACTGCATAGCATATGGCTAATATATTTTTTTGTTATAGCAAAACTACAACTACTGTCCAACTTAAACAATCATTTTTGTTGTTTTAGTGAGCCACGTGTCAACGATTGAGTCATTTTATTACACACAGTGTTTAAAGTATATTATAGCCTCTAATGAACAATGAAATAAAAATGGTGTCAATCAGCTGCCGGAGCGCTCCGTCACCGGAGGTGGAGTTATGGAGTCGTAAAATTCTGGCACCGTCACAGCTTTAGTCGGACGTTTCGACTTGGCTTCTCTTCTGTGATCAGAGTACTGTTATTGGCTAAAAGAAAAGTCCACCCCCCCCACAAAGTGTTGTATAATTAAACATGCGCTGCAAACCGAGAAGATCAATCGAACCATCTGGAAAACTCACTTTCTCTGAGTCCAGGCACCAGCTTGAAGATGATCTCCTCCAGGGTGTTGTCCAACCTGAGTGATAGGAGAGGAGAGAGGGATCAGCTGTGCAGAAAGTCAAGAATTTATAAAAGATTAAAAAATAAAAGATATAATAGAGAGGAGGATAAGTTGGTTCAACAGGTGAGTAGTTACAAATGCATGAAGAATCGCTGTTAATAACACAAAGAAACCACCAGAAGACTGAGATATGTTAATAAGGAACAGATGAGATGGTTAAAAAGTAGAAAGAACACAAAGTAGCAAATCAAATGGAAATGAATGGAGTGAAATGTGTGGCACTGCATTGAAACAGAGAAACCAGTGAAAAAAATAAGAAATGAGCTCATTCAAATAACAGAGAGGACGAGGTACCTGAGCATCTCCAGGGGGTTTGTCTCATGGACCTGAATGCCACATTTAGGACAGTCATTGCTGTCCTCAAAGTGCTGCACAATACAGCTCTTACAGACTGCAGGAGAAACAACATGAACAGGATTTATTGGGGTTCGGTTAGTAACGGCTGCTCCTCGTCAAGACCGCTCAACGTCACGTTGTTGAACGATTCCGAAGCACAAAAGAAACAATACCGGCCACAAGCTAGTTAGCGTTCAATCTTGCTCATTAGCAAGTTAGCTTACTCGTTAGCCTTCAAGGTGACGGGCTATTATTGTGCTCCCACAATGCACTGTGGGACACTTCTAAACAAACTACATGGTGTCAAACTGCCTCGGTGGATTTGAGCTTGTTGAAATGTGTCGTGTCACAAAGAAAAAGGCGTCTGTGGTTTCACTCACAGGTGTGCAGGCACTCGGTGACCGTGGTCGGCTTTATCAGGTAACCTCGGCACAGGTAACAGGTGATGAAATGGTTAAAGTCCTTCACCAAGTGCTTCCTTCCCGTGGCAGCCATGTTTGGAGTCTTTTTTTTTAACGACGTATACTAACCAGGAGTCACAGTTCAAAGCTGAGGTTAAAGGTCACCGTGTGGCTTTAGAAGAGTCAGTGCATTCACAGACAGGAAGGAAGGGACGTAAGCTGCGTGTCAAGGTATCTTCACCAACACCGGCTAATGTTAGTCCAGGCTAGTGGATGTAAATGTCCGTTATCCACAAGTTACGAGAGAAACGAGAGAGCCTGCTGTGTGAAATCCTGCTCCATCCTTGATCCGATTTCTATTTTGTAATCAGTTTTCCTTTTGCAACGTCTCCCACACAGATCTTATTGCATCCTCAATGAAACATGTTTCTCCCATCGAACAAAGACCACAGGTTTGTCTAGTCTGTGTAATCCTGTTTCAAACAACCACGTTTGTTCCCGGTGAGTGAGATGTAGCGCTTCCTTCCCTGTCCCGGCCAAAGTGCCATTTTTAATCCACAAGGGGTCAGAGGTCAGCTGACGACATTGAGGCCAAAGACTTCTGCGAAGTCGGCCTCTTCGCAAGTCAGTTCATTCGTCTTCATGGTGCTGTTGACGTCTTCCTTCTTCTTCTTCTTGTTTGATGACCTTTTGACCTCAAACTGAAGTTACCTAGTAGAGACAATAATAATCAAACATAAGGAAGTGTCCTGATTAAAATCACACATAAAAAAACATGAATTGAAAGATGCAGATATTCAAAGACACATATACAACATCAAACAATTTAAGACCCAATAAAAGAAGCAATCAAAATGAATATTTAACCTAGAGTCCCATATAACTGAATAACATCACCCATTAAATAGACCTATATTTGTATAGTGACTTTCGAGGGATGACTATTTCTCTCCGACCGCAATTGAAAATTCTGAGTAAAAAACAAAAAAAGTCATTGTTGCGGTTTTGATTTAAATGCATTAGTCTCTGGATTACCACCCCTATGAATCCAAATCCATCCCCATTTGGATGGATTTGAATGAATGTTGGCTGCCCTATTTCAAACATCTTAATATACAACATTAAGCTTCAGAGTGGTGGACGAAATTCCATTCAGAAGTGTCGTCTCTGGTGTGCAAAGCCTTTTATTCTGATGGAGTTCGCATGTGATTTTCACAATGAATGCAACCAATAGACTAAATTACTTTTTCGGTGGGTTCACCTTTATAATACTAAAATCTACTAATTTATTAATAGATTAGTAGTAGGGGGATGCCACAATATTTAATTGAGCCAGAAGGCAACACAATACAGCAGGGATAACTCATCAATAATGGACAAACAGTGATACGAGTTACAGTAGGAATACTAAACAAAATAAAAGCCCAAAATGGGTGAATCTCCCCAATTATGTGATACATCTTTAAAAATGTTGACAGATGTCAACACTTCTTTGTCAAATGAGGAAATATCTTTAAAGTTCCTGCAACCCCAACAGAGACTGACTCACCTGTCCCTTAATCCATGCTGAAACTAAAGAAATTAAACATTTCCAAATGAATACAAATGTTATTCCCTGTATGTATTTGGCTTTATATCCACCTGCCCTATGCGGCAAACACCAGAACTGGCTTCTTTTAATTGAGGGTATACCTGATTCTCATGTGCAACTTCTATTATTTTGAAACGACGTCACGCGAGCTGCACGTTGAGCGGAGCACGTCAGGTGTGTTCACAGCGCTGAGCGCGCGGGGATGTGGTTTCAGGCGGCTTACCCGCAGCACAAACAAACTACACACGGAGGAAATGTTGTGCACTCCGCTCCAGACGTCTGCTTTTTTTTTTTTTTTTTTTGCTCGAAAAAAAAAATAATAATCCCCAAGTGCGCAGCTCTGAAAACCCTCCGGTCGGTGTCCGTCACCGGGGCACGGTCCTCTAATCACGCGCAGCCGATCCGCTTGTCGCCTCGCCTCGTAGGCGCGTCACGCCTACGTCACCCGCGTCAAAACAACATCAATGGACGACACGCGGACATTACGGCGACATACGCCGATGCGTTAAAACGACGTCGCAGCTCCACCTCATCTACGCTCGCGCGCGGAACGTATCGACGGTAAAAGTTGCGGAGCTTCGTCTCACGGCCTTTTTTTTTTTTTTTTTTCTCTTTTTTAAAGAGGCCCCGACGGGAAGCGCGCGCCGCGAGCGCGGGGGTGTTACAGCGCGTTTGCGTGAACGTACCGTGATCCCGCATGCGAATGGGCGCGGCGACGCACTTTGCGTTTCAGGAGAGAGAGAGAGAGAGAGAGAGGGGAGAGGAAGGGGGAGAGGGAGGGAGAGAGAGAGAGAGGGAGGGAGGGGGAGAGAGAGAGAGGAGGTCCAGCCGGCAGCGTCAAAGTTTGGCCGTAACGTCTCGCGACCGACGTGCGCGCCGCGGATGAATTCGTCATCCGCGCAGGAACAATAAAGAGATAACACCACATTCCTCACCTGCGCCCACACTTTCCCTCTTATAACCCCCCGCACCCCCCGCACCCCTCGCTCCCCTCCCCCCCCACCCCGCGGAGTTACGGATACCGCGGATGGGCCGGAATGTCCACCATGACACTTCGTGTGCGCTCACTCTGGTCCGTGCGCCGGGCGAGGAGGGAGGACGCGGAACTGTTCGGCTCGGATGCGCCCCGGTCCGCCCAGCGGGCGGGCGGTCGGTCGGTCGGGCGGGCGGGCGGGCGGGCGGGCGGCGGCGCGGGGAGAGAGAGCGGCGGTGGGCGGGGAGCCACCAGGCAGCCAAAGCAGGGCTCGGAAACTGAAAGCGGTTGTGTAACTCGGTGACTATTGGCCTACAACACGCGCGCGCGCGCGCGCGCACACGCACACACGCGTTGTCATGTGTGTGGTGATGAGCAGGGACGCAGCGCGGGCAGCTCAAACAAGTTGGGTTTGGTTTCATTTTCATTTTTGAAACGTTGCACATGTGGTACGTGTCATTAACATGAAATACACATGTTCCTACCACCGGTCCTCATCCGGAATCAGGAAACATTTATTGCCAAAATATGTCAAACATACAAGGGATTTGTCTTGGTTGGTGCGGGACAGTAGACAGTGTAACAAGAGACAACAAGACAGCAGTGCACAAGTAATAAAATAAAATGCTAATGCAATGGGTTAGTAGAATAAGGCTATGGGTTAGTATGAAATAAGAATAAAGTTAGAAATTAAAAATATTTAAACGTTAAAAAATATTAAAAAATAAAGCGCACTATCGAACAAGTGACGAGTGACGACAAAGTGAGAAATGACAGTTAAAGTGGCATGTGCGGTGTGAAGGGGAGTGACCGGTGGAATGTTATAGTCAGGCAGCTCTGTTCATGAGCCCGACTGCCGACGGGAAGAAACCGTTGGTGTGGCGGGAGGTCTTAGTCCTGATGGACCTCAGCCTCCTGCCAGATGGAAGGAGCACAAACAGGTTTTGTCCGGGGTGAGAGGGGTCGGCTACCATCTTTTTAGCTCGCTTCAGAGACCTGGAAGCGAACAAGTAGCAGCCGATCACAGATAGAATGAGAAGCAAAAATGTATGATAAAAGTATTAATGATGCCGAAAAAATAAATAATAGGCAGACTTCAGACCTTATGGAAGAACCTACTTGTCTGAGATGCCTTATTACCATTTAGTATTTACATTATTCACAGTCCCAATGAACACGCGATGGCCCAATATCAAATAAAGCGCTACCCAATTAATCTTTCATGGGAGAGTTCGCCGTGCTGATGCCTGACTTTGTTTTGAACCGTCTCTCTCGCTGCCCTTGCTAAATATTTGGAAGAGCAAACACCAGTTTGTGTTTTTGAGAACATTACGTCACAGTTTTGAGGGTGAAATCTCAAAACTAAATCACATTAAGCGTTTGTCATCATGTAGAACTTTCCCCCACTGTGGTCAATTGATGAGAGATTAAGTGCAGGCGTGATGAGTCTGCAGATGTGACGCTCTGTTCTGCTTTAAACTAAATACCAATGCCATCGAAACATACTCGCAATGACGGCGCTGATGTTAGCATGTAGCCCATAGCGCTGCTTTAGTATTTACCATCTTTGGTTCAATCTGCAGGCCTCACACGACATGGCCGTCGTACCTGACGCCACGTCTTGTTGGCCTGCAATCCAGAGTACAAACCTTCTCTTCTTCCTCTTGTGCGAGTTTGACTCGAAAGGAGCGTAGCGATGCCTGACGTTTTTATTTTTTTAACTTTGCTTTTAGCAGAGTCGTTGGTGCAGCACTGACACGCATCCAGCGAGGGGCCGCTGGCGGGATAACGGAGCCTTCAGTGACATCACCCTGTGGGATACGACCTCCTGTTTTGGGAAGTGGAATGTATCACCACGGCAACACAGTTCCCTTTCACACAGCCGGACAGTTCTTTGCATTGTAAATTCCCAAATGACATTTTTTCCCTGCAAACAGTGTTTCTTTTGCTCTCGAGGGGCAACGACTCCGCATGGTTTGATGAATCCGTTCCCGCCCGTCTCCGGAGGCGCAGATCGCTCCCATCAAACTCGCCCGCGGACGCCATGCGTTAATTCCTACCTGCCAAATGAGTTGACTAAATGGGAAATAACGACTTTTCACCAAAGAGAGTGACTCGCGAGTCGTCCCCGATGAATAGTGGGGCATTTTTTAAGTTATAAATGGTGACTGTTGATGCAACGCTTCCATTGCAGACTGACTCGGGCTCCGCCAAAACAAGCCACACAGACAGCGGCTCTAAAGTAAGAGTGTTTGTTTTGGGGATGAAGGGGCCCGGTCTGCACGGGTACCCCTTTCCAACTTAATAACAGAACATTCTGAATGCGCCTTCTCTGTCTTACAGGTTTCCAGTTGCTTGGACTTCGACCAAAGCTTTTACCGTCCCAGCAATGAAAAGGTCTGCAGTGCAGGACGAAGAGCTGATGAGGGACAGGTGAGCCAATTACAGACAGGTGAGTATGATGACCACCCAAGCACAGAGACAGGGACACGGACAGGGACACGGGAACACAGGGAAACCATAGCAACCATAAGGGATCTGGCACACAATAGGAATATAGGTTAAAATAGGAATATAATAAAGCATAAGTCATTAGCACTTACCTGTTTTATCATGTAGCACTTTGGGATTTTCTTAAATATAAAGTGCATTACAAATTAAATGTATTATTATTATTATTATTAAGTGGTAACACGAAAGCTTTCTCATAATAACAGACGGGCAACTGAAAGTAAAATAACAAAAACAATGGTTGTTAATCTGGGACATTGTGACACTGTCCATGGAGAATAATTATGGCAAAAGTGGCAATAATTAAATGTTTAAAATATATTGGTTTAATACCAATGATGTAATGTTTCGCTGTTCTTGGTTCTTGGTGCTCTCATTACACAAATTAGTGCCAATTCGTAGGATTAGTAGCGAAGCTCATGTCCGTCCGAATTAGGAGAGACAAGAGGTTACAACTGAGAGAACAAGACAGGAGACGGTTCTCAGGGAAAATACACATAGTAAGACATAGCGACATACAAGAGAAAGGGAACCGAGAGACAATCAAAGGGAAAGTGACAGCAGGGAAATGTTATACTGTACGTCTACGATAACGAGAAGTGGAACCAGACGGAAAAGCTGAAACGTGGTGAAAGAATCGAGGGCGGAACTGTTGAAAAGAGAAGAAAAAAACACAAAGAGGAAGTGGGACAGACGGAGGACGACAACGAACGTGACGGGACACAGATACAGTAGCTGGATATCACCAGAAGACAGCTGCAAAGAAAAAGAGACGATTCCACAAGACAGATAGAATGTGTGTGTGTGTGTGTGTGTGTGGCAGAGACTCAGCTGTCTACTCTGGATGCTTTATAACATGGCAACAGTTTCACCAGTTATTTTTATCTGTTTATTTAAATCTCACCCAGTCACACGTTATTGTGCAACGGGCACGCTAGTCTACATGGATACAGAAGCTAAATGTATGTACATTGTCAAATATTACACATGTAAGTGTCCAATGGACCCACGCTGACATCCCTGCGAGACATGTTGCCAAAAGACCAGATGATGAACAAAGGGAGGCTGATGGCTGATTGAAGAAAGTATGGACGTATTGGTACGTGCCAACCTTCCTCGGGGGGAATGTAAACGAGTACATAGTGAAGAAGAATCGGTCCTCCTCATCTCTCTCGTCTGGAGTGTCTTTGCCCGGCAGCCATTGCTGCTCCATATCATCACTGTACAGGAACCGGGATCATCTTTCTTTTCATTCCTCTCCATTCGGATGAACTCGGTTTCCTCATTCTTCTCTTTCAGCCCATTTGGCCCCCGTCTCTTTCTTCTCATGCTCCCTGCTACCGTTTCCTCTTTCGTCCTTCTGTCCCGCTGCATCTTCTCCATTATTTTCCTCATCTTTCAAAATCTAAACCTCTAATTTGAAAATAATTGTTTTTCTTTTCCATGTCTTTAATCCCCATCTCTTCATCCACCATCCATCTTTTCTTTCTGTCCTTTAGCAGGTGAGCGACTGCCTGACTGACTCATCATTATTGCACTTGGAATGACTCATTATTTAAACCCTCATATTCATTTTGCCACGTAAATGTATGTGTATTGTGGTCATTTGGTTCGAAGCTTATTTAAACCCAGCTTTGAGTCGTGTTGTCGAATGAAGGCCCGACCCTTCGAATGAAGCCAGCGGCAGCTGGACAGCAGCTGAGTCCCAGTTTATAAAATATACTGGGATTATTTTCAGGGTGCGACGGGTTCCTTCAGCACTGAAGCTCTGCTCCCAGAACGTTGTCCTCCACGCTTTCCCTCGGTCCCTTTTGAGGAGAAGACGACACGGTTGAATCTTGTTCATACGTGTTCATCGAACTGGAAACACACCTTTGTTCACTACTAGAACAAACAAAACTGGTTTTGCAGCCACATTCTTACACGATCACACAGGTGGTTTATGGCGCCTAATGTCAACTTCATGCATCACATCAAACTGTTTCATCAGAGTAGTGAAATAAGAATAAACCTTTCCAGGAGGAGTCGGCTCACTCCGTCACAATGAAAATCGTCTCGGGAGGCTTTCGGATCAAATCAAAGGAGTTTTTGTGACTTTTTAAAAGTTTGAATTGTTTTTTGGAAATTGGAAAAACAGATGATCACAAACCAGTGTAAACAAACCAAAGTTTGTGTTTGTGTTATTCCTCCGATGGTCTGGCGCTGACGGCGCTGCAGAGGCGTGTCACATGACGCCCTGGCAGCGTATTACATTATTAATCCGCCCATTAGCTCGGCCCACCCTCCCTCCCGTCTTTAACCTTGAACCCGGCGATCCGCACTGATCCCCCTGGAGCTCCCGTTCGCCGGTGGCGAGCCTTTCTGCACCTCGCGGCCTTCCGGCGCCGCGTTTGCTGCGCCGCTTCCACCTGTTCCTGGCGAGCAGTTGGCACTCAGTGAAAACACACACTCACACAGCCAAACTCATGCACATGGACACAGACACAACTAAGACAAGTTTTTAAAGGAGAGCTTCACATTCTGTCACATCTATCTTAAAACAATCCTCGTGTCCCCAAATGTAGATTGGAGGAGTCCACAGTCCTCATTATGTTTAAAAATAAAGACAAGCTTAACACAGCGTGTACTGTGTGGGAGGGCTGTGCCCTGTAGACATTCTTCTTTATTACTCTCTAATTTATATTATAGACCGGACATCTTCTGGTCCACGCAGCTTTCTGCGTGTGCTGCAAAGGGATTCACATAAAGACTTTTCTCCCAGAGATCATCTGATGTATTTCCCTCCACAGCTGGACGTCCATGTGTTCATCCGCTGCGTGTTGGGTGGAACTTTGTTTGAGGCGTGAGGGAGATTAGAGGCGGGTTATGGATTGTTTACAATCAGACGTGTCCGACGGAAATAACTCGTGTAGGGTATTGTGTGGCAGCATGTGTGTGTGTGGTTACAGCAGGTGCTGGTTTGTTGCACTTGACCTTTCCCCCCACTTTTATGAGGATGATCACATGTACACACACACACACATTCACCCTCCAGCAGTGAGTCAACCTCTATGAGCGCTGATGTGTTAATGTTAACCAGTGCTTTTCTCAAAGCGCTTTAAACACTTCACGGCATCATTCACCGGCCCCTCAGTCACAGTCAAACACGTCCCGTCCAAGGACACGTCGACATTGAGCAGCGGCGGAGCGATCCCAGCCCGTCCGGGAGCATTTTAAATGCTTAAACTCTACCAGAGCTCACAGAACAAGTTTGTTTGTGGGGTACGTGGCATTAAAAAAAGAGGGAAATCAAGGCCGTTGTTGTCGGCAGATAAGAAAGTCTCATCATACCAGAGCGTTTGAATGGGAATATCGTTGCAGTCACTCCTCGATCATGATGTTGCACTCGGCCGTTTGCTGTGTGAAGAATGAAACAAAGGGAGATGTACTTTCACACCTCTGCACGACCAGCCGGTAAAACATGCGTCAGCAACGGAGCTGAAGGAGCCGACGGGCACTGAATCACGCCGAGGTCTTTAAAGTGAGTCAGAAGTAACGAAGACTCGAGTTCTCGGGAGTGTTTACTGGCTTTGTTATATCAGCTCATCGTTGACGTGGACTTTTATATCAACCAACCAGATTCTGCACCAGCTTCCTGAAAACCAATCACATGTCATCCTCTCGTCTGCTGTCACTCCCTTCATAACCACCAGGATCTGTGCCCCGTTTTCCTCCCCCCACCAAAGCTTCACCACCCGTTCTAATTCAATAGTTCACTAATTGAATCCAATTAAAACAAGTTAGTAAAAAGCCAAATCAAGCCTTAGACAATAATGAATATGCATTTAGTATTTATTCATATTCAATAAGTTTGAGTCGTCCAGGTTGAGGTGTCGACCGATATAAAGGTGTGAATGTTGTGAACATTGATTATCAAATCATTTGTTGCATTGTAGTTATGAGTTAAGGGACAACACGCATTAATCATAAATTAAAGGGTCACAGGGTTATATTCCACCAGTACACAAAGCACCTCACATGAAGACCAAGCACTACCTTTCTACCAACAGAAGTTTCTTTTAATCTCATCTCGTTTCCGCTGTCATGTCTGCAGCGGCGTGACAAATCACCTTTGAATTTCAGCGCTGTCAGTCACAGCTCCCCCAGGCAGACGGATGGAGGGCGGTCTGGGGGGGGGGCGGCTGGGGCCTGAGCTGAGGGCTGCTGAGCCCGCGGCCGCTCCTCGGAAAGCAAACAGCCTCGTGAGTTACGGCCGGACGGATCGTTTCTCTGAGTGAAGGATTATCTTCATTTGATGACACACTCATAAACAGTTTGCGAGGTGCTGCACGGGGGGGGGGGGGAGACGCAGTGCCTCTTCAATTCGGGATGTCGGGTGGGAGGAGGATTTATTCGGCTAATAATAAACTTGATTTATTTCCAGAGAAGGAATTCTGCATGTCGACTATTTATAATTACAGAAGCCTTTGAGGCATCTCTCGTGGTTTAGAGCCAAATGTCGGACAAGTCGCTGAGCAAAAGGAACTCACACACACTCACACACACACACACACACACACACACATGCAGTTTTAAGATGATGCCTTTACACTCTCCTTTAGCCATCTGACAAACAAGAGGGACGGTTATTAGGTGTGCGTGTCCAAGAAGGACTGGCCACTGAAATAGGCCCACGGTACTTTATTTTGCCGATGTGCACCTTTCTTTATTTGGGCTCTCTGTTGGTGCCGAGCGAATGCAACGTGATATTTCTGTTCGTGACCGTGATGTGAAAGCTGTCAGCAAGCGAGTCACAGACTCCATGACGGCACTGAAATAGCTGAATCAAAAGGTATTGCTGATCACGCGAGTAGATGACTTTAGAGTCAGGGTGCTCATGCTCGTAGGGAACAGGCCTTAATAAATACAAAGTTTGAATCACACATGCATGCTGTTTAACGTCTAACATGTTTTTAAAACTATCGGGTTGAAGCTGAGTGCAATTAGTTTTCTGTGGTTGTAGGTAGAAAGGATCTCCGCACTTCAGAACTACTGTGATCCAATACAGTAATTTTCACAACGTTCTTCAGATTAACACATTTTTTTTTGTCTCTTTTGTCAGATACGGGAACAAGTTTGAAAATCGGTCACAGCGTGTTTCCAATCTGCTGCGCATCCAATTATTTTGTACAATTGCAACATCAGGCGCCACGAGTGTAATGAAAGTACAGCAAAGGTTGGTTAAGTGGCTGCTGCAGAACACGAGGCCTCGTGTGTAAAACATCCCTTGTGCTGGATGTTAAAAGTGCTGTTCTTGTGCGACTGACTCTGAAAAGATTACACCTTATTTGTTATCTCTGCCACACGCAACGACGGTCCGTCACCCTGTCGAAAGGGTGGCACCTCGGTTCGGCTCCGTCCTCACATTTTTCAATAAAATGTCAAGTTACAGGTTCTGATTTTAAGATTTATTACCAGTGGAGAGAAAGTAACACAGTCGTAATGCAACTTGTCACTTAGACGTGACACTTGTATTCCACTTATTTCTTTTACCAAGTACATTTGAAAGAAATGTGTGGATATGTGGATTACTTTCAGTGGCAACAAACAGCTAGAATTTGCTTCTGGGTAAATATTGGATTGGCGCCTTTAGCTTTAGGCAACAAACAGTTAATATTATAGTTTTAGTAAGACGTCTTCCTGCCTCAAGCCCCTGTTGACCTTTACAATATTAAAACCAAAAGTCTTAAAATCCATGCAGGCGAATCACAGATATCACACTCTTTATTGCACCCATTCCTTACCCAATAACGTGCACCTATATTACCCACAATGCAGCTTGACTGGCGATAGTTGTGTCACAGATTGGGGTGTTTTATTTGAGTGCAGCCTGGAGCCTGTGGCAGCAGATGTGAGCAGCTGTCAGAGGTTTGGTTTGCTCACGTCTCTCTAAATCCAAACCTCCAGATATTTCTGCCTTAGATTTTCGACTCAAACCAACAGTGACATCGCTCGAGGCGTATTGGACATCGCAAAGTCCACTCGAGAGACACAAAAGGCTTCACGTGTTCTCCCCCTGAGGGGCCGTTCTCTTCTTGAGGTCATCGTATTGTTTTAATTCACTACAAGATGTTGACCTTGGTGAACAAAAGCAGCACACACAGGGACTATTGGCTTAAAAACCGCTCGCCTGTATACCTCAACTATCTCTTTCTCAATAAACAAACTGACAGCGGTGATTCCTGTATTCCTGCTCACCATTAATTCCTCTAAATGTGTCACAGCTGCACCGTGTCCTTCCTGCTCGAGTGCACAACACAGGGAGATGTGAAAGTATTGTGCAACAACTTTCAAGGTCTCCATCCGTCCACGAGAGTTTCCCCCTTCACCACCTATTTCCGTCACACGGTCCGTTTTAAGAATAGCTCTCAGCTATGACTTCACTGTCTGAAGTGGACAACAGGGCTGAGTGGTGGCCTAGTTCTGAAGGAACCGCCTTGTTCTTAAGCTTATTTATTTCCGTTATACCCGATATTCTGGAGAGGCCACGATTCTTTTTGATAAGATTTTTGTAAAATTAACTTTGTTTTATTGCCCGTGTCTGTTGGAAAAACCCTTTCGGAGGGTTGCTTTCTTTTAAATAGTTTTAGCAAAAATGTGAAAAGTAGTTTTTTATGCATCATCACTCTCTGGCACCTGATTGGTGGACGGTGAGGTCACGCAGCGTGTGACCGCCGCTGCCCGTCAGCCGTCATCACTGCGAGATGTGCGATGTCACATTTCCAGCGCATTCAACGGCAGCAACAAAAAGCATCTGACGCGACGTCAGCCCCTTGCCACCTGTCAATCAACCCCCCCCCCCGGCGTCCCGCCGACCTCTGACCTCGAGCTGTGACAGGCCACAGTGAAGTGGGAGGATGTTTCAGGAAGGGTGACTATTTATCTCCTCGCAGTGACATCACTGCATTTCTGTGAGCACATGCCGGGCGTGACGAGACACCGCGGAGGACGCTCTATGTTTGGGAAGATGAATCACCCTGAGCTTAATAGAAAACACCCAAAAAGGTTCACTTCAAGAGGACAATAACCATAACGCGTGTAATTTCCTCCTACAAGTGTATTTTACAATACATACGCCTAAACGCCTGCTGGTCGCTCATGTTGTTCTCCTCATCGTCTCAGAGCCCACGAATGTGAGGCAGAGTGACCCCTCGTACCGCTTGTCTCTGCATGGGGACGGAGACGCTGTCCCCCACCAGCAGCCCATACTGGGCAGAGCCGGTGGTGGGAGGGACTGGGTACGGAGGTGGAGACGGGCCGCAGTTGCCGGTAGAGCCGAGCGGGCCAAATGAGCACACGAGGACAGTAGCGGGGTCGGCTTGAGTGACAGGGGCCCCTCTTTTATTTTTTTGTGCCGAGGTGTGACGGATCTATATAAGAGGCCGAGGCTCCGACCGCAGGCAGAGGAGACACCCGGAGAGACACTGACCATCCCAGCGGACCACCAGGGGACTTAACGCGGCCTTCAGTTACCCACAGTGCTGATAAACCACCACGGCGAGACGAGGAGCGGGATGGGACTGCACAGCGTGGAGGAACTGGTGAGTGTAAATTAAGTTTATAGCAAATATGAGAGGAAGGAGAAAAAACAGATCGGTACCCTAAAGGATAGGATATGATATGTGGAATTATTTTAAAATAATAATAATTTTTCTCTGCTTGCAATTGTAAAACAAATGTCTTTTTTAAGAAAAGGAGCGCTTTGAAATACTGTTTAGTGATGCTGTGATGGAAACGGACCACGCTCAGAGTAACTCATCTGTTTGTTTTCATTGTTTTGCTATTTACATGTACAGTGTGCATCATGTTGATTTGTATTAATACCACGTACCATGTGGCGTGGCGTTGGGTGGGAGGTAGAACAAGAAGAAGACAACCTACTTCTGTTAGGGAAACTCATTTCAGCACTAATGTGGAAATACAGCAATCCTTAATTACCTAATTGATCTCTTCTTAAATCACCTCATTTAACTGCTTTATTACCTTTTACTTCGAAAGCTACTTCTGGCTGCTTATTTACAATTCAACTTAGATAAAGGTAAGAATGTCATTAAGGTCCTTCAGCCCTCGCTGATGTTGCTGCAGTTAATCCCTGATTGATCCCTGATGACTAAATGTTAAAGAGAACACGAAAACAAACAAAAGTAGTTCAAAAAATTACATGAGCGGACAATTGCAATCACATGTGTACACAAACACAGTTGTAACAGTGAAGTGTTGCTGTGTGTATGTGTGTTCATTGACACGCGTACACACGGATTGACAGAAATTACCGTCGGGACCTTTTCCCTCCAACAAATCTTAAAGTTGTGTTTTCTTTCCCTTCTCAAAATGCAAATTCATTGAACTTTCGATAGGAAAAAAAGTATTTAAACAACAGAAATCAGTTGGCTCGGCGTGTACAACATCTCCATCTCTTCTCGCCCTCAGGTGTCCGGTAAGAGGTCAGAGGGCAAAGAGACAGACGACTTCCAAGGCGGCGTGTACGAGGCGGCTGTCAATCTAGAGAAGCGGGATGACCGGCGGTCCCACGAGGTGGACGCAGGTCTTTCAGAGGAGGCCGACAGCGGCAGCGAGCAGGAACACGTCAGTGTGGCAGATCTCCACGTAAGAACACGCGCCCTCTGTACCGACTGTTTGACATGGTTACTCAAATACAACAAGTATCAGCAAAATGGACCCAAAGAACAAAATATAAGGACGCGTTTTCGCCGTACCATTGGATCCATAGTATTGATGCATTACTGAGTGAGCAGTAGCACTGGTCTGGAGGAAAGATAAATAATGGCCAGGACCACACACCTCATCGATCTCTTGGTCTACGCTGCCACCTGCAGGCAGTGGCAGTAAGTTGCAGGAGTGTAACGTTCTAAACCTTTAGGATTTTGGTCTTTGCGTTTGAAGTTGATTAGAACATGTACATGTGAGTAGTTTGTATTTAAAGTGCTCTGCGTCACGTCTCCGCCCCGTCAGACGGATAAAAGCGGCCGGCTGAAGTTGGAGACGGTGGACGACCTGTTCAACATCCTGCAGCTGAGGAAGAGGAGAAGGGAGAGGAAGGCGCCCGTCCATAAGAAACAGCAGCCGCAGCCGGAGAGCGTGGTGAGACTACATTGATGGAGTGCAGGTGTTATTTTCTCTGACTTCTACTTTTACTGAGAGCAGAACACTCGACAAGATCACGACGCTTTGCTCCGAAATGGTGGAACGAGCTCTCTGAAGACATCAGGACCGCAGAGAGCCTTCACATCTTCCACCGCAAACTAAAGACACGACTAACAAATTGTAGCACTTAAATTGTACTTACAATGGCTCTAATCTATAGCGAATTGTAAAATGGCTTATTTGATGAAATTGCCCTTTCTTGCTCTTCCAATGTCGCTTTGGATAAAAGCCATCTAATGTGATAAAAAAAGATGAAAGAAATTGAATTGTACGTCAGAAGCTTCACACTGAGGTTTGAAATGAGAAAACTGTCCCTTCACCTTCGGTGGATGTCGTGTGTGTTCAGACTGTAAAGCCCTCTGAGGCAAATTTCTCATTTGCAATTTTGGGCCACACAAAATAAAATGAATTGAATTTTGAATGTGTTTTCTTTTGTATTTTCTAGCCAGAGACTGTGGATGATCAGCTGTTTCTGACGGCAACCACGGAGAACAAACTGCCCGTGGTGGAGAAGTACCTGACCGATGGAGGGAACCCCAACGCAGCCGACCACGTGAGTGTTAAAACATGCTAATTTCTTTTTTTAAGCATTGAATGCATCAAGCTCTTTTCAGCCAAGCATTTAATCATCAGTTAAATACACTTGACTTTAAACAGACTTTAATCCATTCAATGTCCAGTTCCAGAGAACAGCTCTGCACAAAGCCTCATTCAAAGGACACATGGAGGTCATGAAAAGACTCCTGGAAGCCGGAGCTTCCATTGGGAAAAAAGACAAGGTGAGGGGGATTAAAAAGCGCTCATCTGCAGCTCACGCGACACACGGCGTCAGTCTAACGGCTCTGTGTGTGTGTGTGTCTCAGCTGGAGGCCACAGCGGTCCACTGGGCCTGCAGAGGAGGCAGCCTGCCGGCCCTGCAGCTCCTCCTCGACCAGGGAGCCAAGTTCACCGACAGAGACAAGGTCGGTACGGACGCACGCAAGCTTTTCAATGCACAGCAGAGAAAAGGCAGCTGGAGTGAACTGAGAAAACTGAGAGTCTCTCTCCTCCCCCTCAAGTTGCACAGCACTCCCCTTCACGTCGCCGTGCGGACGGGACACTGCGAGTGCGCCGAGCACCTCATTCACTGCGGCGCCGACGTCAACGCCAAGGACAGGGTGAGCACCAGACGCGGCGCAGGGATCCCCGCGCTCCTCGCGCCCCTCACGCCCCTCACGCCCCTCACGCCCCTCACGCCCCTCATGCCCCTCACGCCCCTCACGCGGCCCCCGAGCGCTCAAAGTGATGCTGAGTGCTCTGTTATCCCCCCCCCTGCAGGACGGAGACACGCCCATGCACGACGCTGTGAGGATAAACCGGTTCAAGATGATCAAGCTGCTGATGATGTACGGGGCCAGCCTGAAAAGCAAGAACTGTGTAAGTTCAGAGCGGCTCGGCATCCTCTCTGTGTGCTTAATGAGAGACCACTGCGGCCTCACTTGTCTGCGAGGGGCGACCTTTGGATGACCGGCGTGTTCGTTTCTCCTGTGCAGGAGGGAAAAACTCCACTGGAGACACTGAATTCGTGGCAGAACGGCGCCAAGAGCCTCCTGTGTAACTTCAGCCAGTAGAATCCAACGCATTCCGCCGACGGCAGGGAGTCAACGTGAGACCCAGAAGATCTTTACTGATCCATTTATTGTTCAAGAGGCACGCGTGTCTTTCTCACCCGGTTCCAGCATTTTGAATGTTAATGGCCGAGTTCCATTTCTCACACTACATGTTTGAGCATCTTACGGCCACGTGGGCAGCAGAGCCCTGAAGGAGCCTTTGATCAACAATGTGAAATCTAATCAGGTTGTTTATAATGTGATAAATAGCAGAGATAGATGAACTGTTTGCCAAATATTGCTGGACAATGTCTCGGCCGACAACAGGGAGTTGTTTTTTTTTCTTCTTTTCTTAATGTTTAATTTAAACTGGGTTGAAGTGCATCGAGAAATCATGTATTTATTGATTCATGATCATTGTAATCAATTAACCTAAAGTGTTTTTACCATAGACATAATAAGCAAGTTACTGTAGGGGTGAACCGAGTGTTTGAGGGTTTCGTTCATGTTTATGGTTAGATTTAATTATTTAATTGATTTTCATTTGCTCAAACTGGAACGTAGTGTGTGTTTTTCTCTGGTTCACATTTCCCTCACAGTTCTATAGGAACAGTTTGTGGATTGAACCAAGTGTAAGAAAGTCCTTTATTTGTATAAAATGGCTCCAGCTCGGTGTAAATTGTTTAAAGGGCAACGGGAGGAACTGAGCCTCACCTTGCTGGCAGGTTGTGCGTGTTACACTTAAACATTCAGAAGACTTTAACCAAGTTCTTTAAAAGTTCTTTGGTTTTATGAATTTTAAGATTGAGAGTTGAGACACGATGAAGAAGGTTTTTGGATCAGGATGAGAAGAACCTCTCCACTTACTATTGATTAATTGTTAATGTGTGTGATCAGCAGTTTTACCAAATACCTTTACTGCGTTTTTTGAAATGAGCAGCAAGTAAAAGAAACGCTTGACCTACACACAAGTATTTTGACTCATCTTAATCGTGGCTTGAAGTAAGTTTAGTTACTTTTTTTTCTCCCTTTCAAATTTAAAAAAAAACCCTCATTGTGAAAAAGAGCTTCAATTTGTTATCTGCGCTCCTCACGTTTTGTCTGGACGTTCAGTCCAGACGACCTTCCGACAAACCCTTTTGCCAGTTTCTTTTAAAGGTGTTTTAATTTGAGCGTCACCTTATCAAAGGTCACCTCAGGGACACGCAGGCCTCAACTGGCCACAGCTGACATCACACACACACACACACACACACACACACACACACACACACACACGCAGTGCGGGAGGGACTAAGCTAAAAAGTCAATGTTGGTTCAGAGGATGTTTGACAAGTGTTTATGGGGAAAGAAGTCTTTACGAATCATGTTTTATGGTCAAAGACGTACGTGCAATTTGCCTCGTGTTTATGGATGTTTGAATAAAATCTATTTTCAATTTGAGCTTCTTTGATTCAGAGAGAGAGAGAGAGAGAGAGACAGACAAAGAGAAATGATTGAGGGAGTTGAGTGAATAATTGCCCTCTTTTTCTCATATTGGTGATTTCAACTATTTATTTAAGTACCAAATCTCTGCTCGAGTTGGATTGAACAAGCCAAAATAAATGTATCCCAACTGACAAAAAAAAACAATCCATTTGAATGAAATACTAAAAAGAAGAGCACAGTTACTTTTATGCCAATTTTTTAGGAATGAATCATTTATGTGCCCTTTAAAAATGATATGTCAAAATGACATTAATACAAGTAGGTATATATGGGAAGAGGTTTTTATTTTTCCCAGACCCCCTTAAATACATGTCGCTTGTTTTGAGCTTCATTGATATTGAATGTTACCATATGTGAAAGGTATATCTCATGCATTACACATTAACAATACATGTAATTAATCACTTGTTTGGCTAATTGTGTTTTGTTTGGTGGCCGTGTGTTCAGCTCACACCACAAACGCACAGGTTGAAATTGGAGAAGGATTTTTTTTTTTTCTAAATATGAAAACCGTAAACATGTTCAAGTGATTTTAAGGAGAGCGTAAGTAGCTATTGGAAAATTCCAGACTGAAAACTAATTTTTATTACAAAAAATTACAAAAATGTCAACCGTTTCCAATGAAGGTTTCCCAGATGGTTGTGTGGCAGGTCGGGTCAATGGATGTAATCTACGTCCAAAATGAGAAAATGCATCGCTTTCAGTCCCTCGACCATGTTTATTAAATCCCTTACGGCGATGCAGCATTAACTGCAGTAGTGTTTTGATCAATAACTCAGTACCAGTAACTTATTTGCTCCAATTACAACGTTGGGCTTGAACACCACGACGTGGAATTCCGCTCTTAATAAAGGACAAGTCATTTGGATCAGCAGCCATCATCATTGTACTGCAGACGCACAACCGCTATATATATATATATAGTAAGTAAGGAACACATGGGAGAGGATTTAACTGATGAAACATAGCGATCGTCGGTGCTGAAAATGAAGCAAACCTACGAGCCTAAAAATAATTGAAATTATGTAAAGTTGTCCATTAAGCGTGTGGACGCTTTGATTGAGGGGTGCAGTCGCTCTAAGCGGTTCTCTAACAGCTCATTAGCTCTGGCACTGGGGCACCCGGCTATGAGCAATGTGATGGAGGAAAATTCTTTTGTCAGGCGGAAAGTGACTGGAAGTCTTCCCTGTCCCTGCGCATCAGACTTGCCCAACAAGTCATCCACCATCCAGCTCCTTCGTAGTTAAAGTTTAGTATTATGCATCTTCTCAGCCAACTCTAAGCCAGAGAAGCAACATGTAAGGCGTGGGAAGGCAGGGAACCGACCATTAGGGCCATATCACGGGGTGGAAGCTCACCTGGGCCTTTCTTCCCAAAGAGACCGACCCGAGAGGCCAAACTGATCGGTGATGGACTTGGTAGGTTCTCTTTCTTCTCTTTTTAAAAATATGCTTAAAAAGCATTTTTTTAGTGACTTGTAACGTGATATTCTTTGTAGTTCATGTCATTAAATCCAAGGGTTGTGATTGAATTTGTTTGTCTGACTTTGTTGTTTTACTTATTACAGCAAAGCCCTTTAGTTTAAACCTAAAATGTAATTTTAAAGCCACATTTTGAGTGCAGAGTCTCCTTTGTCTTCAGGTTCAATATGGCCGTCAACATTCCCGGATTGACGGCGATGCTGCTCTTCTACCTGCTGGTGCTCGGGGTCGGCATCTGGGCTTCTGTCAAGTACAAAAGGGAGGCGAGCAGAAGTGCAGCCGACAAGATCGAGATGGCCCTGCTGGGGAACCGCGGCGTAAAGAAGGCTGTCGGGATCTTTCCGATGAGGCGGTGCACGCTGGAAGCTGCTGTTGCAACAGAGCAGGTTTCCAGGGTTTACGTTAAGTCCTGCAGACAAACAATAGAGATAAGCGGCCCATTAACAACTAATTAGCAAACTCCAACATGGAATTTGCATTTCATGTATGTAGCAAACAGACTTTTGACAGGTCGGCACACAAAAATGAATTAATTTAGATTTTCTCCAAAATGTACAGAAACTTCAGTCTGCAGGGACCGCGTGCTTTGTTGCAGCTCTCACTATCTTGATATTTGGAATACCGCCCGTACTATTTGGGGCAGTGGCTGGTAAAAAGAGCTTCTGAAGATATTAAACATTTTTAACTTCATTAAAAACACGCATGTAACTTCAGTAAAAGCACTTTGATTGTGTGTGTTTCCAAAGATAACTGAACAAGCAACATGTCAATGGAGAAAAGAAAATTGTTTAGTAAAACAGACTCTGTGTGAGAGTTTTTGTGACTCTTTGTGGAAGAGGGAAAGAGACGGAGGAGGACGAGGAGCTCCTTGTTTCTCAACCGAACTCAAACGCAAAAAGCTCAAATGGTAAATTCCGGTGAGCAAAGCTGGTCTGACGTTTGCTTCATCGTCTCTTTGCTTGCCGCGTCAGACTGGAACCTCACTTCTTACGGCTCTCCGTCTCCGCTGGAACGTGGCGAGGCAGCCACGGTCCTAGTCCTTAGCCACCTCACCCCGACCGTCGTCTCCATCGTCGGAAACCGCCGCCATTTCTGCCGCCGCCATGTCGTCGGCCGACTTGCAACATCTACAAGACTCTCCTGAGGCCGCAAGTGAGAACAACTAAGATGGTTTCTTGAATTGACATTTCCAGACAAAACATTTTCCTGCTGTTTCCTTTTCATTTAGGCCTCGCAGAGAGAAACCCAGTGGGCGATCCGAGCTGCGGTGGTGGTGGCCGGCTTGATGGGCGCATCGCTCACCAACCTTAAAAACAGCATCATCCCGTTGGTGAGTGGAGAGCCGTCTGTGGGTGCAGCACCAGTCATACACTTTCCGGGTTACACTCTGGAGGACGGCATCTATGTTCAGTACTCCCCAGTGAGGACCATCTCCGTGCTGTCCGCCATCGCTGCCAACTTGCTGTTCTCCTACCTGGCCTCGGCGCTTTTCAACAAAGGGCTTTTTCCCGAGAAGTGGGACGTGTGCAGAGTGGAAGACCAGAGCTCGGCCCGAACGCCGACACCGGCCGACCACAACAGGAGAACCGAAAGAGAAGGAAACACTCGATGAAATGGAATCTCCCCGAGACGCGTCACGGCCGATGATTACCACCACTTGTTAAAGATTGTCAGTGCCGCAATTCGATATAAGTACCGCATTAATATTATTGACATGCAAGGGGTTTCTTTTGGAATGTTTAAGCTGCTGTATTTTATTTTTTTATGAACAGGATAAAAGCTTATCCTGGAGGAGGAGGACTGAAAAAAATAACTGGACCAGGTGTGATCACGTTGCTTTTGGCTGAGGAACCAGTGATTTATTGTCAAGCTTTGAAAATGTTGTTTGGGTTTATAATAACAGGTTTTCAAATTTGACAGCAATCCCAATTAATCATACAACTTGGAAGTCCAATTAGTCCACAGCAGCATCAACGCTATCGTATCATTTTTGGGCATATCTTTCAGAAAAATTAAGAAATCAGTCAAATATTGACTTTGGAGGTTTTTAATGCCTGATGGGCTGATTTATTCATTAATACCCTGAAGTGGCCTTTCTCTGTCTGAGTATCGGAGTTAGCTAAAATCCAAATTAAAACAATGAACAAACAACACTATCCATGTACGTTGTTGTGATTATTAATGTATTAACTCATGTCTATCCCGTCGTCCTGGCTTCTTTCAGATAAACGTATATGCAGATTGAAGCGAATAACAGTTGTCCACCGTGTAACACTCCACACCAGCTGGTGGCGGTAATGCGCGTCCATGTTTTATTGTGTAGCCAACGGCCAGAACAAAGAAGGAAGAAAAACGAAACTACGCATGCGCAGTTTCTGCTCGAATCCGATTGGTCCGTTTCAAAACTCAGACCGCGGCCGTGTTGTGTTTTTGTCTTAAGTTAGCTAACTGTTAGCACACAAAAAATACTGCTACCAATACTTGTTCCTCACCTAATGTTCCACACATAACTGCCAGGTACGTGTTCTGGTTGTCGTTTACTTCTTTTCCTAAACGGTCTTTGTAACAATAATTGACGTCTGAAGTTGACAGGTGAGGGGTCGCTGACGTTAGTCATCTCAACGTCTCCAGGTAGCTAACTGAGCTCGTCCGCTAGCTTAACCAAGAGACGTTTAGAGTTAACGATTCAAACGTTTGTCAAAAAAAAACGTCCAACCGTTTACGAACTGTTAAACACAGATAATAACGTTAACTAAGTACCGACACAACGGGCCTTCGGCTGGAAGCCAATCGTACCCACGTCGACACCTCGCGACATTTCCTTCTGACGCGTTAACGTCGGACACGCGACGTGGTTACACTTAAACCAACTTTTTGCCTTTTAGCTAACGTTGATTCAAGAACTGTTGATGAATAACTCGTACGCCAAATTGACGATGAGCCCTCGGAGGTTTGCAAAAGTTTTGACATGAAATGCAACTCTCTCTGTGCCAGATTTTTGAAGGGCGTGACTGAACGTTACTCTCCGTTTACCAAGTGCTTTTTTTTAATGTGAGCTAGTATTTGATCGCTTTGCATTGTTTGATTATTGTCACTTTTTTCGATTCGCTTAAATCCATTTGTTTCAGGATGATGGAATCATGCCTGAACAACAAGGCCGACACACGGGAACAGGTAGAAGTGGACGATTTGAAGAGAGATCTCTCATCGGAATTCAGCCCAATACCAGACCTGCAGGTCTGTGTTGCCCCCCCCCGTATCTTATGTTAAAAGTGCATTATAAAAGATCTTACAGAGAAATCTTTACAGCAAGCAGAGCAGACTTTGAAAACTGAGTTTTTTTGCCCAAATGTAGTCCTTCACTTTCTTTCTTTTTTTTCTTTCTTCCAATCAAATCCTGACGTGATGTTGCAGCATTCCAGCATTGAGGAGCGAGAGCACCTTCAGGTCTACCTTCGTATCCGACCCTTCAGCTCAGAAGAGAACAATAATGGAGAGTCACAGGTAAGAATGCACAATGTACACAGAGTTGCCAGAATACTTTTTATCTGCTGGGTTTTGTGATTGTCAAAACTCTGTTACTTAGAAAATGATGATTCAGAACAGGCTTTGCTTTTCAGCTTAATTATTCTCCAGTAAATATATCTGAACCTCTCTGATAACATTGTTGATGCAGCGTCTGTCCATTTAAATACATTAAACACTAAATTGAATCTGCATTGCTCTTTCTTTTTTGAACAGGACTGTGTGACCATTGAGTCCCCAGACACAGTTCTGCTGAGGCCTCCCAGGTTGTCCCTCTCGGCGAGGCTTAGTGCTGACAAGTCACTTCCACAGACGGGCCAGCGCTTTCAGTTCTCTCAGGTTGGTGTTTCCTGGCAGATGAGAGAGACAACAAAGTTTGATGTGTATCAACGTTTCCTGATTTTATTGTCATCAGAAATTTCTTTTTAATATATCGTTACTTGTATGCAATACATTTTGGCATGCCACCATTTTTTTTCTTGAGCTGAAAAACGGGTCTAGGAAAGGGGCATAAATTGGCATAAAAAAAGTCTTGGTTTGTAATAAATTCCCACTTCTTATCTTCCTTTTAGGTGTTTGGTCCTGAGACAATGCAGAAAGAGCTTTTTCAAGGCACAGTAAAGGATTTGGTGAAAGAGGTTCTCGAAGGGGGGAACTCTCTGGTTTTCACTTATGGAGTCACCAACGCTGGCAAGACATTCACATTCTTAGGTGGGCTTCTCTTTGTTATTGTAGATTGTATTGTAGTTATTGCTTTCTTTGGACCACACAACCTAAGCTTGGCTTATTGTCAAGAAGTAAGTGAACTGAATTACTGCTCTGCCTTTGCTGAAACTGAAATGAAGGTACATATTGCCACCTACTGTGATTTTTCATAGTCAGCTGTTAATTAATTCATTATTATTAATTGATAAGGATTTATCTGGCCTGATTTAAATCTTGCATCCCTACGAGTATCTACTCTAATGATCTACTCTTGTCCCTCAGGTCCAGATGCCGATGCTGGTGTCCTGCCCAGGTCTCTCCAAGTCATTTTCAGCAGCATTGAGGAACAGGTTTTCACTGAGATGAGCGTCAAACCTCAGCGCTGCCGAGAGTTTACGAAGCTCACCAGGGAGCAGCAGATTGAAGAAGTGACGTACAAGAGAAACTTCTTCAGTCAATTTAAAGAGGTGACCCTTGTAACCTAGTACCAAGCTAAACTCATGTTCATTTAAGTTAAAGATTTAACATCCACGTAAAAGATCCCTGTCACTTCCAGCCCATGAAGCAAAAAAACCCTCACATTTGAATATCTGGTTGCGCATTAGGCATGTCAATAACAGGATAGATTTATACAACGAGACATAACTACTTGGATTGGTAATCAGTAGTCAGATGAGCGCCCAACCGCCAAGCAGATGTTTTTACATTTGAATATTATTTTTCACATTCGAATAGTTGTTTTTAACAACTATATATAAATATATATATATATATATATATATTAGAATATAGAATTCGTTGACAGCCTTATCACATGGTATGAATAATTTCTGTCATCTGCACTTAATGTGTTGTAAATATGTTATGATGTTCATTCGTTATACATGACCTGGGAGTGGAATCCCTCCTCTGTTCCTCTCCTCAGGTTTTTGGCTATTTTTTTTCTGGACTGATGTGAGGGTACCTGGATGGAGGATGTCTCTTGTGTAGAGACTATACAATTTGTTTTTAGTAATTACTCATGTAAAGCACTTTGGAACATTGCTCCAAAGAGTTTCCAAAAAGATATACTTAATAAATAATCACATAAGTTATTAAAACTGATGCATTTTTTCTTTAGAGTGAGAAGAGCAATTCCAGCCTGTTGAACTCGACCAACAAGACTCTTCTTGAAGGCAAGATATAGATTTTTCTTTCGATCTATTATTGGTTGTTTTCCTGCCATTTTGTTTCTTTTTTTCTAAATGCAGCAGCTTAAAATCTTACACTGAAAGCACCCGTCCACTTTGATCAAAATGTACCGCTTAACATTAGGGCAGGAATTTCAAAATATCTCACTGCTTTCTCTTGTATAGAAGAGTAAAGCACAAATGAATACCATTATAGAGTTATTCCATGCACTGTTGAGCCTGTCACTACAGGGGAATGACTTTCCTCGTATGCCTTTGTTCCAGGGTCCTCCACGCTGGGCATGACCGTAGAAGCAGGGGACAAAATCAGCCTGGCAGTAGAACCCCACACAAAGTTCTCTGTTTGGGTTTCTTTCTGTGAAATCTACAATGAGAACATTCACGACCTCCTCGAGGTGACACCCAACGGAGCGACCAGGAGGACGGCGCTGCGGCTGTCACAGGACGTCAAGGGCAACGCCTTTGTCAGAGGTCTGAAGGGTCGGGCGGGAGCAGGCAATGTGTTCCTAAAACAATGCAAATTATTTAGGTATAAATTCGATCTGTGTAGTAAGTTGTCTCGTAGTCGATTGATCGGTTCCCATCAAAGTTGATTGATTTTTTAATTTTTTTATTTAGGGACCACACCAAATTTACTGCACCACTAGCTCTCATGATTAAAATGTCTCCCTGTGCTGTACTTATGGGTTGGTGTACTTTGCTCTTTTTGACCAGAGGCACCCATTACAACCTCTTAAAAAATGTAATTTGCAAACTTTGAATGAATGCCATGTTGCTCAAACTAATGGTTAAAAACAATTTGGTATTCATCAGCTTTTATTACTGTGCCGTAAAGAAATGACTGCTGTGACCTCTCAGTTTCATACGAATCTCCTGCTTTATCAAATGTGTATTTAGATCTGCGATGGATTCAGGTGAGTAGTGCAGAGGAGGCTTACAAAGTGATGAAGCTTGGCAAGAAGAACCAGAGCTTCTCCTCCACCCGGCTCAACCAGCTCTCCAGTAGGAGGTGAGGGTGTCAGCCAGAAGCGTACACAGATACTCCGCTCAGAGCTCTTTCTCTCCTGAGAGAACATGTTTATTCCATCTTAATACAAAGTTACTGAATGAATGCTCCATTTTCTATCCCTGCAGTCACAGTATTTTCTCCATTCGTGTATTGAGGATTGAGGACATTGGGTCTCTGCGGGTCCACGCAGTCAGCGAGTGAGTGTCTGAGTGGCTCATTTAAACATGGTTTATATATGTGCAACCTTCATTATTTAGTTTTTTGAAGCATTAAGTGTTGAACGTGGATTTTCCGGGCCTGCTTTATGGGTCCGGGTTGGATAAATGTGCTTGTCCTCAGGTTGTGTCTGTGTGACCTGGCTGGATCGGAGCGATGCGCTAAGACCCAGAATAGAGGAGAGCGTCTCAAAGAAGCCGGAAACATCAACACCTCCCTGCTCATTCTGGGAAAATGCATCAACGCACTGCGACACAATCAGCAGGCCAAGTGAGATTTTCCCTTTCTTCTCATCTCATGTTAATGAATTAGTAGTCTTTGTGGAATATAAAAGCGTCATCCCATAGTGTTGCTTCACTCTGCCGGTATTATTGCTCTTGAAACGAACGTTTGAAGCGCGTTAGTTGTAACACTTTTATAAGGATATACAGGATTTGGTGGCTTTTTTTTGTCATTCTGCCCCTTTTGGGTGAAACATTGAATAAAACATTCTACACAAGTTACAAATTCTACAAGTTAAGCATCAATTCAACTTCAAAAGTGTAGCCGCACAAACCGTTCACAAAGCACAGGAATCAATGCCGGCTAATCTGGTCCCTCCCTCAGGCTGCTTCAGCACGTTCCCTTCAGGGAAAGCAAGCTGACCCACTACCTGCAGAGCTTCTTCCGTGGTCGAGGAAAAGCCTGCATGATCGTCAACATCAACCAGTGTGCCTCCATGTACGACGAGACCCTCAACGTCCTCAAGTTCTCCGCTGTGGCACAGAAGGTGCAGACACGTTTTCATCTTCTCTCTATGTTGTGCTTTGCTTTCTGGGAGTCCCCCCTTTTCTATGCATGTAATTGTTTAGAATTATGTTACATTTTGTTATTTAATATATTATATATTTTTTATTTATTTCCGGTCCCTTCCCAGGTGGTTGTCCTGTCTACCAGGCCGCCTCCCATTGTCCTGCCAGAGAGGTCTGCTGGTGAGATATCCTTCATCATCAACAATGCTGAGACAAAGACTGCGCGGGGCAGCAGGAGGAGCTCTGTGATTGGCTGGGATACTAGCCTGGAAGACGTACAGGTGGGGCGGGGGCTGAGTCACATCATGAGGCTTTTGCTTCATTACCATCTCTTTAATATGTTGGTGCTCTTTTTACTTGGACTATCAGTGGAAATAGTTTGTCAACATTGTTTAAATTGTTCATCCAGGAGGATGAAGATGATGAGTATGAGGAAGAAAACAGCCTGATGGAAGTCACAATGGATCAAACAGCCATTGAAGAAGAAGCTGATGAGAAAAACCAGGTCGGTCCCTAAACAATGTTAGAACCCATTAAGGCCAAAAATTCCATCAAAACTTTATTTTATATTGTTCTTAAATTGATGAGCAAGATTGAGTGAGATTCTTTTTTACTATTTAGTCATTTTGTCTGAATCACAAGGCCTTGTTGTCTGAGCAATGAGCATTTGTTTTCATCTAATTGCTAAAGGCAGGATGCTCAGTGTGCTGCTGTCAACACAACCCTGAATTCCCTGCTGGTGCTGTATTGTTTTTGTTGCCTGTTCCTTTTGACAGATAGGTTTAGCTTCTTAACTTCAAACAAATAGGATATATTCTTAATGTTGTCAGTGGTAGAATATTTATTTTTTGTACATGAAAACTCTTTCTGACAGCGTTTTGTGTCCCATCCCTCAGAGGCATTTGGCGCTGTTGAAGCAGCTGCAGATGCAGCTGAAGAAGGAGCGAGCAGAGAGCCTGCTCATGGAGGCGCGACTCCGAGAGGAAATCAGCAGGGAGTTCTCGGAGATCTTCTCCGAGATGCAGATTGACTACAAGTGAGACTCGCACATATGATGCTACCAGGGAAGCTTGGGGCTTGAAAAATGAGGTCATGCAAACGCGCGCCTGTGTGTGTCTTTAGTAACCGCCTGGCGAGGGAGAGCGATATCTTAGAGGAGCGAGCAGAAAGGAGGATGGAGATCTTCAAGGGCCTCATGGACAAAATGGCCAGAGCTGGACCCAGTCTAGAGGCCCAGGTAACAACATTCCACTCCTTGGGTCACACTTCATATATTCTGTTTGAGGAAATACTACGAATGCTAAAAATGATTTCTGATGTAATCTGATGATTGAAACAAGAATGAAAAAACAATTATGTGGATTATCTACACATTATGTGTTACCTAATGATCAAAATTGGAAGCCTGGTTTGGGACGTCTGGGGGAATTCAGCCAAACGACTTTTCTCGTTCTGGTAGATTAATGTGAACATAACAAACAAAGCGTGAGTGTCGTATGGTGCTTGGTGTGTCTCTAACTCTCATTCTTACCAGACCCGTGTCTGCCTGGTTGGCACTTTCTGCTTTGCTCTCTGACCTTGCACTTCTCAACCAGGATGAGACAGTGACTCCCTAAATGAGCACTAAGAAATATCACTATGCAAAAAGTATTTGCTTACTCGAGCAATTATATCTTTAGGTATGTGTGGTGGAGCCGTGCCATGGCACCACATCTGGATGTTATAACTGGAGATGGGCTCACTAATCTCCGTGACTGATTTTTTCAATTCTTCCTACTGGCCTCAGGACTGGCCTCTGGACTCCCACTCGCCTGAAATGGAAGGCCCAAAGCAGGCAGCTGAGCCTCCTCGTGCACGTCTGGGTTCAGTCCGAGCAGAGGCTCAGGGAGAGAGGGGAGAAACGGGTGAGGAGCTGGAGAGAAAGCTGCTGCAACGGAGTGAGCACCAGCTGAAAGTCCGAGGGCTGATGCCACACAAACACACAAACGCAAATGAATCCATCGAGTGGACGAGGAGAAACTGCTTATCTGCCTTCACACTGTAGTTTAAAGGGCTTCTGTTAGACCTAGAAAGCATTTAAATAGCACTCCACCCATAAACCGATTCAACATGCTGACGCACCATCAAATGTATCCCCCACACACACCAATTACTGGCCAAAGGAAAAAAGCCCACTTCAGCCCACTCAAGTTCCTGCTGCTTTCAAGCTGTCTGGACGAGAAAGCGGAGCCGCATGAAACAATTCCAGAAGTAATTGGCATTTATGTTGGCATATATTTGATGGCATAAGAGTTTCCTTTTAGTCTAATAGCCTATTTAAAGCTTTTGCTTTTTGGGAGTCTGATGTTTATATGTTTCTTGTTTTATAATATGAAAATATTTTAGTCTAGTTGATGAGCATTGTAATACTTAATACATTACTTATATTATAAACATCACTTTAAATGGCCACCAGATTGTAATGTGTGTGTGTGTGTAATATATATTAAATATAGTCTTTCAGCACATTTAGTAGGTGGTCGAATCCATGGCTGAAATGCACCATTTTCAAAATGATTTGTCCACATGTTTCTTCACAAAGGTTGCTTGATGGGTATTATAAGCGAAATTGTTAGATACCAGCGATGTCACCTCTGGTCTGCTTCTAACATTGTGCTGCATTTATTTTGTCTTATTTCCTATGTGAAGCCAGTGGATTAGAGCGTGAAGAGAAAAGAAGGCTTCTCTCTGAGCTCCAGGAGAAGTCGTTGGAGATCGACCGGCTGGAGAAACAAGTGAGAGACCTGCAGAAGTTGCCGGAGGAGGGGAGTTCACGTGAGGAAGAGCGGCTGCAGGTAAGACACCGCCGGAGAAAGGAGAACACGTTGGTGGGACCGCTAATTACATCTTAGTGTTGGGGAGAGTTCATCTAATGCACACTATGGCTCTCTCATTAACTCCGTCACCTACATTCTGGACCAAACTGATTCACAAAGCCAGTATTTTATTGTCTTTTATCTGTCTATCAAACAAGGATTGTCTATGGCCACACTGAGGGGGGTGGGGGTCAAAGTGTCTATTCCTCCACTCCTGTTCCCCCGCTGAAGTCCTTGTCATTCGGCAACACAATCCTCTCTGATGTGTATTAAACCTTCTCTTGAAGCCAAGAAGCAAGATACTTTAGATTTCTCACAACGGCGTTATCTGCTCATTTCCACCACAGTAAATACTCATTGCTTCTGTCACTCAGCAGGCGATTGCTGTCGAGAAGGAAAAGAGAGCCAGAGCAGAATCTTGTTTGGATCACCGGACTCTGGAAAGAGAGGAGGCACTGGCATCCTTACAGGAAGAGATTAAAGCAAAGGAGGAGGCCCTTGCCAAACTCCGGGAGCTCCAGCAGAGCAAAGAGGAGGTGCAAGCATCCCTTGGAGAGGAGAGGGAAGGTAACAAGAAAGCCACGGCAGCCCTTGAAGCGGAAAGGAGAGCCAAGGAGGCGTCCATGGCAGCCCATTCAGAAGAGAAGCAATGCAGACTGGACATAATTGCTGCCCTTGGTCGAGAGAGGAGCAGCAAAGAGGAGGCTCAGTCTGCTCTGAAGGCAGAGAGAGAGAAGAGGCAACAGGAGACCGATGCTCTTCGCCAGGAAGTCCGAGCGCTCGCTGCCAGACTGGAAGCTTCAGAGCACCAGGTGGGCAACAACGATTTTGTCCCATGAACTATGAAACAACGCTTTTCTCAAGCTGTTCTATTCACGTTAAATTGTTTAGCTTTCTAGCATGTATGTACAAGATGTGATACTTGAGTTCCGAACTGACCTCAGCGTTTTGAGTATTGCCGTGAGGTTGTTGAGCATTTGTCCTGTAATGGTGTGTTATCGGTGTTTTAATGAAACCATCTTGCTGCTAGTAGACTACATTAAGGTATACATTTTTGTAAATAACCACAGGTGACCAGCAGCACAGAGCGAGCTGAACATGTGTTGATCCAACAACAAACTGCTCAGGCACAACTGGACAAGTGCTCTATCGAAGTCCTGGAGAAAGCTTCACAGATCCACACGCTGACCCACGAAGTTCAAAGCCTGAAACAGGAACTGCGGACTTCAGCGACATCGTCTGACGCTGTTAATGATCAGCTGACAGAGGAAGTGTCGGCGCCAAGGATTCATCTGGCTGAGGAAAAGGAGAAAAATGAGAGCAAAGACAGAATAATGCTAGAATTTCACCACCAGCTCGATTGCCAAGAAAACGCTTTAGAAGCATTAGTAAATGAGTGGAGGGCAAAGCGTGAGGAACCAACTTTGTACTTAGAGAATTTCAAAATAAACCTAGAGGAACAAAAGGCAGAGGCACAACAACAAGACAAATTAGACTACGAAGCCATACTTTCCAAACAAAAAGAAAACCTCTGCAAACTTCAACATCTCCTACTAAAGGTGAGAGAGCAGGATCAAGCTGAAAAACTCAAGGCCGAACTAGAAGAAACTAATTCTTCTAGTTCTGCTGCCAAAGAGGATCTGAAGAGGTTGAACTCTGATCTCCAGACTGAAATTGCATCCCTGAAGTTAAAGCTTTGCAACATGGAGGAAACTCGCTGCAAAACTGAAGCTCAGCTCGCCTCGTCAGAATTTGAAAAGGCGCTAAAAGAAAACAACAAACGGATGGAAGAGAAGCTGGCCGAGGCGGCGAAAGTGTCTGCAGAGCTGCAGGAAAAGCTGCTGGAAAAGGCAGCAGAGGCAGCATCCCTGCAGAAGAGGCTGGATAAGGCGCAGGAGCAGCGGGAGGAAGAGGAGATGCAGGCGGTCCAGGAGGCTCGGCGCAGGGAGGTGGAGAGGCGCAGGGAGCTGCTGGCTGTGGCGCACGAGGCCATTGCTCAGAAGGACTCCGAGCTGGAGAAGAAAGCCGAGGAGATCAGCAGGTACGGCCGTTTCCTTTGCAGGAAGATTAGATCATAATGAGAATTGTTGATGGAAGATCCTAGCCAGCTTATTAAAGACGTTGTGCTACACAACTCTATTCAATTTGATATCTAATCAAACCTCCACATCCATCTGGATGCAGTATTCCTATTTATGCTCCGCCGGAACCTGATTTTGCTGTTGTATCTGTCGCCCAGGACGGTTTATTCAAGGTTAACGATTAAAAACTTTAGTTGAGTTCTTTTACTTTTTAGTTTGAGTCCGGCCCGAAGATGAGAATGTTACTGTAATGAAGGATAATAAAGGAGGAAAACAATTCGGGTCTAGTTTGGATCTATTCTCTCACTGTAAATACATTTTCTCTTTATTACTGTGCCTGTCACCTCTCCAGCAGTACATTGGGCCCGGGGAGTGCTTTAATAATCCAGCACTCCATCCAGCCGCCGCATTAAAGAGCAATAGTGTCGCCCTGGACCAATATATTCTGTCCTGTCTAGTTTAAAGAATTTGTTGCAGTTCCTTGTTATCTTGTCTCGCTCTCCCAGACTAAAAGAGAACAGCAAGCAGGACTCTGACAGAGTAAAGAGCCTCAGCCGCGACCTTCAGAGGAAGGAGGACGATACTTCAGACCTCCGAGAGAAACTAGCCGACTACAAGAAGCAGGTCCAGCAAGTCCAGAAGGAGGTGCATCATTTATTTATGTCTCGCCTCACTACTTTAAACCAAAGAAATGTCTTTCCGACAAGGTCAGCACGTAATTTGCCAATAGCCGCTTTTACACATTTTTAAATAAAGTGCTTGCCTTAGATGCCCCAGCTTCTGTGTACAGGGCCTCTGCAGAGGTCACACTGTGGCCTCATGCCTCACACACTTACACACACACACACTGCTACAACGTCGAGGATGTTAACGGAAGCCGACACGCACCATCCAGAATATCTGAGCCCACTGACACAGCACTTCATATTCATCATTAACATACGTATTTACATAAGTCTACTGTTATAACATTTTCACCCTCGCTTGAGTAGAGTAGATTCAGTGATCAAGACAAATTTAATTAAAGGATACGAGAAAACAAACGTTGGATCACTGGCTTCTAATTGGACACTGATATGAACAGCAGATGTGATAACATTGGTTTTTTTCTGAAGATATCTGCCATGAGAGAAGAAGAAAAGCTTTTGAGGCAAAAGCTGTCTGACCTGGAGAAAGCCAAACGGCAGCTTCAGTCTGACGTTGCCAATAGAGACCGAACCATCCAGCTGCTCAAAGTGGTGAGATGATCTATCAAATCCAAAAGTTATGAGTCTAAGTCCTACATGTTAGTTTATTGATGTGTCCGCTTCCTCGGCTCATCTCTCTCCCTACTGTAGGAGCAATCATCTGACACAAAGTCCGACCAGCTGCTCTACCAGAAGGCCTGTAAAGGTAAACCAGAGGGAAAACGTTTTGTGGTGTTTGTGGAATGATGTCTTTTTCAAATCATCCCAGACAATATTCTTAATGAAACGAACATTGTTGGTATTGTAATCATTTTGTGTGTAACAACTTAAGAAATAGTAATCTCCCAAAATTCTCAGAGCTGAAGGTGACATCTTCATATTGCTAATTCTTTCTTGATAACACTTAAAACTAAAGGACACCCACTTGTTAACTTGCCACAGCCTTCATGGTTACAAATACTGGTATGGCTGTTAATGTGAATATTCACTTTGAAAGGTCCTCAAACTCTGAACTTGCCGTCTTCCTCTGCTGTTACCCGTTTCTGGCCTCCCTAGGAGACCAACAGTGTGCTGGTTGACTATGGCGTTCTGTGTGTAAACCCGTACCGTTGTGTGTGTGTGTGTGTGTGGCCGTGTGTGTTTTTGTTTCTTTTGTAGAACTTGAAACCAAGGAGCTTGTAATGGAAGACATGCGTTTAGCTCTGACTGAGCAGGAGGAGACTCAGGACCAGATGGAGCAGGTCTTGGAAGAGAAACTTAACCTCATCCAGGAACTCACTAGCGGTAAGGATTCGTTTTCTAAGGGGTTCAGCCCACGGACAGCTTAGTCTAATCCTCTTGTGCTTGAAAGCTGCAGAGAAACCCAAATGTTCATAGAAGACATTTAATGAAACTGAGACTTGAGTGAGTGTGTTTCTTCACAGGAATAATACATTCAGTAAGTCAATCAATGTAGAGTGTGAAGCACAACGCACCGAGCTACGATGCAAACACGGAAAACGTTTATCTGATTGCAATCCAATTATTCATTTTTAATTTACACATTTTTCTCTGATTTTAACCGTTACAGAGGTGGAGAAATTGAAAGGGATCTTATTGCAGCAGGACCGACGTGGAAACGCCACACACCTTGAGGTAGATACTCCATCAGATGACCTCAAACTTGCCAAGCAAGAAACCGCACAGGTCCAGGAAAGCTTGAAGGTAATGAAATTTATTTTCAAATGTCGATTTACGTAGTCGCTCCCGAATAACCGACAATGACCGTTTCGCGTGCAGCTGTGTGCAGAGAAACACCAGGCCGAACGCAAAAAGTGGCTGGAGGAAAAGCTGTCCCTGATTGGCCAAGCCAAAGAGGCTGAGGACAAAAGGAACCAGGAAATGAGGAAGTTTGCCGAAAACAGAGAACGCCACGCTCGACAGCAGAGCCAGTTGGTAGGAAAAGGATTCTATTTAAACACGGTTAATGACCCTAAAAATCAAATCCCACATATGTATTGATGTAGCAGGCTTGTTTTTTCTGTTTTAATGATCATAGCAGCCTTGGCGGTGTTTGACTGTTAATATTGAAGAATACTTTCCTCACTCAAACTTTACATAATTGGAATTTCCCCCACATGGTCCCCTCGCATGTCATCTCCATCTTTGTCAGGAGTCCACTTCATCCCAGCTGGCTGAGAAGGAGCAGACCATGGAGAAATGGAGGAAGGAGAGAGACGCCCTGGTAGCAGCTTTGGAGGTCCAGCTACAGAAGCTTCTCTCCAGCCAAGCAGAGAAAGACAAACTCATCCAACAGCTTCGACAGAATGATAAACAGCCACCACAAGAGGTCAGTATGACTTAACAACGCATACAGGGACCACGTACTGAAGAGGGAAGCTGTCACAACTGGCTGCTACTGGCCACTTGTTTCCATCATCCATCGAGGCAAAACATCTGCCGCAAAATCCTTGAAGGGGAAACTTTACTGGAAGTTTGAACCACATCAACACGTTTTGCCCCGTTTCATTCCACGTTGATCGACCCCTGGGTGGGATTCACGGGGAGAGCAGACCTTTCTGAAACTTCTCTCACCGACACCTTACCGCAGGAGGGAAAGGGCAGCTTTGGAACCCAGTTAGTAACATAATTCAACTAATGAAGATGAATAAGAGTTCGGTACCTGGTTCCTCTAATGTTGCACAACAGTTTATTTAGCACAAGAGAATATTCCACTTTTGCCTGAAACACTGTTGGTCCCCAGTTTGACGAGTTCAAGAAAAGTCTGAAATGAAACATCCACCCCAGCGGACAGCGTGCTCGTGTCCTCCGGAGAACGACTCGTGGCCTTAACAATCCATTCTAAATTTGAAGGAGCTAAATGACAGCAAAAGAGCTGTCATTTAGTTTTTACATTTTAAGACATTTGTGTTATTGCCGCTCACGCAAGCCATACATGACTCTGTGCCTACGCTGTATTTGGCTCCCGTGTCATACCGCTTTCTGTCAACACTAATATATTCCATGTTTTTAGGGGGAGACGAGAGTTGGGATCCAGAGTTATGATGCATTGGAAGCAGTTCTATCATTTGTTTCACAGAGAGCTCAATCTTGGCTGAGTTCTAATCTCACTGTGCTGTTGTGTCAATTTAATGGGGGATATTGGTCATGCATGTGAAAGGTTCCATGCTCGCTCAAAATGTTCAGTTGCTTTATTCATGGTTTTCACTGAACATGAACTGTCGCCACGGAATCTTATTGTAAATGGAGACCTCAGCTTTGTGTAGGAAAGCAATATTTCGATTTCATTTAGTTTGTATGCAATATAAAAAAAGTGAGGTACTAACTAGTAGCTTGTGCTTAATATCATATATGCTGCAACAGCTCTAATTACGAAAGGTATTTGTGCATTGATATTTTTAATCTGCCTTTTCATTTACACTGTACATTGAGGTGAAAATGACTTCTTACTAAATGAAATGCCCATAATCTATTGCATTAATTGACTAAAGCTCTGGATCACATTTTGGCTAAAGAGCATAACAATGGAGGGCTGGCAACAGGAAACATTCTCAGTGTCCCTCCTGCCTGTTACAGTGTGATGGCGCTGGTGATGGCGTCCGTGTGGCAGAGCTGCAGGCTGCTCTGTGTGAAAGGGAGGCCCAGATCCTCCGACTGAAGGAAGAGCTCCAGGCCTTCGCTGCCACGCAGGATGCAGGCACACAGGTCGGTCTCAAGGCAAACACATAATTACTCACTGGATTTAAAGCCCCAGGCCTGCTAGAGAGGTGGTCACCCTGCATGTATTTCTCCTACTGTGTTCTCAGGGTGCAGACAAGTTTAAATGAGTTAGCTGAGATAAATTCAACTTTGTCAGTTGGCATGCAATTTCATGTGAAAGAGTATTCTACTTGTAATCATGATTCATGTGATTTTCTTTCAAATTCCGCCTGTGCCAGATTGAAAGCCATGCGAGCCCTGCTGCACTGGTCGGGAAACCACAGTGTGACACTATTAACAGGAAATCAGGAGGAAGGAGGGAAACCAGGGCATCAGTAAGCAGTCAGGTACGCGCACGAGAAGATATGGAAATAGAAGCGATGAGTGAATCGGTCAAAAACTTGTGTGTCTGTGTTTTTCAACACTGGTTGAAAACATATTTTTGGATTACAAATTTAGTTTCATTTTTTTGACTTACTAAGTAGTGGTGCAATGCAAAATTCCTGTTCGGCATCATAGATCAAATCAGCACAAAAGAAAAGAAAATGTATAGATGGCTGATCTTTTTTGTTGCCGGACAATACTAATTACCGATGGATCTAGACCCGGGGCCTCAAAGTCGCAGGCCAATTGCGGCTCTCAGGCCGATATTTTGTGGCCCCTACCTTAATTTGAAAGTTTAATGTTAGCATGGAGCAGCAGCCACTTACAACCCCCCCCCCCACCTCCCACCTCGTCTTCCTTTCACAAGCCTGTATTCTCACCTGGACTCATTTCTCTCCTGAGTGGCCAGGAGATGACCTTTAACCTGCCGTCATGTGTGGTCTCACAGGGCTCCGCTGGCTTTCCGTCAGTGCTCGAATCCTCTGAGATTTCCACGGAGAACGGCAGGACGAGCCGCTTCCCTCGCCCGGAGATGGAGATCTCCTTCAGCCCTCTGCAGCCCAACCGCATGGCTTTGAGACGCCAGGGAGAGGAGAGCGCTGTGACCATCAAAATCACACGCTCGGCACGCAAGAGGAAGAGCGGAGAGATGGAGAAGGTAAGATCAAAGAGAAGCAGCGTTACCACACATCCACAGGGAGCTTGAAGTTGTTTCCACACCCAAAGCAAGAGCTAGTTGAACGTTGTTAATCGTCACTGCGGAGGTTTGAGATATGAATCGATTTCCCTCCATCTGTCCAACTATAAAAACGATGCATGTGGAATCATCCCACTGTAAGAACCTACATTTGTTCACAGTGCTTCCCTTCAGATTTCCTAAAAATACCCTGGATGGCACCTCGGATGTTGGCCTTTTCAGTTATTTTCAGAGATGTTTCACAAAATATCAATGCAGCACAGGCAGTGAAGGATTCTCTTACACACCGCTTTTGAGCAAGCTGATTGAAAATTCTGGTTTGGCTTATTCAACACGACGCATGCACTTTGCATCCTGCGAGGCGATGCGCTACTAACACAATGTCAACAGGCAACCTGTGAACTAGGCGATACTCTGGATGTTCTGTTAAACCAATTGTAAATCCTGCATTGTATTCAACTAATCCCAGATTAGCCAAGTGGTTCGGCAGATAGGAGCCGACTCAGACGAACCGCAGAAATGTGAAACTGCACTGCAGAGATAACGGGCCAACGGTAGTTTTCAAGGCACCGCCTCACTTGGATTTGATTTAATTCCTATTGATGAACAGGAGATTTACAGCACCAGTCCAAAGTTTGCGCACGCTGTCTCATTCAATGGACACATTTAGCAGCCATTCTATTTGTACACAAGAATATTTCAGTTGTGCTCATGAGGAATTGACACTCTGTGTAATACATGGAACAATAACAGGACCTCTGCCAAATCACACAGTTCACAGACCCATCTGCCCTTCTGGATATTTTATAGTTCCTGCCAGCCTAAATAGGGGTGGACAGAAAACCAATTTAATCTTAAATAAGAAAAGATGTTTTGCATAATTCAATGCTATATTTTTGCTTCATGTGCATGTGTCCTTAATTTTGAAGAAATATTGTTATTTAAACCTGAAAAAAATTAGAACTGGTAACACCGGATTTTCCTCTGGATATAAAACACACAGTACAATCAGTCAAAACACTCACTGGGGTAACATCCACATATGGGTGAGGCAACAGTTCATCAATCATAAATATAACTTACAGGGAGGACTGCTCACTTAAGACACACACACACACACACACACACACACACACACACACACACACACACACTCTCACGCTCACGCTCCCTCTGAACACACTGAAGCTTCCCGGTCGGGAGAAACGAGGTCGGCTGCAGTTCACTTGTCACCTCGCTGTCCCTCTGTCACTGTCTACAAAGGTTAATGCTGGTTGCAGCTTGTTCAACTCCTCTGTTTCAGCACCTTTTTCTTTTTTCTTCTTTTTGGCAATCAAACACCTACATGTTTCCACAAAATGCCCCAAATAGGAATTGTCAGGACAGAAGTGAAGTACAAGATTTTCCAAAGGCAATGGGGATTTTAAACTAGCTTCACTCATCGACTCTTTTTGTTGACTCTATTTATTTGCCTTGTTTCCGCATAATCTCAAGTGGCGAGGTGCTTGAGATGTGCTGATTATTCTTAGGCATGAAAACGCTGCATACCGGTGATTGACCGATGTTAATTTGATGAAAACTGCAATGCAAGTCATCAAGACAATTTCATGCACGATGAAATGATGATGCAAAGATATTAGAGGGACAAATAAAGGAGGCGGCATGCTCGACGGTTGTGACAGAGACAATATTTGACGAGTGTAGCCGCTCTTATGTGATCGCTTGATAAATGTTGCAAACCGTTTCACCTGAAAACTAGTTATTTGTTTGATATTTAATGAGAAAACAAAATATACCATGTTATGTATATAATAATAATAATAATCTATAACAAGATTTGAATGATTTTTGCTTTTATCCTTTCAAAAATGTTTGGTCAGATTATAATTTTAGCCAGCTGAGATTGAATCTATATTCTAAATCTAACAGTGAGGTTTTCAAGTTTATGTTCAAAGGAAGTCCGGATATTGAGTTGAAAGTGTTTTAGGTTAAATCCGATGAGCATCATCGTCCTATGTTTATAAGCATAATACTGTTTGCATATTTCCTTTGTACATGTAGTGTAACAATATTAAGCTCCTCAATGAGGTCAATATTTTGTTCCCTTTCCATTTAGGTGCATGTTTATCAGGGTGTCAAAATCTACTTTTGATTGCAAAGAAAATTCTAGTTTGAAAAGTGAAAGCTGGTTATCTTGATTGCAGCAGCTGGCATACGACGCCTTTTTTTTAATTTATTTATTTTTTAACCGAAAACGGTAATTACTGACGATATGTAAATGTCCTTCAGCATCAGTTCTCCAGATGCATCTTGAATTTGCAGTGATGGAAGGTGAACCTCGCTGAATAAAAGATGAGGACCATTTTGGGATGATGCCAAAAGGAAAACTGTGTTGGCAAGGCAGGAGGAAGAGAAAGGTTCATATGAGGGGGATATTTTAGAGACTAGAGTCCGCACTTTTATTTAGTATCAAACTTTAAGGAATACCAGTATGTTTTTTGTACAAAACCACTTCTTTGAATTTATCCCCAAAACAGATCATCCATGACTATTTTATAATAAAAAAATTAAAAAAGAAATTACTCATTTAATTCTGTGAGTTTGTGATATTTGTGGCTACTTAAGCGCCAAGTCTGCATTAAAAATGAGTTCATTATTAGCTTGACATTCCTTTTTATAATTAGAAGTTAGGTTTTGATTTAAGTTGTTTTAACATCAGCGTAATGAGTCGATCTCGAGAGGCAGTGAGGAATAGTTGTTTTATAATATTATTGTTAATGTGCCTCATTCTTTCTGCTGTTGAGCAGGAAGGAGGCCATTGTTACATTGATGATGTGACTAATCACTTAATCCCCTCGTTCCAAACCTGTGCTCGGTTTTATTGTATTCCAGATTTCTGAAAGCTCCTCATGAGACTTTGATTTATTACACTGGCAATTAGCTGAACGCCCCTCGGGCCCCCCAGTGGGACCAGGCTCCTTCGCCGGGTATGACAACATGTTGTCTTTCCATAACCAGCTGTGGGGGTATTTACACGGAGGGGGGGGGATTCCTCGCGATAAGGTAATTCCACTAACGGCTGCGGCTCTTTGGACTGACCTGGGATCAGCAGGGAACTGGAACAGAGGTTCGATGTGGATGCTCAAAATTACATTTTTTTTTTTTTTCCCCTGCATCTTGTTCTCCCAACACATTCCTCTACTCGTATTGGCGCATTGACCCAGTTTCCGTTTGGAAAGAAGTGGTCCCTTTGTCACCAAAAATCCCGTGAGGGGGTTTGAAGTGTCGAGAGCTGAGGGTCAAAGGACTGTCAACACATCCGTGACCCTGTCAGCCGTCACACAATAGCAGGCCAGTAACGTAGGCTGAATTAAGAGACAAGTGAGACAAGGTGTAGAGAAACCGAGAGAGGCAGCTTTCAACCACGGGAGACGTGGCCCAAAATATATTGAGGAAACGAGTGCCAAGGGAGGTGGAGGCAGCACGTAAAGAATCCACTCGGAGAGATAAGTTAAGGGTTAGAGGGAGTAAATGTCAGCCAGGGAGGTGAAATGAAAGACTGGTAAGTAGGACGGATGGACAAAGATACCCGAGGGAGCACAGCAGTGAAGAGGAGGGTCTGAGGAAGAGGGAAGAAAACCGGGTCGAGAGAGAAGCAGATATGTTGTTAGGGGGTAGATGAGACAATACAAAGCAATGGAGGAGAGAAGAAGGGAGCGGAAGAAGCTCACACAGCGGGAACTTTAGATCTGAAGTGAGTGTAACCGCACAGCCTACACTTGATGTGCACATCCTGAGCACAGACCGCTCCATCACCCAGTCACACCTTTGAAATGAAGAGTGATGATTGAAACCGCTGGAAACTCTGCAACTTGTCACATGGCCAGTTTGCCACATTGTTGTGTAGGTTGCTACAAGATGTAGCCATAGACTTTCGTTAGAGAACCACGCGTATTGCTCCGTCACATATCTGCACTGACCAGTTATTGCAATATGGGAAACCTTCGAGCAGTCTGCAGATACGCTGTGTGTGTGTGTGTGTGTGTGTACACACACAGAACCTCCCGGGAGGACGTCACACTCTCCACGCTGACTCACACCTCTTGTTCCCATCAACAGCATGTCGTGGATCCCAGCTGCTCCCACCGTGCCGTTACACAGCTGGTCACGCAGGCTCACTGAGAAATAAGTACAGTGAATTCGCCATCAAATTCTGCAGAATTTATTTCTCTACACGTCCTGGTGGAGCGTCCAGCGGTCGGAGCTACTCGTCTGACGTGTGTTGAGATTGAGTCGTGGTTATAACTTTGTAACGACAATGAATAACAAACACTAGTTGTACATTTATAAAACTGGCCCAGCAGAACTGCACGCAGGGTACAGCTCACAGCAAGAAGTAACTCTACATGCTGCGCTTTCATGCTACATGAAAACACGGGAGACGCACCAACACAACTTGTGCCCAAGAGAGGAGCTGCGCCTGTTTGGAGGGTTTGGTTTTTTTTTGGAAAATCCAACCAGAGCTCACAGAACGTGAACGTTGGCCGTAGGTCGTTCACGTGCACACAGATATGACTCCACATGACGGATGATCTGTCTGCATACTGTGGAGTTAGTGTCACATGCAGCTTGATAGAGCAATGTTACTTTTCTCCATCTGCCCTCTGGCTCAAGACGAGAATCTGCATAATCGTAGTTCTGTCATATCGAGTTATTGTCGTAGTGGAACATAACGATTTTCTTTTTCTGTTCCTGCTGATCGTAAAAAGCTTCTTTTGAGACTAATAATTTCTACGGTGGGAACGTTATGTTGTACTAAGTCACTCAAATCCAGTGTTATTTGAAGGTACGCGGAATGTGGGCCAGAGGACATTTTAAATCTGAAAAACATGTCTCTGTCCAAGTCCAGTCCATCCTTCTCTCGGGGGGCGGGATTGTCAGCCAGAAGGATCTTTGCTTATCCTTGATCCAACCGAGAGTCAGCAGGCGCACGGAGCCGGTTCCCCGTTGATTAATGAGACACTTGATAGAGCCTCGCGCGGGTCAGGGGGACCGAGGAGACAGACGGACACTGGAGTCCTCGCCGCTGGCAGCAGCCAGCGCGGATTTGCAATTTCTCATGTCGGTCAAATGTAAACCGCCACCCATCCATCTCCATCCGTTTCGCCCTTCATTAGTTGAGAGTGGGTGCGTTTCTGATTGGCTGCAGTTGTGACGCGTGAATCCAACTGTGAGGGAACGTCCTGAAAACGTACTGCATCGATTTATTTACCTACTGATGATGGAATTAACTTTAAGATGGTGAACGGGGAGACATTACAAAACTAACCCAACCTCTCGGTAAATGGGAATACGTTGCAACGCACCGTTTACATGAGCAACACCCGTCTGCAAACACACGCAGCCTGTTGGTTTTAAGCGTTGAACACGGAGCAGTGGGACCCCGGTGGTCCAACAAAGAAGAGACTTCATACCCAATCCCATCAGGACCTGCACTAAATAAATGTCTGCAATGAGACTAAATGGCTAAATAAACGTTTACAATGACAGCAATGAGACCATGTCGTTGGTCTGTGAATGGAGCACCAAAACATAGTGTTACTTCTGTGTGTGTGTGTGTGTGTGTGTATTTGTCTCCCCACTTAACAAGTTAAGTGCTTTGCAAAGAGTGAACAAACAAACTACTACTGCTACTCTCCTTGTTATTATCCTCCCTGGTCAATACAAAATGCCAATGTTAGTTTATCACATCGACCCAAAGCCTTTAAACCAGATGGCTGCATTGTTTTATTTCTTGAAGGGCTTATTTGGCAGCTCTCAGCATATCTATGATTGAGGGTTTGCAAGGAAGGTGCCAATACCCCATTTCATGCAATCTGTTCTCTGCAAGTTCTTCTAGTTTACTGGAGTTGTTGTTTTCTCAAGTAATTATATTGTCAAACTGAGTGAGTCTTAAGGCGCTGGCGTGCTTCTGCGTCTGCGGCTTTTCGCGCTGACGTGTCGATGGACTCGTTTCAATTCATGGTTCTAAAAGGCTTCCGCGGGTTGCAGAGCAATTCACCGCCAGAACAACGGGGGGAATAATGTTCCTTTGTGTGTGGAAGTCGTTGGTTTGTTTATTTACTGCGACCTTTGCGGCGATCCCCCTCCGTGAATCGGAGGCCATTTGCGCGTCCTTATAGTCCGCCGATGACGGGTTGTAGAAGTGGTCATATTTACGCATTTCTTCCCACAAAAGCTCTTCAATCTGATTCATTCTCTCTTCAAAAATCTTCCTTTTTAAAAATAGCGTATTGTGTTGTGAAACCTGGAAATGTGAGACTCCATAAAGGATGTAGTTGCTGACCAATCGCAGCCTTGCGGCCTGTGAGAGGCTGCGTAGCTTTTGGCGCTATTCTAGAAAAATGGGTCGACGCACGCGAGAAGGATAAAAAAATAAATTTAAAAAAAGCATGCAGGGGACTCGTGCGTGCCGTTGCTTTGAAAACGCACAACCATAAACTAGGCCTTAGAGGATGGCGCTGCCACCCTGCTGCTGCTCAGGCTTGGGCGGTTAATATTTGTCCTAATCGTTATAGCCGAGAAACATTCTTCAAGCAGCAATTTGAACCGTGCAAAGTGGGCTCTCTGTTTGCAAAGAGAGCAACGATACCGATGCGTTTCACACCGTTTCCCTTTCTCCTGTTTTGATTTCAGTAAATGGTTTTGCAAATGCGTATTTTAGTGCACTGCTTTTAACGAGGTTTTCTTTTTCTCAAGTCTCCCATTTTCAGGAGGAGTAAACGACCAGCGACACGTCAGGTACAAAAACCATCGTATTGTCATTCCTCCGTAGCCGTTAGCAGTCAATGACTCAGTCATCATTCGTCATCATTTAACTAGTTTAGTTTTCATCTCCTCCTCAAAATGTTCCACCTTCGTCCTTACTCATCTTGATATGTTAAATCATTTTTATGAATAAAAGTATGCAACAACTTCCTGTACGGCAGGAATGCAAACGCGGAGCGTCTTTCTAGCAAGAGGGCCGCAGGCCTGAATGAAAAACCCAGCAGAGTACTGAGGGACCTTTCGCCAGAGACAGACTTGTTGTCCTTCAGCAGCGTCTCTCCCCTCCAGCCTGTTCATTGGATCCTCGCCAACAGTAGATGCAGGAATGGATGCAGGCGGGGATATGATTCATGAAGCTGCACGTGTTCGCCCGACCTTCCCTGCATCAGAAATGATTTGAAAACAGATGGCATAATCGTCTCGCTGCCTCTCGTTCTCAAGTAGAGAGAGAGAGAGGCTACATTTACTCTTATAATGTGATAATAGCCGATAAGACATCAGACAGTGAGGATGGCTACTGGCCTCGCATGTTGGAGCTTTCCATTATTTACCTGTTTCCATCCTACAGAGCAAAGTGACTAATGCTCCTTGACACCCTGTACAATTATTCTGCAATGTCACAGATGCCTTCCGGGGTTCTCCTTCAAAAACACATTTATTCCACCATGCTAATGTGCTATAACCTCTTGGTACGGTATAAGCTTGCTCTCCAACCTTATTTTGGTCCCGTAAGTTGTCGAGATGGGGCAGAAGTTGAGTATAGATTCTTTCCCGTCTGCATACCTCACTCATGATTATGCATGGGCCTTTTGGTTGATTCAGGTTCTTGTTCAGGGACCCTTGAGCGGATTAACTCTGGGTCAAATTGTTAAATTATTATTATAACAAGGTCGCTGATGTGACCACGCTACTCCCAGCTGAGTGGGGAGCAGCTAATGAAATCAATTAGTCCTGTACCGCTGCATTTCCCCAGGGGAACCATGTAAATGGGCCAAATTTGACCATGCAGGCTAATTTTCATCCGCGTCCACTGCTTAGTATGTGGTGCTCACTCTTAAAAGATGAGATCACCTGCTGTGATTTGTATTAATACAAGATTCATGTAATCTGTTTCTCTTATTTAGTATGAGTCATAATGTCATAACTAGGACTACTCATAAATGCCACACGAGCAGTGTTCCTGCTTTTATGTGAAGGAGACTTTTTAGTCTTCTCGACATCTTCTCTCATCTTCTGAAGTAATTACATTGTCAATCAATGTAATAATGTGGATTGAAATGGTCCCCTTTCAAGTGGAGTGCTTGGATTTCATGTGTGTACAAAGCGGGTGGCGATTTTGATGGTGAATTAGTTTCTTATCTGATGGGTCTGACATCTGTAGGCAGCGACACGCCGACCCATTTCATCAGCCAGTCCATTTTTCTCTGAGATAATGGACTGTTGGCTGGAACATGTAAACTGGCCCATTGTGGACACAAGCAAGCAAAAAAAAAAAACAGCTGCTCCTGCTTTTATCTTTGCACACAATCATTTTTTTTCTTCCCCTCTATTTTGTTCTCTTTCAGTCCTTTTAACCTCTTTCAGCTTTTCCTCCAGCCGCACATAAAGCCTCGTCTCTCGCAGCGGATCATTTCGTAACGATTCATTGACAATGTGGCGTCTTTTCTTTAGAGGAGACGTGGCCGTAACCCCAGAAAGTCTTCATCTGGATTTGTAGTGATGATGATGATGATGATTTGGATGTTGTGCGTCGCTGGTGTCTTCTTATAGGAGAGCATTCTGTCGTTTTGTTCTCCGCCTGTATTCTAGTGGGCAAAGTCGCAGCGTGTTTAGATGACTCATCGTGATGACTGTGGCCCTTTTTCATAGAAATGTCTGTGTCATTTCTTAGACAATTACATTATATGGAGAACTAACTTTTGACTTCTTGTCAGCGCATTTGTGCAACGTGTGTGTGTGTATATATATATGTATGTATGTATATATATATATATATATATATATATATATATATATATATATATATAGGGATATTTGAGGTTATTTCAAGACATTTGTATCGTACATTTTTCTGCTAATAAGAAAGGTGTCAAAGATATAATTGATGACTAACTCGCTCCTTTTTGATTGGAAACACAAGGCTCTGTTTTCATTTCTTTGGATCATTAGAATTGTGACTGACTAGAAAGATTAACCAAAGAACGAATACCCTGGGACTAACATTGAATTGCAACGACTACGCAAAGTATTTGCAAATATGTGAATATTTAAAAAACACAACGTAGTTTGTGTCAAAAAAGAAACCGCACAGCACAACTCCGCTCCTCGCTATCTGTCTGCATCTTACTTCGTCCCGAGTCTTGATTCCCATTATCTCTGATTTACTTTCTCCACACGCTCCCACTATCATCTCATCTAATCTCTCTCTCTCTCATCCCTCCATCGCAGACACTTCATCCTGTTTACTTTCTCCGCACTCAAACTTCAATTCCAGTTTTATCGCTACACGACTCCTCGTTACCCGAGCGCTTCTTTCTTCTTCACAAACACACCGGCGCCCCATTGTGCCCTTTCTACAAACACCTGTTTGTCCGTACCGATCTCTTCTTGGGCCCTCGTCCCTCTCGGTTCCAGTCGTCCTCCCCTCAGATTATTTTTAAAACCGTCCACTGAATCACCGATGACTTTCCGTGTTTTGACCCTTTTCCTTCAAAGTGGAGCGTTCAGCGAGCCCACTCGGTCGGTTAGCCGCCCTCCCGTCCCCGCCGGCGAGGCGTGAGTCAGAAATCCGTCCAGGGATTCACTGCGCTGCCGTACTTTTTCAAGAGAACCTTTTTTTTTATTTTCATAATTACATAAATTCCTTGCCGGCTTCCGGACGGTATGATCTCATTAATACGCCTCCGCTGTACAAAGCAAATATGTCACTCATTTGTTTCCCCTCCTGTAGAGTTAACGAAAGGTCTTCCACACATGGTCGACAATAGCGCCACTGACTCAGGATCTTGTTCTCAGACAGCCACACGATGCTTTTGGGCAGGTAGCAGTTAAGCCCCGAAGGAACGTAAATCGCCCTCAATTGGCGCTTATTCTAACCCCTCTAAGTATTTACTGAGTCATCTGTGCCATGAACTCAGCGAGTGGGTCCTCATTCTGTGTGTGCTGTGTGTGTGTGTGACAGGAAGAGATGGAGGCAGAGAACAAGAGGAACACGCGCACCAAGCTGACGCCGAAGCTGACCCCACACCAAGAGGAGGTGACCACCGCACAGTAACACACACCGGCTCATGCACCAGCATGCAGACGTCCTCTCGTATGTCCTTTGCATGTATTAAGACCAATAACCCCAAGCTACAGCCTCAACGTATCATAAAGACTTTCAGAGAACATATAGTAGGTCACTGCAATCCTGAAGTCCTCGTATTCCTACGTGAGGTCAGCTTGTTTGACCACGTGCAGCATGTTACACTGCACATGGGAAGAGACTAACCACAGCTTACCGTCTCTGATCAGAGATCCTCTCCAGCTGGTCGCCATGACTCCAAGAGCAGCATCCGCAGCAGAAAGGAAGGAACTCTGCAGAAGATCGGAGACTTCCTACAGGGTTCTCCCACGCTGCTCGGAAGTAAAGGTCAGTGTGAGATTCTTCACGTTGATCTGAAGCTGCATAATTTCAAACAAACAAACCAAAAAAAAAAAGTTTAGGCAACAAAGAGAACTTTTGTGCGCAAAGACAACGGAGGAGAAACCAGGACAAATCTTTGTCTGAGTGATTTAGAAACCATCGCAGGTTGGACAGAGGAACCGGGCAAGGGCAGCCGGGTTTGGGACACTAATGATGTCCTGAAGGGGAAAGTTAAGACGGGAAACATATCGGTATCAACGGGGGACACTTTCACTCCGTCAATTATTAGTCGCCCTGGGGTTCTCCCTCCCTCGCTGCCTCGCTCCGCTGTCAGTTATTGTCGGCTATTTCTGTTATTTACTTCCACAAAATCATCAGTCTTTTTCCCTTTACTCCACCCATTGCTACTGGTCATCCTTCTTTCTCCTCGCTTTCATATGCTTTTAATCCTCTGATTGTTCCTCTTCCCGCCATGTGAACAGGATGTTGAAGGATAAAATAACGTAACTTTTCATTCCTCTGGAAAGATCAACACCAACCACATCCTGCTGGTTTCGTCCTTTGAGCAGTGAACTGTCTTTAGTAATCAAACTAATTAAGAAAACCGTAAGACATGAATGCACATCTTCATCAAATGGTTAACCAATGTGAAATCGTGGCATGAATACAACAAATATTGATCTTAAGCCGTCTAAAGCGTGTATTGACCATGTTCCGCTCGTCTCTAATCGTTTCCGTCCCTGCAGCCAAGAAGATGATGAGTCTGGTGAGCGGTCGGGGGGATGCGGCCTCCTCTTCGTCGCTCAGTCTGAGAGCAAAGAAGAACAAAAAGAAACTGTACAGGCCTGAGATCTCCTCGCCCATGGACATGCCCCCCCACCCAGTAAGTGTCATTAAACATGCGTCCAGTCCTCACAGCACTCACATGCTCAGCCTGAGTATATTATTTTGATAATATCAGATCATTCTCTTGATATTATGGATACACTATGAAGTATTTATTATCAACTAACCTCTTTTACTTTGTTAAATCATTTAAAAGATTGTATTTTTGTTTTTAATCTTGGCATTTTCCGTTTTGATCATGTATAATTCGCTGCTCAGAGCTAATGTTTGCAAGTTAAACGGCTCATAATAAAATCTCTAATATCTGTTTTGTATTGCTGTGATAACCTCTCCTTCAAGAACCGTATTCAAGTTTCTTGTCAAATCTGCTTCTTCCCAAGATTACATTTGAATCCCATCACAATAGCAGTGATTTAGTTTCTTTCTGCTTCCTCGTAGTGATTTTACCGAACGAGGCATGAATGCACCATAATGGCACTGAATGGAACAGCCGTCATAATAATGGCCGTTAGCTGTTGTTGTCGCTCTTCCTGCCGATTTCCACACGGATTTGTTGTGCACGGTGGGGAAATATGAGAGCCGGACGAGCAGACAACATTATATTCATCAAGCGAAGGTAATGATTAGTATGTCAAATGACATACTAATCATTACGTTACCTCGTTCTCGTTACCTCGCTCTATTAATCCCAACTAGAACAGTGATCGTACGACTCGCCTACAGTTAATAGAAGATGTGCACATTTTAAACAGACGCTTCTCTCCTTGTAGATAATCAGCAGAGAGCCGGAGGAGAAGGAGAGTGACCATCACATCATTAAGAGGCGCCTTCGCTCCAGGCTGGTGAAATGATACTCCGTGTGTCAATCATAACTCAATGAAGGAGGCATTTAGATGCCTACACGCTTTCTTTTTGTGTCGTGGTGGCTGAGAAATCCCCAAACTTAACTTAGAACTCGGTTATCTTATTTAATCTAAAAATGTATTTCAAAGTCACTGCTGTACTGTTTATGTATATGTGGGCTCAGAGCGGCCCGATGTAAGATAAGCTAAAGAGACGCCGACTAAATCGATCCGCTGAACAAAACTGAACCATGGCTCGTACTTCAGGAGGAGATATAAGCTGAAACAGTTCATCCATCAGCGCTCTGCCTACATGTACAACCCGAGCCGGACGGTTTCCCTTTGCTTTCAGTCTTCTTGCACAAACATTAAGAGTCTTAATCTCCTTTAGATAGTAGGCACTATATAGGCTCCGTTAGATAGTAGGCACTATATAGGCTCCGTTAGATAGTAGGCACTCTAAGTTTGTATATCTTCTCCACTTTATAGACAAAATACACTGATTCTTTATTCGGATGTGCAATGTTTTGTGTTTATTTGATGTAAGCTACAACAGTTATATTTGAGTTTCATCTTCCAATCCTCTCCATCTTTTTTTTTTTTTTAACTGATTTTCAACCTACCACTTACTTTCTTTCAGAAAGTGTTTGTTGAAGCTGCTATTAGAGCAAAGAACATTTTTTCTTTTGTACAAGAAAATCCTGTCAAACCTCAAAAGTTAAAAAAAAGTTTTTTTTCTATCTCCGTTTTCTGAAATTTGCACTTGTATTTTTTGCTTATTTTTCAAAAGATTTACTACATACATACTACTACTGTCATACCATCATGTTTTTCTTTATTTTGATTTGTTCTGTAGGTATAATTGGTAATTTACAAATAAACATTTGATGCTGTTTTTCTGTTTCATATTTTAAGATCAATTACTAGCGCTGTCAATAGATTAAAGAAAATAAACTATTAATCGTGATTAATTAAAATGAAAAGTTCACTCTAGAAAGCGTGTATATCTTTTAATTGTATTTTAAACACAAAACTACACACATTTGACCCTCTTGGAGGCAGAATTCCACCGCGTGGAACGCGTTGAACCTGCGACTCTTCCTGCCGTCCTCGTGCTCTTTGCTCTCACCTCCATCATGTGACGGATGTGTTTGAAGCGCCAACAATCACATTTAGCCAGAACGTTTTCAGACCACGGCCTTTAGGGACACAGTGGTGGTCCTCCGCACACTGTGTACAAGATAAGTTATGTTTTATGCTCTGAGAATATTACCATCAGGATCTTTTACCCCCTAAATATTATAACAATAAAAATCAACATAGTAATTAGTTACAGAACATTTGCTGCTTGTTTTAGCTTATATTTGTCTGTTTTGACATTGCAGTTGAAAACCCTTGTTGCAAAACAAGGGTTTTTAACCCCCCCGTTGGCTTGTGTTGGTCGGTGGACTGCAGCTGAGTTGCTGTTGTGAGTGAAGAAAGTAAACATATTTCACTAAAAAGTATTAAGAAGTATTCACGGAACAATATTAAACCGACTCGACTTGTATATCGTCACCTGTTGGATAACGACACAGAGTTTGTGTGTAATGTTTGTCCTTAGTTCTCTGCAGCTGTTAGTTAACTTCCAACCACCGGCAGCTCTTAGTCGTAAAACAATAAAAGTATAGTGTACTATGCCATGAAATATATTATTAATGTGTGACTAAGATCATATAGTCACCAAAAACTGCCATTTAAATGTCAGCGCACGGAGCCATGAAACCGGTCACACTGTATCGCGTCTGACGTCTTTAAAAGCCGTTCCATCGTAGTGGTGTAACGGACGCCGCTCATCTGTGATTCCTTTATTAGTTACATTATTAATTAACCGCAATCAAGCCGTGGATTAATTACAGTTTAACATTAATCTGTGTGAAATTGTGTTTAATAATACACAGTGGCCTTTGTACGCTCAGATCTAAGCATTTTAAAAATTAATCATTAACACAAATAAACCGTTTATTTACTTGTGATTTAGTCAGTGTTTTTTATGAGGGAAAGAAACGCGTAAAAGGTTTTTTCCGGGTTGTTAGTCTGCAGCATATAGAACATTTGCATCCATAATCGGCAATTAGTATTGGCAGCATACATTACTAAAAGGTCACAAACAAGTCCTAGTTGAATTAGTATTAGTACATTAAATAAATATTTTATATAATTTATCATAGAAAGCTTTGTAAATCATAAAAATAACAATTTATCATAACACTATTAAAAAGATCCCAGAAGTCTTGTAGATTTCATCCTCAGATCCTCAGACTTGGTTTGACGGTTAATCGAGCGTTTGATGAATCGATCCGACTGCAGGATGAAGCTTGTTACACTCGGCATCTGGAGAATGAAACGGCCGAGTCATGAAACTGAGGCTGGAGCACAGACCTCATTACGCATTAATCTGCACGTGGTTCCTGCAGTATTAATCTATGAATACCAGGTTTAATAGAGCTGCCGTCTGCATTTTTCTGCCTCTGTGTCACATTAGTGCTGCCAGAAACCTTCCAAGCAGCAGAGCGAAGAAACCGTACGAGTGTCACAAAGACTTTAATCCAAAAAGACATCATTAGCAGGGCGTCATAATCTCCATACAAAACAGGGCGGAAACACAAGGGAGGTGAGGAAAACAAATCAGGAAACAGAAGGACGAGGCTGAAAAGCAGCAGAAGTTCAAATAAGGAGACATCCGACGCAGCTCAGTCTTTGCTTTTCTGGTTTTATTTCCGCTCTGGAACTCAGAGAAAGGAAAAGCAGTCGTGTTTTTGGTGAATGATGGAGAGGCTGCCGTGATGCAATTTTAGAAATCACTTCCCACACAGCTGGGTCCTTTGTGCTGTCTGAACAGTGCACACTGACAGTGTGTGTGTGTGTGTGTGTGTGTGTGTGTGTGGAGCTCAGCTTAGTTTATATCTCAGAGCCAGAGCTGAGACAAAGTACTAATTAAGTATCGAGTCTTTGCACTCGTTAAGTCGAGTTTGGAGTCCTCAACGAGTCAAACAGGTTCTTTTGTTGAATATTACTTCGTTATAACAGCAAAGAAAAGGTGCTCAGCAACGTTCTCTCACTTCTCCTGCTACTTGATTGGATTGTGGGGAATTAGGTATTGACTTGGCTGGAACTATTAGCTTTAATTAAGCAATAAGGTACTAGAGGCTGTACTTTATCGTCCAATAATGTAACAGCTCGAGGGTGTTGTTAGGCCCGACACGCAGCCGAGTTATAAATAGTAAGTAAATAGCTGCCTTTCAGCATGAGTAGTAGTTGTATCTCACTACTCTAGAGAAGAAATAGTCCTTGTACGTGCACGTAAACAGGGTCTCCTTAAAAGATCTCGCATCATCTCATTCGCCTCACATCGCTCGTGACGTCCATCTCGCGTTGCCGGAAAACGATCACTTGTGGTGTTTCCGGTCTTTTTTCATCGATCGCCACCGAGCTAAAAGCTGAAATGACAGCGAACGGTGGCTGAAAATGTAACCGCTGTCATGAACCGACTTCTCTCAAATCGGCATCATTAGAAAGAGAGCACACAAACACAATTAGACAACAAACAGTGCAGACTCAGATCAATATGAGATAACAACGTAAAACAGCACCCCGACAAAACAAAATGTCCCAATATGCAAAAGAAAGCTTGTTAACATTCCCCAAGAAGTCCAGAGTGAAAACACACACACACACCTCCCCGCAGTGAGGCAGCTTGAGTTATGGATAATTGTCATGTCAATTTGCAGTTAGCTGAAGCAGCTGCAGGGACTTCCAGGGGTTCTGCTGGAGAGGATTGTTTTCAGATTCAAGATTCGGGGAAAAGCCGCGAGAGGGAGAACCCGACAGCCACCCTCCGCCTGCCGCATCACAAGTATCTGCAAAAACCCAGATCATCTACTTTAGAAGATCCTCAACAAGGGATTATTTCCACACTGGGCTCTATTTCCCGCTCTTCTGTCTGGTTAAGACGCGGGCGCTTTCCGTGAGCACAGACGTGATCATGTGCGCTGTGATGATTAAAATGCTTAACTGCGCTCACGCAGCACGAGGCCCCCTGTCCTTCATTCTCCTCTTGGTTCACTTTGAAAACACGAGTTGGGATTGAGCATCACTTCCGGGTGACACATGTGCCACTAAACATGTGGAATAAAACTTGAATCACGTTGGATTGAATGTGCTTCCAAGTTTTTGAGGCGCCTCTTGTTTTCTGCAGGCAGCCGGCGTGTCGCTGCAGGTTATTTATTCTAAAGGGAGCGACACCACTGAGGCATTCGAAGGAGCAGTTGACGCTGAATGGTCGCGTAGAATTATTTCTGGCTCGACGGGTCTCACAGATGGTTTCACCAGGACACATCGATCACACCGCCTCTACAAAGCTCTGCTTTTATCGGACTCTTAAGATCATATTTACTTTGACAGTAGCAGTATCATAAAAGATATTATCAGCATTTATAGGTCACAGAATTCAAAATACTAAAAGTTGCATTCCGTATTGTCCATAAAAGCTTAATTTGTTGATTTCCTGTCAACCATTTTTCTTTACACACACATGATTGTGTCTTTTGTTGTCTATTATGAATGTTTGCAACTTGTCAATCAGCGATTTGCTTAAAAATAAACAGCTTTACACACATGCAGATGTGCGTCAACACACTCAGCAGCCCGGGTGATTAAAGGCTACCGGCAGACAGCCAACGGCTCCCATCTGGACCAAACTGCCCCAAAAAAACCTCAATGTCCTTCCAATTCGTTTTATCTTCCCTGCGGGGGCCGTGCCGCCCCCCCCGGGGAGGGGAACCGGGTTCACACAGCGGCAGTAACGGCACGAAGCCACAGGATGAAAGTAGCTGTCAGGGGAGGTCGGAGGTGCTCGCACAAATATTTGCTTGACAGTGTCCAAACTAACAGCTCTTTTTATTCACAGTTTACCGCACCGGACGATAAAGTTTCAGCATGAACACGCAGTGTGTGATGTGTGTAATTGTGACCCCAGGTCCGTGTAAACTCTGTCACTCTCTGGTGACCGCGGTTGTTGACATTCAGGATAAGAGAAATCTACCTTTTGGCCCCTCAAACCAAATCACCTTTGCCTTCAATAATGGCTGTAAAGAAAAGAGAAGAGAAGCGGAAATGGATGACACGGAATCTGGCTGAGTGAAAGGACACAGATGTCTCCGGTAGTCTCCGATGCATGTGCACATTTTTATCAGAGATGCGACCAGGTCATTTATGATGTCCAGCTGTGGGACACGGAGCCCTGACTTTTCTATATATTCTATATAAGTACAGGGAAAGAAGACAGCCGAAGGTTCCTGTCCCTGAAGTCATGAAAGCTTTAGCAGGAGGACCCCCCCCCCCCCCCCCCGCTCACCCGCCACCGCGAGAAAACTATTAGATGCGACACTCGGAGGACGGTGCAGCTCGAGACGTTGTGTCTCGTTGCTGTTCTTTGCTGTCACAGCTCAGAGGACGTTTTCTGAGCTGCTCTCTGACGGGCTGCACGGCAGCAGAGGGACGAGCGCTCCGCAATCCCACCACGGCCCACAGAGTCCCCACGTTTTTCAAAGACAACGTGAGTGGGTCCGAAATGTTCCCCTGGCAGCTGTCAAATGCTCAGAATGCAGAACCTTTCATTTTCCAACTGCTACAGAAGAACCAGACATGTGATCTGATCTGTGCGTCCCTCTGGTTCCCCTGATGAGTGGTGCGTTCCTCTGGTTCCCCTGAGGTGTGAGTGCGTTCCTCTGGTTCCCCTGAGGTGTGAGTGCGTTCCTCTGGTTCCCCTGATGAGTGGTGCGTTCCTCTGGTTCCCCTGAGCTGTGGTGCGTTCCTCTGGTTCCCCTGATGTGTGAGTGCGTTCCTCTGGTTCCC